TGGCTGTGAGCTGTCTCTTAAAGCGACACTCATACTGTTAGCTGTGAGGTGTCTCTTAAAGCGACACTCATACTGTTGGCTGTGAGCTGTCTCTTAAAGCGACACTCATACTGTTGGCTGTGAGGTGTCTCTTAAAGCGACACTCATACTGTTGGCTGTGAGCTGTCTCTTAAAGCGACACTCATACTGTTGGCTGTGAGGTGTCTCTTAAAGCGACACTCATACTGTTGGCTGTGAGGTGTCTCTTAAAGCGACACTCATACTGTTGGCTGTGAGCTGTCTCTTAAAGCGACACTCATACTGTTGGCTGTGAGCTGTCTCTTAAAGCGACACTCATACTGTTGGCTGTGAGGTGTCTTAAAGCGCTGTCTTTTAAAGCGACACTCATACTGTTGGCTGTGAGGTGTCTCTAAAGCGACACTCATACTGTTGGCTGTGAGCTGTCTCTTAAAGCGACACTCATACTGTTGGCTGTGAGGTGTCTCTTAAAGCGACACTCATACTGTTGGCTGTGAGGTGTCTCTTAAAGCGACACTCATACTGTTGGCTGTGAGCTGTCTCTTAAAGCGACACTCATACTGTTGGCTGTGAGCTGTCTCTTAAAGCGACACTCATACTGTTGGCTGTGAGTGTCTCTTAAAGAACACTCTTACTCATACTGTTGGCTGTGAGCTGTCTCTTAAAGCGACACTCATACTGTTAGCTGTGAGCTGTCTCTTAAAGCGACACTCATACTGTTAGCTGTGAGCTGTCTCTTAAAGCGACACTCATACTGTTGGCTGTGCGGTGTCTCTTAAAGCGACACTCATACTGTTGGCTGTGAGCTGTCTCTTAAAGCGACACTCATACTGTTGGCTGTGAGCTGTCTCTTAAAGCGACACTCATACTGTTGGCTGTGAGCTGTCTCCTAAAGCGCCCCTGATTTCTACTTACAGGATTGACCAGAATTTCTAAGAAAAAAATGGCGGCTCTGGTACAGTTAAAAGCGAACCGATTGGTAAAAGGCGACCTTTCATGAAACTGTTCTGGTCTGGTGATTAGTGCTCTTGCTTACCAAGACAGTGGTCAGGATTTCAAACTTCGCCAATGCAGAATTTAGTTTTTTAACTAGGGAAAGTTGGCACATCATATCATGATACCATGATACGTAATATCGTAACTATGGTATATGGCAAGCGACAATCATTTTTAACGCATCCATTAGTCTTGATTAACCGTAACAAGACCGAAGTGGTGATAATGGACATGTCTGAAAAGTACAAAACGAAAACCAACAGCTACGCTAAGATTCTGGGCAGGAAATAACAAGCATAAACATTATATGCAAGACCCCACAAACACCACATACAGACCCCACAAACACCACATACAGACCCCACAAACACCACATACAGACCCCACAAACACAACATACAGACCCCACAAACACCACATACAGACCCCACAAACACCACATACAGACCCCACAAACACCACATACAGACCCCACAAACAAAAGAAGGAAGAAGCTGAGAAAGCAGTACGTCAACAAACGGAAGGACTTACCCACAGAGAACTGGCGGGATGATGACTGTCAGAGCTGCAAGGACATGGGCAGGTCATAGAGAAGGTGAATGTCTACTCCTGCTTTGTGAGGACCCGGCCCTTACACAGTGGAAATCCTCAAACAGTTTTAGTCTGCCAGCCACACTCTGGGAGTTGGTGTCAGGTCATTCACTGTCTCCTGAAGCTTACTGCTTTAGACAGAATGGTATAACAGGCCAATCCACCCACAGTCAACATTCAGAAGTCATTCGTAGAACCACTGAACAGACGAAGTGTCGTGCATTGAACATAATCTACAGAGTCTCTAATGCTGCTGTCAGTCAGTGGAGTGTGGTTAATGTGGGGCAGTATTTAGCCACGCCATGTGGCACACACTAAAACAATATGGGGCAGTATTTAGCCACGCCATGTGGCACACACTAAAACAATATGGGGCAGTATTTAGCCACTCCATGTGGCACACACTACAACAATCCGAGGCAGTATTTAGCCACTCCATGTGGCACACACTACAACACTCTGGGGCAGTATTTAGCCACTCCATGTGGCACACACTACAACAATCTAGGGGCAGTATTTAGCCACTCCATGTAGCACACACTACAACAATTTGGGGCAGTATTTAGCCATTCCATGTGGCATTTACTACACCAATATGGGGCAGTATTTAGCCACTCCATGTGGCACACACTACAACAATCTGGGGCAGTATTTAGCCACTCCATGTGGCACACACTACAACAATATGGGCCAGTATTTAGCCACGCCATGTGGCACACACTACATCAATATAGGTCGGTATTTAGGCACCTCGTGCGGCAGACATACTACAACAGTCGCTAACGAATGCAGCAGAAACAGTCACTACCTTAAAACGCCACGGTGGTTTCGAAAGAATAGCAGAAGAAGGCATGGTGCCATGAAAGAAGGGCAGTGGCCTACCAGCAAGAAGATAGTGTAACCTTGGGTAGGAACGTGTACGAAGCGGGAGATCTACGAGAGGCCGATTTTCTTTCCAACAAACAGGGATAAGGACGACGTTCAACAAAGGACCTGCTACATCATGATATAGATATATGATTGTAGAGAAGCATGACCGCCCACGCCAGGCGGCAAGGTACTTGATGACACACACACACACACACACAAGCAAACATTTGTAGGAATTATGTTAGCAGAAAGGGAATCAGTTATATAAAAGAGAAGCATAGATAATCTACATTATATGTTACAGCTGAAGTTAAGGTTATATGTGTGGTATAATTTGTGGTCCGCTTGCAAATCTATTTTATACTGAGGTTTTCGACACACTCCTTAAACTATTCGGTCTAGTCACTTAGGGAACAGCTACAGCCGCATATATGCTCATCATCATCATCTCCATAATCTGCGATCTCCTGCAGCATGTATCAGTTCGTGTGCCGACACACCTCCATGCCATGCAACAAGACTGTCAAGCATCTTCTCTCGTTGTCTTCCTCTATTCCTCTTCCACAGATCTTTCCAGTGGTCAGCATGTATCATTTTCCCTCTGCTCATAACATGGTCGAAAAATGATGACATCTCTTCTGATTAGTTAGTTAGTTATGGGTTATCCTCATTGCAACAAGACATGCCCATAGGTGCTCAGATCTCCTCTCGTATGTCTTCCGATGGCTAATAGTACCAGTTCTATGTTGATTAACAAGTCTTCCACGTGTCTGGTGTGCGTCTCGTTTTTTGCTGTCGATCTTAATTCCCAAGTCTGCCATTCTGGCGAGTGATGTGGATTCACTGCCACCAAAGTCCTCTATCCTTCCCATTTCTCTGAGGGCATTAATAATATCAGCGTCTCCTTCTGATGTCTGTGATAAGTTGTCTTCGGGCTCTCGCCTCTTTCAAAACCTCTTGGCTGCTCTTTTTGGCTGTCCAATGTATTCTAAGCATTCTTCTGTAAAACCACATCTCTGAGAGCTCTAGAAATTGTTTGGCCTGCCTACCGATTGTCTAGGATTCACAGCCATATGTTAAAACTGGATGTATTTAGGAAGCAAGAATTCTTTTTCTAACTCTCTACATAAATTAAAATGGCCACTAGTTGACTAGTTGGTTAGTTAGCTGGCTGGTTGGTTAGTTTAAACAAATATAACCAATCATTCATGGAAATACAAACAGACTGTATATTCTAATTTTTAACGATAAGGGTTTAGAACAAATTCTCTTGGTATATACACTATTTCTAATCCACTACACATTACAGGCGGGCATCATGCGTGAATACAAACGAATTCGTCCAACTTTTGAAAAAAAAAAAAAAAAAAAGCTTTTATGATACCCCCGTCAAACACAGCACTACACGTGAAATGTTGCTTATAAAACGAGGCACGGTGTGATTGTAGGTATCAGCATTGCTACCCAGAAACACAAAACATCAGCAAAAACATCCAAAAACCGGACAGACAAACCGCCCGTCCTTACCTCAAAGACCCGCTACAATCCCGCCATTCTGTCGTCTGCCAGACACGAGCAGACGTCCTCCCATCGTTGAATGTAAAACTGTGAATACACTTGCCACGAGACAAGACTCCAATACCAAATGTTTTTAATCACTACTACTTCATTAGATTTTTTAAGTTGAAATGATGTTGCAAAAACGGGGATGGGGGAGGGGTCGGGGAGGGGGCGTAACCAATATGGTTTTCTTCCTTCCCCTTCTTCTTCTTCTTCTTCTTCTTCTTCTTGACATTCACCGGCTATAAACTCCGCCGGAAAATTATGGTTTTTGTCTACCTCCGGACTTTTTTAAGAAACTGAGTATTGTGTGCACATTCGTTTTACAGATTTAGCTTTTTTGTATGTAGACTATTGGTTCTTTGCCTCTCGGGTAGATGCACTTTGTCTTCGAAAAATGCCCTACGACATGCTTGTTGGGAAAGCAGTGGGTCTGTTCTTGTCCACCCCCCCCCCCCCCCCCAACCCCCGCAGAATGAGGGCTCGGAAGTTTGCTTTCAGTTTACTATACACCGGGAGTTTTCAAAACTGCTCAGTCTTCGGCAGGTTGGTTATACACATACGGTAGGTGTGACTAAGAAGAGAGAGAGAGAGAGAGAGAGAGAGAGAGAGAGAGAGAGAGAGAGAGAGAGAGAGAGAAAGAGAGAGAGAGAGAGAGAGAGAGAGAGAGAGAGAGAGAGAGAAAGAGAGAGAGAGAGAGTGAGAGAGAGAGAGAAAGAGAGACTTCGTTTCCTTGTCATTAAGGAAGACATCCATTTGAGATAGACAGTGGCAGTCAGTGATGACCATTCATAGCACATTTAGGAAATGAAGAGATAGGAGACAAAAATCCGCAAAAAACGAATGCCCCATTATATTATTTAGTAATTTACTGTGTTATTATGCATCTTTCAGTCAGAAATGCGTTAATCGAGTGCCTCGTGACACCGAGATTTTACTGTGTTGGTTTCTGGAACTGTCTACAGGTGTATTCTCTTGAATGGACGGGACAAGTCATTGCCGTATCTATCAGCTTTATCTACTTCACCACAGTGTTGCTGATCATCATCATAGCTCGCCACACAACGTTCCTCTCGCATCCAACCATCCTGGGACTCTGTATCTTTTGTGGGACGACCACCATCATCAATGTTTACTTCGGTTTTAGTGCCTCCAGGACACCAACAAGTGATGTCCCCTTTCTGTTTTACACCATGTGAGTTGTGTGCCCTTGTCTGTCATTTAGGTCTATATTATTATCATGCTGACGCTCTGACGGAGTCACAGACGAACTGACTCGCTAAGTCACAGACGCTCTGACTGAGTCTCAGACGCACTGACTGGCTAAGTCACAGACGCTCTGAATGAGTCACAGACGCACTTAATTACTGGCTGCCTGGCCGAAACGTTACGTTGTGTTGTTTTGTGCACGTTTTCCTTTTTCCCATTTTGTTGAGCTTTTTAGTCAAATTTCTCTGGAATTCATTTTAATTACTGGCTGGTTGAATGGTTGTTTTACAGTTGAAAGGTTGGTTGATTGGCTGGTTAATCGATGGCTAGTTGATTGGTTGGTTAATCGATGGCTAGTTGATTGGTTGGTTAATCGATGGCTAGTTGTTTTAGAGGTTAATCGATGGCTAGTTGATTGGTTGGGTAATAAGGGACCGCGTTAGCGCACTCGATAGAAGAATCGCTTTTAAATCCAGATGCCACTCGCTGCAGCCCACGGTCGGTGTTCGAAACCGGGCGGTTCCCGGCACTCACCTCTAAGAAATGGATACCAGAGTTGACACTCTGGGGTAAATATTGGTTGGTTAATTGATAGCTAGTTGATTGGTTGGTTAATCGATGTCTAGGTGATTGGTTGAGTAATCAATGGTTGGTTGATTGGTTGATTAATCGATAGCTAGTTGATTGATTGGTTATTCGATAGCTAGTTGATTGGTTGGTTCATCGATGGCTAGTTGATTGATTGTTAAACGATGTCTAATTGATTGGTTGGTTAATCGTGTCTAGTTGATTGGTTGGTTAATCTATGGATAGTTGATTGGTTTGGTTAATTGATGTCAATTTGATTGATTGGTCAATCGATGGCTAGTTGATTGGTGGTTAATCGATGGCTAGTTGATTGGTTGGTTAATCGTGCTAAGTTGATTGGTTGTTTTTTCAATTGATTGATTAGTTGACTGGCTGGTTGATTGATTGTTTAGCTGATTGATTAGTTTATTGTTGGTTGGCTGGTTACATGTGTGGCTGATTGAGAGTGCTGTTGGTGGCTTTTTTTCATCAGTGAAACTGCATGCTTACAATTTGCAAAAGTGAAGTCACCAGACATCATTGTTGTATGTATGGTATAACTTGTGGTCCGCTTGCAAATCTATTTTATACTGAGGTTTTCGACTCCCTCCTCAAACTATTCGGTCTAGTCACTTACTGAACAACTACAGCCGCTACATAAATTAAAATGGCCAATCATAAAGCAGCTTAGATTACTGACTAAGCAATAGAAACCTTAACAAACAGCCAGGTGAATTGTCAGCGCTTTATCGGATGATTAGAGGATAAAGACAGTCCTAATGACTGGTAGAACCATTAGCAGAACACAACATTTATTACTTAACCCTCAAACATGAATCCAGACATGACCAGGCGACAAGCCACAAAAAGTAAGTGACATGACCCGTGAAAATCTACACACAGAGTAAGTGACATAACCCGGTGACTATCCACAAGCAGAGTAAGTGACATGACCTGTGACAAGCCACAAACATGGAAGCAGACATGACCTGGGGACAAGTCCAAAATATTGTAAGTGAAGTGGCCCTATGATAAGTCCCAAACATTGTAAATAACATGACCCGGTGACAAGCCACAAACATGGAACCAGACATGACCCGGGGACAAGTCCCAAACATTGTAAGTGACATGGCCTAGTGACAAGCCACAAACATGGAACCAGACATGACCCGGGGACAAGTCCCAAACATTGTAAGTGACATGGCCTAGTGACAAGCCACAAACATGGAACCAGACATGACCCGGGGACAAGTCCCAAACATTGTAAGTGACATGGCCTAGTGACAAGCCACAAACATGGAACGAGACATGACTCGGGGACAAGTCCCAAACATTGTAAGTGGCATGACCCTATGGCAAGTCCCAAACATAACCGTTGATCGTCTACAACCAGTGTGGTCTCCTTCATGGTGCTGCCGCTGTCCAGGAAGTGGCTGTTGATCGTCAGCTCCATCACTGTCCTCCTGCACCTGGTCACTGCAGCCACACTGTCCGACCATCATTACGAGCTTGGCCTGCAGGTAGGTCACTGGTGGGGGAAAGAATGTTGTGTGACATATGTTTATGTCACTGCTGGGGGAAGAATGTTGTTTGACATATGTTTTATGTCACTGGTGGGAGGAAGAATGTTGTTTGACATATGTTTTATGTCACTGGTGGGGGGAAGAATGTTGTTTGACATATGTTTTATGTCACTGGTGGGGGGAAGAATGTTGTTTGACATATGTTTTATGTCACTGGTGGGGGGGAAGAATGTTGTTTGACATATGTTTTATGTCACTGGTGGGAGGAAGAATGTTGTGTGACATGTGTTTTATGTCACTGGTGGGGGGAAGAATGTTGTGTGACATATGTTTTATGTCACTGGTGGGGGGAAGAATGTTGTTTGACATATGTTTTATGTCACTGGTGGGGGGGGGGGGGGGAAGAATGTTGTGTGACATATGTTTTATGTCACTGGTGGGGGGAAGAATGTTGTTTCACATATGTTTTATGTCACTGGTGGGGGGAAGAATGTTGTTTGACATATGTTTTATGTCACTGGTGGGGGTAAGAATGTTGTTTGACATATGTTTTATGTCACTGGTGGGAGGAAGAATGTTGTGTGACATGTGTTTTATGTCACTGGTGGGGGGAAGAATGTTGTGTGACATATGTTTTATGTCACTGGTGGGGGGAAGAATGTTGTTTGACATATGTTTTATGTCACTGGGGGGGGGGGGGGGGGAGGGGAATGTTGTGTGACATGTGTTTTATGTCACTGGTGGGGGGAAGAATGTTGTTTGACATGTGTTTTATGTCACTGGTGGGGGGGGGGATGTTATTTGACATATGTTTTATGTCACTGGTGGGGGGAAGAATGTTGTTTGACATATGTTTTATGTCACTGGTGGGGGGAAGAATGTTGTTTGACATATGTTTTATGTCACTGGTGGGGGGAAGAATGTTGTGTGACATGTGTTTTATGTCACTGATGGGGGAATGTTGTGTGACATATGTTTTATGTCACTGGTGGGGGAAGAATGTTGTGTGACATATGTTTTATGTCACTGATTGGGGATGTTGTATGACATATGTTTTATGTCACTGATGGGGGAATGTTGTGTGACATATGTTTTATGTCACTGATTGGGGATGTTGTATGACATATGTTTTATGTCGCTGATGGGGGAATGTTGTGTGACGTATGTTTTATGTCACTGATTGGGGATGTTGTATGACATGTGTTTTATTTCACTGATGGGGGAATGTTGTGTGACATATGTTCTATGTCACTGATCTGGGATGTTGTATGACATATGTTTTATGTCACTGGTCATTTGGGATGTTGTGTGACATATGTTTTATGTCACTAATTGGGGATGTTGTATGACATATGTTTTTTGTCACTGGTCATTTGGGATGTTGTGTGACATATGTTTTGTATCACTGATGGGGGATGTTGTGTGACATATGTTTTATGTCACCGATGGGGGATGTTGTGTGACATGTTTTATGTCACTGATCTGGGATGTTGTGTGACACAAGTTTTTTGTCACTGATGGGGGGTGTTGTGTGACATATGTTTTATGTCACTGGTCATTGGGGATGTTGTGTAACATATGTTTTACATCACTAGTGAAAATTGATGTTGTGAAACATGTTTTATGTCACTAGTGAAAATGGATGTTGAATAACACATGATTCATGTTAGGGTGAGTGGGGATGTTGTATGTTATATCTTTCATGTCAGGGAAAGTGGTGATGTTATGTAACATTTATTTTATGGCACCGGTGAGCTGGAATGGTGTCTGGTAATTTAATTGTTGTGTAACATTCTGTTCTTCGGTGATGCCTTTATCTTGTTATGTCTGTATGGTGAAGATGTGGCCGAATCGTTTTAATTCCTGTGAGATAACTATAAAATTCTGCAGATAATCTGTATCGGGGTCCCTATGTTTGACGAAGATGTGAACGGATCGATTAATTGTTCTGTACTTTATGACTGTTTGTTAATCTCCTTGTCCGACCTGTCTAATCGATGAAGATGTGGTCTGAACGTTCAGCGGTATTGTTGTTTTTCTCTCGGGTTTCTCATTGAATATTCCGATCCTTTCCTTCGTCTGTGTGCAAGCAAAGGCGGGGAAACCGGAAGTCAATAATAAAGGTGACAGAAGTGTGAGAACGTAAGTTTTACTATTAGGAAGTGACCTCTCAGAGACAAGCCAGGCCTCCCTGTGTGAATACAGCCAACAGGCCACAAAGACAAGTCATATCCCCAACTGGACAGCCCAGGCAATGACTCTCGAGTGTTTTATTTCCGTCCTATGCCTCTATTTTTGGTATCAGCTTGAGAATGTGTTATCTCAGTTTATTTATATCATCATACTACATCCGCATCCTTGGCTGCGCTGCTTTGTCTGCGGTCTCCATCTCCCTTCCTCTGTACTGATGTGCTTGACTTGCTGTCTGGTTTCATTACTGCATTAGTCACTTGTTGTCTGCATCGACATTGTAGGACATCGGTTCCACCCATTCGGGATACGAAACTCCGATACAGAAGCCATCTCAGTGTTAGTTAGTTAGTTAGTTAGTTAGTTAGTTAGTTAGTTAGTTAGTTAGTTAGTTAGTTAGTTAGTTAGTTAGTTAGTTAGTTAGTTAGTTAGTTAGTTAGTTAGTTAGTTAGTTAGTTAGTTAGTTAGTTAGTTAGTTAGTTAGTTAGTTAGTTAGTTAGTTAGTTAGTTAGTTAGTTAGTTAGTTAGTTAGTTAGTTAGTCAGTCAGTTAGTTAGTCGGTCAGTTTGTTAGTTAGTCAGTTAAAGAGTTAGTTAGTCAGTCAGTCAGTCAGTCAGTCAGTCAGTCAGTCAGTCAGTCAGTCAGTCAGTCAGTTAGTTAGTTAGTTAGTTAGTTAGTTAGTTAGTTAGTTAGTTAGTTAGTTAGTTAGTTAGTTAGTTAGTTAGTTAGTTAGTTAGTTAGTTAGTTAGTTAGTTAGTTAGTTAGTTAGTTAGTTAGTCAGTCAGTCAGTCAGTCCGTCAGTCAGTCAGTCAGTCAGTCAGTCAGTCAGTCAGTCAGTCAGTCAGTCAGTCAGTCAGTCAGTCAGTCAGTCAGTCAGTCAGTTAGTTAGTCAGTCAGTTAGTTAGTTAGTTAGTCAGTTAGTTAGTCAGTCAGTCAGTCAGTCAGTCAGTCAGTCAGTCAGTCAGTCAGTTAGTTAGTTAGTTAGTTAGTTAGTTAGTCAGTTAGTCAGTTAGTTAGTTAGTTAGTTAGTTAGTCGACAGATTATCCCCATTGCACGTCGAACCCCTCAGTCCATAAGTGCTCGGATCCTCTCCTCAGTAAATCCTGCAACGTGTGGCGGCTGACGTCACGAGTCCTGTGTTGTTTTATTCTTCTTCTTTGGCTACCCGCGTAGTGTTCTTGTTTGGCGACACTTCGTTTAATATGTTGCTCTTGCAGTCTGACCATGGTTGCAGATTTAAAGTTCTCAATTGGTTCACGTCTTAACTCTCTTAGAGCATTCAGTATATCAGCCTGTTACACGGCTTGTCCGGCTTTCACAGTAGCCTATCCTGCAAGTCTATCATCATTTTCTTGTACCCCCAGATATCTTGCTACAAAAATGAAACTAATCATTGTCAGCTGTGAATGCTGTAGAGCCACAAACCACTGCCTTCGGCCCTAGCCCTTCTATAGATCCTAAGCATACTCATCGCCTCACTGAGAAAGCACGCCCCAGTTCTCACCGTGCCCAGTTTGTTTTAGTATCCAGAAGCCATGAGTTGTTAACCCTTAGGCTCGGTATTATGGATATCGCAACCTTTCGGCCTTGATTCCATTGTAAATACCGTAAATCTGGGAGAAAATGTGGCTTTCCTGCCTACCCCCGGGATTGAACCCGGACCACAAGGAGTACGTCACCCGGTCTCCGCGAAATCCGGTTTAGCCAATTCCGCTAGAGAGCCGGGCACCGTGCCCAGTAGAGGTTGAGGCGCATCTTCCTTGTTCTACAGTCTGTTTCTGTATGCTTGTCCTAGTTTAATACCCATTTCTAACAGACGGTTCATTGCCTCTAATAGCTTCACCTCAGCGTGTTTAGATTCTACCTATCTGTAATCCACTATTGAGAATGTCCTTGGGCATTCTTCCTCATCCATTCTCCAAACGTAATCCAGCCATCAGAGACTTTGGAGACCTCAGCTCTCCTGCCTAAACACACGTTGAATATATTTAACTTGATAAGGCACTGGAGGCTGTGGAATGGTATGGTCGGTCAGGCTTGCTGGGGAATAGTTTCAGGAGGGGGGAAGGGAGGAGGAAGAGGCGGAGAAGAAAGGGGAGGAGAATGCTGGACACATTATTGACCTGTCATCCATGTTTCTTGTGATCGACAGTTGGTGTGCACATTCCTAGTGCTGGGCTGTGCTAGCGTGGTGGGCCTAGGCCACAAGTTCCTCAGCGACATCGCCCACAGAACGGCTTTCCTGGAGGCCAGGAACTCTGTGGACTCCATGCTGAAACTGGAGAAAGAGAAGCAGCAACAGGTGCATTTTCTTTCCATGGCAACTACGGCTGCTAGCGTGTCCTTTGTTGTCTTGCCAGAATAGTATCATCGTCTGTCTGTTTTCTGACTGAATGTCTGTCTGTCTGCTGTTTGTTTCTTTTTTTTTTCGTTGTTTCTCAGTCTCTCTGTCTGTCTCGCTCTATTTGTTACACGTTCTCTCTTACTCTTTACCCCTCTCTCTCCCCCCCCCCCCCCTCGCTGTATATCCCACTCATTATTATTTTCCATTGTTTCCTGCGATGAGTGTGCGTGTTTATGTTGACAATACAGTGTTTGTAACCTGCAATGTTTACATCATGTCGCTATCAGGCCAGAAATGTTAAATGCTCGGGTGGTCTTGTGTCACAAACCAAACAATACCACATGTGTCATGTAGATCAGTTGCAGACACTGGTCTGGTCTTGTCAGTGTCATAGCTATGTGTGTCGCGTGTACCTGTGCTGTGTATGCCAGTGTGTGGGTGAGAGAGGGTGAGTGTGTACGTGTATGTTTGTGTGGCTTACAGAAAAGAAAATGGACTGGAGAAGATAACGGTGGCGTAGAAGAAGAAGACGATGATGATGATGATGATGAGGGAGCTGGAGGAGACGATGAAGAAGAAGAATATGAGGAGTGCGTGAATGTTGAAAAGAGATGAGGCAGAACAAGATAAAGCCAATTATAATCCACAACACTCGCCAGAATGGCAGAATTGGGAATTAAGATCGGCATAGCAAAAAACGAGACGCACACCAAACGACTTGTTGTTAATCAACATAGAACTGGTACTATTAGCCATCGGACGTTGGGGTCCATACTGAGGGGAGGATCTGAAAACCTATGGACATGTCCGGAGTGCAATGATGATAACCCAACTAACTAACTAACTAAGTAACTAAGTAACTAACTAACTAACTAACCAACCAACCAACCAACTAACCAACTAACTAACCAACTAACTAACCAACCAACTAACTAACTAACTAACTAACTAACTAACTGACTGACTGACTGACTGACTGACTAACTAACTAACTGACTGACTGACTGACTGACTGACTGACTGTCTGACTTACTAACTAACTGACTGACTGACTAACTAACTAACTGACTGACTGGCTGATTAACTAACTGACTGACTAACTAAATAACTAACTAACTAACTAACTAACTAACTAACTAACTGACTGACTGACTAACTAATTAACTAACAAAGCCAATTATAAAGGAAGCAGCTCTTTAATGTTGAAAACCAACAGTGGTGCCAGTGACTTCTGCTATCGCCATCTTAGCAAGATATGAATGAACCTTGGGGGAGGGGTGTGACAACTGATTTAATGATAGAGTTGGTACCGGGGTCTCTTACATGTTGAGTTCTTGGACGTGGTCAGGAGCTGTTGACAATCGAACGTTCTCATGTGTTTGTTGGAAACTGTTGATCAACAAATTATAACGGAGTACACTGTGGGCCCTTTTGACATACAACATGATGATGATGATGACGATGGGCGTGATGTGATGTAGGCCTGATATGCTAAGTAAGGCTTTGTTTTACATATTAGTATTGTGTCTACAGATTTATTCCAATGTGTCATCATTTATACCAATTCTTTCTGGTGCCTTCGATAGTCAGCCAACATCTTATTTCTGCTTAAATTATCGGCTCTGTGGCTAAGTCGATGCACTTCGTAATGACGGGATGCCTGGTTCGATCTCAGCTGCGGGCCATGCGCCTTACGTTGGTTTCAACAGTAGTATCAAGAAAGCCGACCGTCCAGAAAGCAATGGCAAACTACTGGACGTAAATTTGCCTAGAAAAACCACACAACAGCCAGGGGCTGTTGGGGTTGGTTCTGCAACGTCCTGTAAAGGATACGCAACTAACCTAGTAGTAATTGTAGTAGTAGTACCAGTCTGTCGGCTCTGTGGCTAAGTCGATGCGAACGCTTCGCTTCGTAATGCCGGGATGCCAGGTTCGATCCCAGCTGCGGGCAATGCGCCTTACGTTGGTTTCGACAGTGGTATCAAGAAAGCCGACCGTCCAGAAAGCAATGGCAAACTACTGGATGTAACTTGCCTAGAGAAACCACACAACAGCCAGGGGCTGTTAGGGTTGGTTCTGCAACGTCCTGTAAAGGATACGCAACTAACTTTTTTAAGAGGAGGAGTACCAGTCTAATGAGATTCGGGTATTCGATTCTCCTAGTTCATTTAGTACACAGGGACATGTCTGCATGTAAGGGTAACAAACATGAAACTGCTGAAACAGGTGGTGGCTTGGGGATAAGAGCAATAGGTCAATGTTGGTTGTGGTCACACGTTCCTAATGGTAAGCAGAGTGTGCCAACTGAAGAACTAAAGCAAAAACTAGATGTGATCACCGGCGAGTATGGTCACTGAGATTGAAGAATGTAGCACTTGTGTTTTGTGCAGGATGAGCTGAAGAATGTAGCACTTGTGTTTTGTGCAGGATGAGCTGAAGAATGTAGCACTTGTGTTTTGTGCAGGATGAGCTGAAGAATGTAGCACTTGTGTTTTGTGCAGGATGAGCTGAAGAATGTAGCACTTGTGTTTTGTGCAGGATGAGCTGAAGAATGTAGCACTTGTGTTTTGTGCAGGATGAGCTGTTGGTCAGTTGCATACCCAGCAACCTGGTGGCGGAAATCAAACGGGATCTGCAAGAGAACATGCGAGAGCCGCGGCCGACTCTGTTCCACGACTTGTATGTACAGAGATACGACAATGTCAGGTTTGTTTTCTGTTGAACTGGCTGTTGATACAGACTGTGAGGATTTGTTCTCGTTTACTGGTCGTTGATATGTTCTGCTGTTGATGTAGAATGTCACTTAATGTTCTACTGTACCAGCTGTTGATGTAGAATGTCACTAAATGTTCTACTGTACCAGCTGTTGATGTAGAATGTCACTAAATGTTCTACTGTACCAGCTGTTGATGTAGAATGTCACTTAATGTTCTACTGTACCAGCTGTTGATGTAGAATGTCACTTAATGTTCTACTGTACCAGCTGTTGATGTAGAATGTCACTTAATGTTCTACTGTACCAGCTGTTGATGTAGAATGTCACTTAATGTTCTACTGTACCAGCTGTCGATGTAAAATGTCACTTAATGTTCTACTGTACCAGCTGTTGATGTAGAATGTCATTTAATGTTCTACTGTACTAGCTGTTGATGTAGAATGTCACTTAATGTTCTACTGTACCAGCTGTTGATGTAGAATGTCACTAAATATTCTGTTGTTGATTTAGAATGTCACTAAATGTTCTTTTGTTGATTTAGAATGTCACTAAATGTTCCACTGTACCAGCTGTTGATTTAGAATGTCACTAAATATTCTACTGTACCAGTTGTTGATGTAGAGTGTCACTAAATGTTCTGCTATTGATGTAGAATGTCACTAAACGTTCTGCTGTTGAAGTAGAATGTCACTAAATATTTTGCTGTATCAGCTGTTGATGTAGAATGTCATGGAATGTTCTGCTCTAACAGCTGTTGGTGTAGTAAGTCACTAAATGTTCTGCTCTAACAGCTGTTGATGTAGAAGGTCAGTAAAATGTTCTACTGTACCAGTTGTTGATGTAGACTGTCACTAATTGTTCTGCTGTTGATGTAGAATGTCACTAAATGTTCTGCTGTTGATGTAGAATGTCACTAAATTTTCTGCTGTGCAAGCTGTTGATGTAGATTGTCACTAAATTGTGTCACTGTTGGTGTAGAATGTAACTAAAGATTTTGCTGTACCACCTGTTGATGTAGAATGTCAGTAAAATGTTCTACTGTACCAACTGTTGATGTAGAATGTCACTAGATGTTCTACTGTACCAGCTGTTAATGTAGAATGTCACTGAATGTTCTGCTGTACCAGCTGTTTATGTAGATTGTTAGTAAAATGTTCTACTATACATGCTGTTGATGTAGAACGTAACTAAATGTTGGGCTTTTGAAGAAGAATGTCAGTAAACTGTACATCTTGCTGTTGATGTAGAACATTGACTGTAACTATAATGTTGGGTTCACTTTTGAAACAATCTTACAAGAAGAATGTCAGTAAACGCTCTGCTGCAAAACATTAGAAACTATCTTACATACATAGGTTCACTAGTGAGTTCACATTGACTGATGACAGAAACAATCTTACATACATAGGTTCACTAGTGAGTTCACATTGACTGATGACAGAAACAATCTTACATACATAGGTTCACTAGTGAGTTCACATTGACTGATGACAGAAACAATCTTACATAACTAGGGACAATTGACTTACATACATAGAGTTCACTAGATGAGAAACAATCTTCATACATAGTTGACTGAGTTCACATTGACAGAAACAATCTTACATACATAGGTTTACTAATGAGTTCACATTGACTGGTGACATAAACAATCTTACATACATCAAGCTGACTTGTGGGTACCATTGATTGATGACAAAAACAATCTTACATACATAGGTTCACTAATGAGTTTACATTGACTGATGACAGAAACAATCTTACATACATAGGTTTACTAGTGAGTTCACATTGACTGATGACAGAAACAATCTTACATACATCAAGCTGACTTGTGGGTACCATTGATTGATGACAGAAACAATCTTACATACATCAAGCTGACTTGTGGGTACCATTGATTGATGACAGAAACAATCTTACATACATCAAGCTGACTTGTGGGTACCATTGATTGATGACAGAAACAATCTTACATACATCAAGCTGACTTGTGGGTACCATTGATTGATGACAGAAGCCATGTTTGTGTCTCTGTACAGTATCCTGTATGCAGATATTGTCAACTTCACACCCCTGGCTGCAGAGTGCACGGCAGCCGAGCTGGTGAAGATGTTGAACGAGCTGTTCGGTCGCTTTGATCAGCTGGCTAAGGTACTCATATCTTTACTGTTCTCTTTCTCGGTTGTCACATCATCATCACGTGCCCTGTCGATTGGCATAGGCGTTCAAGCATCTCCACAAATCTCGGTCCCTTGTCCACTGGATGAGTTCCACCGATGATATCCCTCCATGCTACCGTGTCAATCCATCGGTCGTCATCACTCTTGGTCTGCCTCTTCCTTTTCTTCCATTGATATTCCAAGTCGTTACGAAATTATTGATAGAGCCCCCCCCCCCCCCCCCCCCCCCTATCACATGACCAAGGAACAATGCTTTCTTTTCCTTATAGATGTAAATATTGATTTGCTTTCATTAGCTTCTTTTAAGCAATCCTCGTTAGTTACTCTGGCAGTCCAAGGGATTCGTAACATTTGTCTGAGAAACTTTATTTCCATCGCCTCCCAATTTTTTCTACTTTGTGCATTCACATTCTGTGATCACTACCATACATCAATATAGGTTCTACACAACATTTTATTACTCACTTTCAGACATCCAAAGAGAGGGACCTGTTGCATAAGATGATGTTTATTCTGTGAAATGTAGCCATAGTCTGGCCTATACATCTCTTAATTTCTGCCACACATCTTCCATCTGATGTTATGACTGTACCCAGATATTTGAATTTATCGACTTGGACTAACTTGTAACCTTCTATTCTAATATCACACTGTGGTGGTATTCTTTTCTTTGATGTAACCATTACCTCCATTTTCTTTAAATTCAAGGAGAGATCCGTTTGTTGCACTCTCCTTCACTTCAGTGTCCCATAATTGTTTGTTATCTAGAACCATTTGATCTGTACTGTGTCTGATTTATGTCGAGTAATTTTATCTTTATTACTGTCTCACTTATCTAGAGTAATTTTATCTTTATTGCTGTCTCACTTATCTAGAGTAATTTTATCTTTATTACTGTCTCACTTATCTAGAGTAATTTTATCTTTATTACTGTCTCACTTATCTAGAGTAATTTTATCTTTATTACTGGCCCACTTATCTAGAGTAATTTTATCTTTATTACTGTCCCACTTATCTAGAGTAATTTTATCTTTATTACTGTCTCACTTATCTAGAATAATTTTATCTTCACTATTGTCCCAGATACAGCTAGAATAATTTTATAGTTTCTTTTGTCCCAGATTATCTATAATCATTGTATCTTGACTTGTGTTGACACTGAAATGTGAATGCTGGTGTTGTAGAAAAGCAACTGCATGAGAATCAAGATTCTGGGCGACTGCTACTACTGTGTCTCTGGAGTTCCTAGCCCAGACAAGAGCCACGCCTTAAACTGTGTCCGCATGGGCCTGCGCATGTTGGAAGCTATCAGGCTAGTCATAAATTTATCATTTATCTATTTCATTGATCGTTTTATATATATATATATATATATATTATATATATATATATATATATATATATATATATATATATATATATATATATATATATATATATATATATATATATATATATATATATATATATATATGTATATGTATATGTATGTATATATATGTATGTATATATATGTATGTATATATATGTATATATATGTATGTATATATATGTATGTATATATATATGTATGTATATATATATATATGGCTTTTTTCTGGCAGTACACACCACTTAGAGTTCAGGCCACGTTTTCTATTCGAAAAATAGCTCTGTATTTATATATATATGTGTATGTATGTAGTTGTATGTGTGTGTTTATATATATATGTATGTGTGTGTATATATATAAGGCTTGCACGGGCTTTGTGTGTATGTGTCATAGATCTATCGTTTGTACACCTTTAGTCATAGATTTATTATATGTGCCTACAGTTATAAATCCACCAACTAAATATGTGTCATAGGTATATCAAGTTTTGATCTAAACATTATCCGTCTGTCTGACAGTTTGTAAATATTCATCATAAATAGGAATGTTGGCTTGAGCACATTGACTGGTCTTATACCCAGGATATGAACACATAGACTGGTCTTATGTCCATGGCTTGAACACATTGACTGGTCTTAAACCCAGGATATGAACACATTGACTGGTCTTATGTCCATGGCTTGAACACATTGACTGGTCTTGTGCCCAGTGATTGAGCACATTGACTGGTCTTATGCCCAGGACATGAACACATTGACTGGTCTTATACACAGGGCATGAACACATTGACTGGTCTTATACCCAGGGCATGAACACATTGACTGGTCTTATACCCAGGTCATGAACACATTGACTGGTCTTATGCTCAGGGCATGAACACATCGACTGGTCTTATGCCCAGGGCTTGAGTACATTGACTGGTCTTATGCCCAGGGCTTTTTTTTGGGTCTGGTGGTACGCAACAGTAGGTAGAAACGGGAACTTTTGAACGCATCATTTTCTCAGTGCTGCACTAACAGACACATGATAGTGAGTACCAGCAGGCTACAGTCAGTATTCTGGTGATGAAGGTCAGGTGGGATGGAAAAGATGTAGCAGTTGTGGTTTTATCTCAGTTCTATGGGATGGAAAAGATGTAGCAGTTATGGTTTGATCTCAGTTCTATGGGATGGAAAAGATGTAGCAGTTATGGTTTGATCTCAGTTCTATGGGATGGAAAAGATGTAGCAGTTATGGTTTGATCTCAGTTCTATGGGATGGAAAAGATGTAGCAGTTATGGTTTGATCTCAGTTCTATGTGATGGAAGAGATGTAGCAGTTATGGTTTGATCTCAGTTCTATGGGATGGAAGAGATGTAGCAGTTATGGTTTGATCTCAGTTCTATGGGATGGAAGAGTTATGGTTTGATCTCAGTTCTATGAGATGGAAGAGTTATGGTTTGATCTCAGTTGTATGAGATGGAAGAGTTATGGTTTGATCTCAGTTCTATGAGATGGAAGAGATGTAGCAGTTATGGTTTGATCTCAGTTCTATGAGATGGAAGAGTTATGGTTTGATCTCAGTTCTATGAGATGGAAGAGTTATGGTTTGATCTCAGTTCTATGGGATGGAAGAGTTATGGTTTGATCTCAGTTCTATGAGATGGAAGAGATGTAGCAGTTATGGTTTGATCTCAGTTCTATGAGATGGAAGAGTTATGGTTTGATCTCAGTTCTATGAGATGGAAGAGTTATGGTTTGATCTCAGTTCTATGGGATGGAAGAGTTATGGTTTGATCTCAGTTCTAGAGCAGCAAGAGAAAACAATTTGTTGTTTGTTGTGCTGATGTACGTGGCTTCAGGGGTCTTTGTTGTCTCATTGCTAGGGAGGTCAGGGAGGCTACCGGTGTGGATGTGGACATGCGGATCGGGGTGCACACTGGCTCCGTCCTGTGTGGGGTCCTGGGTCTAAGGAAGTGGCAGTACGATGTTTGGTCCGATGATGTCACAATAGCCAATCACATGGAGTCTGGAGGGGTGCCAGGGTAAGTGGTATTACAGTGTTTGGTCTGATGATATCACAATAGCCAATAAAATGAAGTCTGGCGGGGTGCCAGGGTAAGTCACAGTATGATGTTTGGTCCGATGATGTCACAATAGCCAATCACATGGAGTATCATCATCATCATCATCAGGTGCCTTGCCGACTGGCGTGGGTGATCATGCCTCTCCATAATCTGTGATCTCCTGCAGCATGTATCAGTTTGTGTGCCGACACACCTCCATGCCATGCAACAAGACTGTCAAGCATCTTCTCTCGTTGTCTCCCTCTATCTCTCCTTCCACATATCTTTCCAGTGGTCATCTTTCCGATGATATCACAATAGCCAAAAAAATGGAGTCTGGCGGGGTGCCAGGGTAAGTCGCAGTATGATGTTTGGTCTGATGATGTCACTGTGGCTAATCACATGGAGTCTGGAGGGGTGCCAGGGTAAATCACAGTATGATGTTTGGTCCGATGGTGTCACAATAGCCAATCACATGGAGTCTAGAGGGGTGCCAGGGTAACTGGCAGTATGATGTTTGGTCTGATGGTGTCACAATGGCCAATCACATGAAGTCTGGAGGGGTGCCAGGGTAAGTTGCAGTACAATTTTTGGTCTGATGATGTCACATTGGCCAATCACATGAAGTCTGGAGTGGCGCCAGGGTAAGTTGTAGTACAATGTTTGGTCCGATGATGTCACAATGGCTAATCACATGAAGTCTGGAGGAGTGCCAGGGTAAGTTTTGGTCTGATGATGTCACAATGGCTAATCACATGAAGTCTGGATGGGCGCCAGGGTAAGGTGCATGCTGCTTTATTTAGTCACTGAATACGTACTTTAACTCTCTGAGTCCCAAAACGTTTTGCCTATATTCCAAAGAGGCTCAGTAGCAACTATAAATAGTCACAAATGTTAAGCTTTTATAAGGTAAAGTGCACAGTTACTGGATGGGTGCCGGTGCTGGTGTCGTCAACATTGTGCTTGTGGTATTTTGGTGATAGTGATGATGAATAAGACAACAGTCATTGTATAGCTTCTCTTGGATCTGTGCAGGTGAGGATTTCTGGGTCAAATTTATGATGGTGGTGTTGCATTATGATGGTTTCGTAAGATAATGTTGGCGAAGTTGTTGCAGTATGATGGTTTTGTAGGATGATGATGAGTTATGCTCTTGTAAGATAAGAGTATTGGAAGAGGATGATGATGTTTTATGATGGTGTTGTAAGATGATGTTTTATGGTATTGTTGTAAGATAATGTTTTATGATGGTGTTGTAAGATGATGTTTTATGGTATTGTTGTAAGATGATGTTTCATGGTATTGTTGTAAGATAATGTTTTATGGTATTGTTGTAAGATAATGTTTTATGATAGTGTTGTAAGATGATGTTTTATGGTATTGTTGTAAGATGATGTTTAATGGTATTGTTGTAAGATAATGTTTTATGATAGTGTTGTAAGATGATGTTTTATGGTATTGTTGTAAGATAATGTTTTATGGTATTGTTGTAAGATAATGTTTTATGGTATTGTTGTAAGATAATGTTTTATGATAGTGTTGTAAGATGATGTTTTATGGTATTGTTGTAAGATGATGTTTTATGATGGCATTGTAAGATAATGTTTTATGATGGTGTTGTAAGATGATGTTGGATAATGGTGTTTGCAGCCGTGTGCACATAACCAAACAAACCTTTGACTGTCTGGAAGGGGAGTATGAGGTAGAAGAAGGCCGAGGCCACGAGAGGAGCACCTACCTGGCAGAAAACCAGGTGGAGACTTACCTGGTTGTGCCTGTAGAGAGGAGGCAGGTGAGTCAGTCCGTTGAACTTCCCAAATATCATGTTTTGCTTGTCCTTTTGTGTTCTTGCATCTCTAATCTGTTACTTGATTAATATTATTTCACCAATGTCGTATTATTTCTGAGCCAGTACTTGTTTGACATCATGGCATGGCTGGACATATCGTTTGGGACAGCATTTCATGATTAAGATAATGCCAGCTGTACAGAATTTCATAACTGGGGTATGACAAGTCCCAAACATTGTAAGTAACATGACCCGCTAGCCACGTACTGGTTGAATACAGTCTCATGATTGAGGGAGCACTAATTGTGCATCATGTCCTGATTGAAGTGGCACTAGTTGTACAGTGTTTCATGACGGAAAGTGTCTTACAGCAAGGTACGGCAGAACATAACCAGTTGTACACCATTTCCTGATTAAGGTAGCACTAAATAAATACATTTCCTGATTAAGGTAGCACTAAATAAATACATTTCCTGATTAAGGTAGCACTAAATAAATACATTTCCTGAATAAGGTAGCACTAATTAAATAAATTTTCTGATTAAGGCAGCACTAATTAAATACATTTCCTGATTAAGGCAGCACTAGGTGTACAATATTTAATGATTGAAGTATGCAACATTTTTACAGATCTGAACACCAAGCAAGATTGGCTAATAAACAGCATCTTGTCTTGGAAGCTGAAATATTTTTGTTCAAGCACAAAGGCGGATTGGAACAAACTATAGCAGAAGGCATGGCACCAGGAAGGAGGGGCAGATGCCAACAAACACAAAGATGGACACATGATATACATGACTGACTCCTTGGGTTTGAAGGTACATGAGGCTGGCAAGAGACCGAATTTCTTTCAGGCAGACTGTGATTAGAGCGACGTTCTGCAAAGGATCTTCTACATGATGATGCTGATGAGTCTGCAAGATTGCTAAATTATTGGAGCACTTTGATCAGACATTGCTGGAGTATGAAAGGGCTGACAAACTGACATGAATGACTCATAAGACAAGTGGTGTACTTCCTGGTATGTTCATGGCCAACAGTTGTACAACATATCAAACCAAGGGGGAACTTTCATCAGGGTCCAATGTGAACATCTCTGACAGCATAAAGGTTCTTTCTCCAGACACCAGCAAGTTTATCTATGTTTGTTACCTGGTCATCAACAAGATTTCAGTACGTGCTGTATTCAGTTGTCATATCTTCATATCGTTAGTCCTCAGCCTGTCATTTGATGATCTAAAAGATGTCAGTATGTGTTGTGCATACACATGTCACATGTTCACGTAACCAGCTGTCTCTCCCTCTCTGCTGGCAGACCAACAGGAAGCTGGGTAAGACCAGGTACCACAATGCAGGGATGGGCATCCGCAAGTCCGTGCTGGTGACCAAGTTCCTGGAGAGCTGGGGTGTGGACAAACCCTTTGCTAACCTGCAGACCAGCTCCATGGTCTCCAAGGTGCTCAGTCTCACAGTAAGTGGCTGTCCTCGTTGATCTCTTACACAGTTGGGGGAGGGGGGTGTGTGTCAGGAACATGAAATGTTTTTGTAGATAGATTTATGTAGCACCATCTCTGTCCTTCTGTCTATCTACTTGTCAGTCTGTTTATCTCTCTGTTTATCTGTCTGTCTATCTGTCTTATTTCACTCTCTGTGTATGCTTTATTTTTGTGACAAGGAAGGTCAGTGCTGTGTGTGTTGAGCACGTGTTGTGTGATGATGGCAGTAATAACATATCATGTTGTGTGATGATGGCAGTAATAACATATCATGTTGTGTGATGATGGCAGTAATAACATATCATGTTGTGTGATGATGGCAGTAATACCATATTATGTTGTGTGATGATGGCAGTAATAACATATCATGTTGTGTGATGATGGCAGTAATAACATATCATGTTGTGTGATGATGGCAGTAATACCATATTATGTTGTGTGATGATGGCAGTAATAACATATCATGTTGTGTGATGATGGCAGTAATACCATATTATGTTGTGTGATGATGGCAGTAATAATATATCATGTTGTGTGATGATGACAGTAATACCATATCATGTTGTGTGACAGACAAGCTTGTTTGTGAGTGTTGTTCATTTATTCTGTAACACTGTTAGTACACTGTGTGCATAGAACAGAGAATGAGTGTGTTTGTATGTGTAAAGACTACATAATGTTACAAATGAGGCCAGCTCTAAGTATTGTCTCTGCCAACTCAAAGGACTTGCGTACAAGCTCTGGAGTTTTTTTTTTTTTTTTTTTAATGGACCTTGGCTGCAAGGTCAATTCAGCCTAAAATGTCCAAGGAAGTAAAATTGGCCAGAGTAATATTGGCCACCTCCGCCATCAAGTGCCGATGGTCTATGAAAATATGATTCTAACATCATATCTCTGATGCCTAACTGCAGTAAACAAAGTCCTGTTGTCGGTGTGTGACTGATATCTGAGATGTGGCTTTTGTGGCCGTCACTATTGGATATATGAACAATCGATGTGTGTGCAAACTGTGTTATCTCTTGTCTTGATCTTAGACATCTCTTGATTGTCTGTGCATTCAGTGGTCAGGGGTTTATGAGTGTGTGTTATCTCTTGTCTTGATCTTAGACATCTCTTGATTGTCTGTACATTCAATGGTCAGGGGTTTATGAGTGTGTTATCTCTTGTCTTGATCTTAGACATCTCTTGATTGTCTGTACATTTAGTTGTCAGGGGTTTATAAGTGTTTGTTATCTCTTGTCTTGATCTTAGACATCTCTTGATTTTCTGTACATTTAGTTGTCAGGGGTTTATAAGTGTTTGTTATCTCTTGTCTTGATCTTAGACATCTCTTGATTGTCTGTACATTCAGTGGTCAGGGGTTTATGAGTGTTTGTTATCTCTTGTCTTGATCTTAGACATCTCTTGATTGTCTGTACATTCAATGGTCAGGGGTTTATGAGTGTGTTATCTCTTGTCTTGATCTTAGACATCTCTTGATTGTCTGTACATTTAGTTGTCAGGGGTTTATAAGTGTTTGTTATCTCTTGTCTTGATCTTAGACATCTCTTGATTGTCTGTACATTTAGTTGTCAGGGGTTTATAAGTGTTTGTTATCTCTTGTCTTGATCTTAGACATCTCTTGATTGTCTGTACATTTATGTCTTTATAAGTGTTTGTTATCTCTTGTCTTGATCTTAGACATCTCTTGATTGTCTGTACATTTAGTTGTCAGGGGTTTATAAGTGTGTGTTATCTCTTGTCTTGATCTTAGACATCTCTTGATTGTCTGTACATTCAATGGTCAGGGGTATATGTGAGTGTGTTATCTCTTGTCTTGATCTTAAACACTTCTTGAATGTCTGTACATTTAATGGTCAGGGGTTTATGAGTGTGTGGACTGTGTGATGTGAACACAAAGTAATCTCTTGATATTCTATATGTTCTACGGCCAGGATGTGAATGTGTGGACTATGTGACCTGAACAAGGAAATAATCTCTTGATAGTCTGTATGTTCTGTGGCCAGGGGTTTGTGAATGTGTGTACTATGTGATGTGAACACGGAAATAATCTCTTGATAGTCTGTTTTTTCTGTGGCCAGGGGTTATGAATGTGTGGTCTATGTGATATGAACACAGAAATGATCTCTTGATAGTCTGTATTTTTTCTGTGGCCAGGGGTTAATGAATGTGTGGTCTATGTGATGTGAACACGGAAAAAATCTCTTGATAGTCTGTATGTTCTGTGGCCAGGGGTTTGTGAATGAGTGAACTGTGTGATGTGAACAAGAAAGGTAGTTTGTTCCATGACTGTTAGTTCATGTGAGCTGAAGGCTGGTATCAGTTGTACATCTGTATCCATATTTCAGAGCCTGGCACTGGTTGACTCCAGCATCATGATGAATTCGTCAGGCATGGATCAGGGGTAAGTGAGAAACATCATTCATCTCCATCTGGGGTAAGTGAAACACATCACTCATCTCTATCAGGAGTAAGTGACACACATCACTCATCTCTGTCAAGGGTAAGTGAAACACATCACTCGTCTCCATCAGGGGTAAGAGAGACACATCACTCGTCTCCATCAGGGGTAAGAGAGACACATCACTCATCTCCAGCTGGGGTAAGAGAGACACATCACTCATCTCCATCTGGGGTAAGAGAGACACATCACTCATCTCTATCAGGGGTAAGAGAGACACATCACTCATCTCCATTAGAGGTAAGAGAGACACATCACTCATCTCTATCTGGGATAAGAGAGACACATCACTCATCTCTATCAGGGGTAAGAGAGACACATCACTTGTCTCTGTCAGGGGTAAAAGAGACACATCACTTATCTCCATCAGGGGTAAAAGAGACACATCACTTATCTCCATTAGAGGTAAGAGAGACACATCTCTCATCTCTTAGGGGTAAGAGAGACACATTACTCATCTCTGTCAGGGGTAAGTGGCACACATTACTAATCTCTATCAGGGGTAAGTAGCACACGTCACTCATCTCTATTAGGGGTAAGAGAGACACATCACTCATCTCCATCAGGGGTAAGTGACACACATCACTCATCTCTATCAGGAGTAAGTAAGAAACATCAGTCATGTCCATCAGGGGTAAGTGGCACACATCACATCTCCATCAGGGGTAAGAGACACATCACTCATCTCCATCAGGGGTAAGTGGCACACATCACTCATCCCCATCAGGGGTAAGAGAGACACATCACTCATCCCCATCAGGGGTAAATGGCACACATCACTCATCTCCATCAGGGGTAAGAAAGACACATCACTCATCTCCATCAGGGGTAAGTGGCACACATCACTTATCTCCATTAGGGGTAAGAGAGACACATCACTTATCTCCGTCAGGGGTAAGAAAGACACATCACTCATCTCCATCAGGGGTAAGAAAGACACATCACTCATCTCCATCAGGGGTAAGTGGCACACATCACTCATCTCCATCAGGGGTAAGTGGCACACATCACTCATCTCCATTAGGGGTAAGAGAGACACATCACTCATCTCCATCAGGGGTGAGAGAGACACATCACTCATCTCTATCAGGGGTAAGTGGCACACATCACTCATCTCTATCAGGGGTAAGTGGCACACATCACTCATCTCCATCAGGGGTAAGAGAGACACATCACTCATCTCCATCAGGGGTAAATAGCACTGATCACTCATCTCCATCAGGCGTTTGTGGCACACATCACACATCTCCATCTGTCGTGTTTCTCTGCTCCCCTCTCCACATCCAGGCCATGGGCAGCCACTTGGATCGGACCTTTCAGTGGCTGTCTTTTTTAGATTTCGAACTGCTTTCCCCAGTCATTGTCTTTATAATCTCACCTCCCACTGTCTGTGTGATCTCCCCTCACAATGTCAATATAATTTATGTTCCCACTCTCTATATGATCTCCCACACACTGTGTGCCTGATCTGCCCTCTCCTACTGCCTGTCTGTATGATCTGCTCTCCCACTGCCTGTCTGTATGATCTGCTCTCCCACTGCTGTCTGTATGATCTGCTCTCCCACTGCCTGTCTGTATGATCTGCTCTCCCACTGCCTGTCTGTATGATCTGCTCTCCCACTGCCTGTCTGTATGATCTGCTCTCCCACTGCCTGTCTGTATGATCTGCTCTCCCTCTGTCTGTCTGTATGATCTGCTCTCCCACTGCTGTCTGTATGATCTGCTCTCCCACTGCCTGTCTGTATGATCTGCTCTCCCACTGCCTGTCTGTATGATCTGCTCTCCCACTGCCTGTCTGTATGATCTGCTCTCCCACTGCCTGTCTGTATGATCTGCTCTCCCACTGTCCATCTGTATGATCTGCTCTCCCACTGCCTGTCTGTATGATCTGCTCTCCCACTGTCCGTCTGTATGATCTGCTCTCCCACTGCCTGTCTGTATGATCTGCTCTCCCACTGTCTGTCTGTATGATCTGCCCTCCTACTGCCTGTCTGTATGATCTGCTCTCCCACTGCCTGTCTGTATGATCTGCTCTCCCACTGTTTGTCTGTATGATCTGCTCTCCCACTGCCTGTCTGTATGATCTGCTCTCCCACTGCCTGTCTGTATGATCTGCTCTCCCACTGTCCGTCTGTATGATCTGCTCTCCCACTGCCTGTCTGTATGATCTGCTCTCCTACTGTCTGTCTGTCTGATCTGCTCTCCCACTGTCCGTCTGTATGATCTGCTCTCCCACTGTCTGTATGTCTGATCTGCTCTCCTACTGCCTGTCTGTATGATCTTCTCTCCCACTGCCTGTCTGTATGATCTGCTCTCCCACTGTTTGTATGTCTGATCTGCTCTCCCACTGCCTGTCTGTATGATCTGCTCTCCCACTGCCTGTCTGTATGATCTGCTCTCCCACTGCCTGTCTGTATGATCTGCTCTCCCACTGCCTGTCTGTATGATCTGCTCACCCACTGCCTGTCTGTATGATCTGCTCTCCCACTGCCTGTCTGTATGATCTGCTCTCCCACTGCCTGTCTGTATGATCTGCCCTCCTACTGCCTGTCTGTATGATCTGCTCTCCCATTGCCAGTCTGTATGATCTGCTCTCCCATTGCCTGTCTGTATGATCTGCTCTCCCACTGCCTGTCAGGATACCACAGACTTGATGTATTTTTGCAGGCTGATGGCAGCAGACAAGCAGCAGCAGGACGAGATCAATACCAGGTTAAGGGACCGTCTCAGCAGCATCAGCAACAGCAGGTGAGTGCGGCACCCTTCCAAATTATTCACTGCTTAAACAAATCTAACTCAGGGCTTCAAAAGGTCAAATAGTTAAAAAATATGGAATAGGAACACTACGTACTATGCTTTGCATCATTATATACTTTCATTTGCACCAAACTCTCATGTCTTCAGTAGTACAGTTGTAAGTAATCTGCCTGTCACGTGGGTGACGGTGTTCAATTTCCCCGCCTGGTGATAATTCATATTAGCCCTTAAAAGGACGATTGAGATGTTGTGTTGTGGTTTACAGCTAGGCTGCGATATCTGCACCGTTTGGTCCAACACATCCGATTTCAGCAAAGTCCTAATTTGTCATCTTTTTTAACATGCTTTTTAGTTGGTAGTGAAGCTATTCTTTATGTTTTTTCTTCAAGCATGTGGCCCTGGAACCCACAAGACGAGTCACGGGTAATGTGAACAATGGATCAAAAACTATTCCGCCCCATAACGCTTTAATGGATCAAAAACTACTACTTCCCACGATGCTTCAACTCTATTCCTCCCCACGGCGCTTAGCTTAACATCTAATCATTGCTATCCATCGAGCAATAACGCAGGAGTGGAACTGATGATGATGGCCTAAATGTTTTAACTACATAACCTCTTGAGGCTCTCAAAAGGATGTTTTTTGCAGTGAAAAATTTGGGACCGCAGTTGGAAGAGTGCCAGTGAGTGCTGTCCCTTCATCTTGCTGGATTGCTGGTGCTTATATCAGCTGATGTTGACATCTCTGCTCTCCAGCTATTACTGATATTGACATCTCAACTGCCCAGCTAGTACTGACACTGATATCTCTACTGTCCATCTGGCACTGACATTTATATCTCAACTGCCCAGCTAGTACTGACACTGATATCTCTACTGTCCATCTGGCACTGACATTTATATCTCAACTGCCCAGCTAGTACTGACACTGATATCTCTACTGTCCATCTGGCACTGACACTTATATCTCAACTGCCCAGCTAGTACTGAAATTGACACCTCTACTGTTCTGCTGGCACTGACATTTACATCTCAACTGCCCAACTAGTGCTAACATTGACACCTCTACTGCCCAGCTAGTACTGACATTGACACCTCTACTGCCCAGCTAGTACTGACATTGACACCTCTACTGTCCAGTTGGTACTGATATTGACACCTCTACTGCCCAGCTAGTACTGACATTGACACCTCTACTGTCCAGCTGGTACTGACATTGACACCTCTACTGCCCAACTAGTGCTAACATTGACACCTCTACTGCCCAGCTAGTACTGACATTGACACCTCTACTGTCCAGCTGGTACTGACATTGACACCTCTACTGCCCAGCTAGTACTGACATTGACACCTCTACTCTCCAGCTGGCACTGACATTTATATCTCAACTGCCCAGCTAGTGCTAATATTGACACCTCTACTGCCCAGCTGGCACTGACATTGACATCTCAAATGCCCAGCTGGCACTGGCCTTGACATCTCAACTGCCCAGCTAGTACTGACATTGACACCTCAACTGCCTAGCTAGTACTGACACTGACATTCAGGTAAGGTGGATACAGCAAGTGGATCTCTGCTGATATCAGATCAAATTGATTGACTGACTAGCTGATTGTTTGCCTAGCTGACTGATTGAATGAGTAGCTAACTGGTTGACTTATTGACTTACTATCTGACTGATTGTTTGCCTAGTTGACTAACTGAATGAATTGCTAACTGGTTGACTCATTAACTTACTAGCTGACTGATTGTTGTTTGCCTGACTGACTGAATGAGTAGCTAACTGATTGATTCGATAATTGACTAGCTGACTGATTGAAAAGATAATTTATAGACTTACTGATTAACTGATTTTGAATGACTGATTTCATTAATAGAGTGACTTTTATTTTAGTGATAGTATGACTAATTTCATAATTAGAGTGACTGATTTTTTTTTTTGATAGACTGACTGACTGATTATTATGATTGACTGACTGACTAATTGACTAGCTTTTTGACTGGCTGACTGATTGTTTTGCTGTTTGATTTACTGACTGAATGGCTGATTCACCAGCATCATCTAAGACTTGCCTAGTTGTATCTGGTTTCATTTACCTGTACAGTCATGACCTACAGTTGTCCTCCACCTCCTCATGTGACACCATAGTTACTCAAATATTGAACCTGATTTCCTGTTACCATGATCTTGTGACACCTGCCAGGATGTTACCATGATGTTGTGACACCTGCCAGGATGTTACCATGATGTTGTGACACCTGCCAGGATGTTACCATGATGTTGTGACACCTGCTAGGATGTTACCATGATGATGTGACACCTGCCAGGGTGTTACCATGATGATGTGACACCTGCCAGGATGTTACCATGATGTTGTGACACCTGCCAGGATGTTACCATGATGTTGTGACACCTGCCAGGATGTTACCATGATGTTGTGACACCTGCCAGGATGTTACCATGATGTTGTGACACCTGCTAGGATGTTACCATGATGATGTGACACCTGCCAGGGTGTTACCATGATGTTGTGACACCTGCCAGGATGTTACCATGATGTTGTGACACCTGCCAGGATGTTACCATGATGTTGTGACACCTGCTAGGATGTTACCATGATGATGTGACACCTGCCAGGGTGTTACCATGATGATGTGACACCTGCCAGGGTGGACATGTTTGTGAGATAGCGCTGAAACAGTTTGTTGTCCAATCTCCTAGCTATCACTGCAGACGGGAGTCTGACATGCACCCAGCACTCTTGAGATTTGTGGATGCCTCAGCCGAGCACAGCTTCTCCCAGCAGTCGGACCACATGTTCTCCTTCTACGTCCTCCTGGCATTGATCATCTTCCTGGTTGTGTTTGTCATCCAAGCCATCATGTTGCCCAGGTGGGTTTCTTCTTTGCTGTCTGTCTGTCTTTCAGTCCCAGGAGGGTTTTGCATCAGAGATTCTAGTAAAGAGAAATGTAAAATCGGCACATGTTAGGTTCATTGGAGATCTAGGTAGATTTTGATGCATTTCTTGAGACTGAAAGAGTTCCTGTCATTCCACAAGTTTTCAGTACATGATTGGTGTCATAACACACGTTGACTTTTAGAAATCTTTGTCCTGTCATAATCCCCAGTGATTTTGTGTGTGTGGTTTTTTTTTTTTTAACGTGAAAGCACACACACAGCACACATATTTAATGTGTTGAATATTTCACAACATATCCCCATATCCCTAAATGTTTCACAGCATATCCCCATATAACTGAATGTTTCACAACATATTCCCACATCCCTGAGTGTTTCACAACATATTCCCATCTTCTTAAATGTTTCACAAAATATCCAAATCTTTCTGAATGTTTTACAACATATCCCCATCTTCCTAAATGTTTCACAACATATTACTATTTTCCTGACTGTTTTACAACATTTTCCCATCTCCTTAAGTGTTTCACAACATATTCCCGTATCCCTGAATCTTTCACAAAATATTCCTGTATTCCTGAACGTTTTGCAACATATCTGAATCTTCCTGAGTGTTTCACAACATATTTCTATCTCCTTAGTTGTTTCACAACATGTCCCCATCTCCTGGAATATTTCACAACATATTCCCATGTCCCTGAATATTTCACAATTTTATTCCCATTTCCCTGAATGTTTTACAACATATTCCAATATTCCTGAATGTTTTACAACATATTCCCATATCCCTGAATGTTTCACAACATATGCCTATCTCCTTAAATGTTTCACAACATATTTCCATATCCCTGAATGTTTCACAAAATATTCCTGTATTCCAGAATGTTTTACAACATGTCCGAATCTCCCTGTATGTTTCACAACATATTTCTATCTCCCTGTATGTTTCACAAGATATTCCCATCTCCCTGTATATTTTGCTTGCAGAAGTGCGCTATTCTTTGTGAGCTCAGTGCTTGGTGTACTGGTATACATGGCACTTATGGCTGTCTGTGTTTACAGTGATATCCCCTTACTGGTGAGTTTTCCCATTGTGTCTCTGTTGGTGTGTGTGCCTCTGTTGGTGTGTGCCACTGTTGGTGTGTGTGCCACTGTTGGTGTGTGTACCTCTGTTGGTGTGTGTGCTTCTGTTGGTGTGTGTGCCTCTGTTGGTGTGTATTCCTCTGTTGGTGTGTGTGTGTGTGTGTAACTGTTGGTGTGTGTGTGTCTGTTGGTGTGTGTGTCTCTGTTGGTGTGTGTGCCACTGTTGGTGTGTGTGTCTCTGTTGGTGTGTGTGCCTCTGTTGGTGTGCGCCACTGTTGGTGTGTGTGCCACTGTTAGTGTGTGTACCTCTGTTGGTGTGTGTGCCTCTGTTGGTGTGTGTGCCTCTGTTGGTGTGTGTGCCTCTGTTGGTGTGTATGCCTCTGTTGGTGTGTGTGTGTGTGTGTCACTGTTGGTGTGTTTGTGTCTCTGTTGGTGTGTGTGCCTCTGTTGGTGTGTGCCACTGTTGGTGTGTGTGTCTCTGTTGGTGTGTGTGCCACTGTTGGTGTGTGTGCCACTGTTGGTGTGTGTGCCACTGTTGGTGTGTGTGCCTCTGTTGGTGTGTGTGCCACTGTTGGTGTGTGTGCCACTCTGTGGTGTGTGTGCCACTGTTGGTGTTTTTGCCTCTGTTGGTGTGTGTGCCTCTATAGGTGTGTGTGTTCCTCTGATGGTGTGTGTGCCTCTGTTGGTATGTGTGTTCCTCTGATGGTGTGTGTGCCTCTGTTGGTATGTGTGTTCCTCTGTTGGTGTGTGTGCCTCTATAGGTGTGTGTGTTCCTCTGTTGGTGTGTGTGCCTCTATAGGTGTGTGTGTTCCTCTGATGGTGTGTGTGCCTCTGTTGGTATGTGTGTTCCTCTGATGGTGTGTGTGCCTCTCTTGATGTATGTGCCTGTGTTGGTGTATGTGCCTGTGTTGGTGTGTGTGCCTCTGTTGGTGTGTGTGCCTCTGTTGGTGTGTGTGCCTCTCTTGATGTATGTGCCTCTGTTGGTGTGTGTGCCTCTGTTGGTGTGTGTGCCTCTGTTGGTGTGTGTGTGCCTCTCTTGATGTATGTGCCTCTGTTGGTGTATGTGCAGCTGTTGATGTGTGTGCCTCTGTTGGTGTGTGTGCCTCTGTTGGTGTGTGTGCCTCTGTTGGTGTGTGTGCAGCTGTTGGTGTGCGTGCTTCTGTTGGTATGTGTGTTCCTCTGATGGTGTGTGTGCCTCTCTTGGTGTATGTGCCTCTGTTGGTGTATGTGCAGCTGTTGGTGTGTGTGCCTCTGTTGGTGTGTGTGCCTCTGTTGGTGTGTGTGCAGCTATTTGTGTGTGTGCAGCTGTTGGTGTGTGCCTGTGTTGGTGTGTGTGCCTCTGTTGGTGTGTGTGCAGCTATTTGTGTGTGTGCAGCTGTTGGTGTGTGCCTCTGTTGGTGTGTGTGCAGCTGTTAGTGTGTGTGCAGCTGTTGGTGTGCGTGCTTCTGTTGGTGTGTGTGTGCAGCTGTTGGTGTGTGTGTGTAAGTGTGTGCAGCTGTCATCCAAATGTCATAGAAAGCAGAGTCCACTCTGGGCCAGGTGCCAGGAGAAAATAACAGCAAATAAATGTTACTGAGAAGGGGACATTTGATTTGTGACCCAAAAGAAAAATGTTATTAATGAAATGAGCTATCATTTTATTAGTGCATTGAGATAACATTTTATTTGTGTGTTATCTTGTAACTTTTTATTAGTATACTATAGGTGAAAATTTTATTAGTGTGCCATAAGTTAACATTTCATTAGTGTGCCATAAGTTAACATTTCATTAGTGTGCCGAAGTTAACATTTCATTAGTGTGCCATAAGTTAACATTTCATTAGTGTGCCATAAGTTAACATTTCATTAGTGTGCCATAAGTTAACATTTCATTAGTGTGCCATAAGTTAACATTTCATTAGTATGCCATAAGTAAACATTTCATTAGTATGTCATAAGTTAACATTTCATTAGTGTGCCATAAGTCAATATTTCATCAGTGCGCCATAAGTTAACATTTCATTAGTGTGCTATAAGTTAACATTTCATTAATTTGCCATAAGTTAACATTTCTTTAGTGTGCCATAAGTTAACATTTCTTAGTGTGCCATAAGTTAACATTTCTTTAGTGTGCCATTAGTTAACATTTCATTAGTGTGCCATTAGTTAACATTACATTAGTGTGCCAAAAGTTTACATTATTGTGCCATAAGGTAACATTTCATTAGTGTGCTATAAGTTAACATTACATTAGTGTGCTATAAGTTAACATTACATTAGTGTCCCATAAGTTTACATTATTGTGCCACAAGTTAACATTTCTTTAGTGTGCCATAAGTTAACATTACATTAGTATGCCATAAGTTAACATTTCATTAGTGTGCCATAAGTTAACATTTCATAAGTATGCCATAAGTTAACATTTTATTAGTGTGCAATAAGTTAACATTTCATAAGTATGCCATAAGTTAACATTTCATTAGTATGCCATAAGTTAACATTTCATTAGTGTGCCATAAGTAAACATTACATTAGTATGCCATAAGTTAACATTTCATTAGTGTGCCATAAGTTAATATTTCATTAGTGTGCCATAAGTTAACATTTCAATAGTATGCCATAAGTTAACATTTCATTAGTGTGCCATAAGTTAACATTTCATAAGTATGCCATAAGTTAACATTTTATTAGTGTGCAATAAGTTAACATTTCATAAGTATGCCATAAGTTAACATTTCATAAGTATGCCATAAGTTAACATTTCATTAGTGTGCCATAAGTAAACATTACATTAGTATGCCATAAGTTAACATTTCATTAGTGTGCCATAAGTTAATATTTCATTAGTGTGCCATAAGTTAACATTTCAATAGTATGCCATAAGTTAACATTTCATTAGTGTGCCATAAGTTAACATTTCATTAGTATGTCATAAGTTAACATTTAATTAGTATGCCATAAGTTAACATTACATTAGTATGCCATAAGTTAACATCTCATTAGTATGCCATAAGTTAACATCTCATTAGTATGTCATAAGTTAACATCTCATTAGTATGCCATAAGTTAACATTTCATTAGTATGCCATAAGTTATCATTTCTTTAGTGTGCCATAAGTTAACATCTCATTAGTGTGCCATAAGTTAACATCTCATTAGTGTGCCATAAGTTAACATCTCATTAGTGTGCCATAAGTTAACATTTTATTAGTGTGCCATAAGTTAACATCTCATTAGTATGTCATAAGTTAACATTTAATTAGTATGCCATAAGTTAACATTACATTAGTATGCCATAAGTTAACATCTCATTAGTATGCCATAAGTTAACATTTCATTAGTATGCCATAAGTCAAAATTTCATTAGTATGCCATAAGTTATCATTTCTTTAGTGTGCCATAAGTTAACATCTCATTAGTGTGCCATAAGTTAACATCTCATTAGTGTGCCATAAGTTAACATCTCATTAGTGTGCCATAAGTTAACATTTTATTAGTGTGCCATAAGTTAACATTTCATTAGTGTGCCATAAGTTAACATTTCATTAGTGTGCTATAAGTTAACATTTCTTTAATGTGCCATAAGTTAACATTTCTTTAGTATGTCATAAGTTAACATTTCATTAGTATGCCATAAGTTAACATTTCATTAGTATGCCATAAGTCAAAATTTCATTAGTATGCCATAAGTTATCATTTCTTTAGTGTGCCATAAGTTAACATCTCATTAGTGTGCCATAAGTTAACATTTCATTAGTGTGCCAAAAGTCAAAATTTAATTAGTAACCTACAAGGTTAGGCATGCAGTGATGAGTTGCGATGTGTTGACAGAAACGCTGGCACAAGTACCTGCACCTGATGCTGCCAGTCTCCAGACTGATTGTACACACAGCCTGGGTCCGGGTGCTGCTGTCTCTCCTCTCTGTGGGCCTCATCTTCTTCATCTCTACCATCACAATGGTTAGTTATTTTGTGTTTTCTTCTCTCTCTCTCTCTCTCTCTCTCTCGCTCTCTCTCTCTCGCTCTTTCTCTCTCTGTGTCTCACTAACCCATACCATTCACTTAACTATCTTATTTTCCCTGCTTTGTGCTTTGTCTCCCTCTCTCTCTCTCTCTCTCTCTCTCTCTCTGCTTGTCTCTCTCACTATCACTCACTGACTCCGTCCTGTTTCTTTCCCGTGTTGTGTTTATGTCCATCCTGTTATCCTTGTTTTATAACTGCATCTTTATAACAGGTGTTAGAACAAAACCCTTTCATAAACAGATGGATTTAAGTATTAAGGGCTGCTCAGCAGAGGCAACTGTAATGGATGAAGAAGGAATCCATATTGACTGGACCAGTGGTGCAGTTTCCCTACAGGGATCACTTTTTCAATTATTCAGTGGAGTTAGTGGCGCTGGAGTGAACGCTGTCCATATTATTACTCAGTGAATACAAATCTGAGTTAGAAGTGGCTATACTGACAGATGCTAGCTCAGTATTATCAGCAATACAACACAGTTAGCTAACACAGCACAACAGGCTAAGATCACTTCTGAAACAGATGGGTCAGCTGACCACACTGTGCTCCAAGCCACTGAAACAGATGGGTCAGCTGACCACACTGTGCTCCAAGCCACTGAAACAGATGGGTCAGCTGACCACACTGTGCTCCAGGCCACTGAAACAGATGGGTCAGCTGACCACACTGTGCTCCAAGCTACTGAAACTGATGGGTCAGCTGACCACACTGTGCTCCAAGCTACTGAAACTGATGGGTCAGCTGACCACACTGTGCTCCAAGCCACTGAAACAGATGGGTCAGCTGACCACACTGTGCTCCAAGCCACTGAAACTGATGGGTCAGCTGACCACACTGTGCTCCAAGCCACTGAAACTGATGGGTCAGCTGACCACACTGTGCTCCAAGCCACTGAAACTGATGGGTCAGCTGACCACACTGTGCTCCAAGCCACTGAAACTGATGGGTCAGCTGACCACACTGTGCTCCAAGCCACTGAAACTGATGGGTCAGCTGACCACACTGTGCTCCAAGCTACTGAAACTGATGGGTCAGCTGACCACACTGTGCTCCAAGCCACTGAAACTGATGGGTCAGCTGACCACACTGTGCTCCAAGCCACTGAAACAGATGGGTCAGCTGACCACACTGTGCTACAAGCCACTGAAACTGATTGGTCAGCTGACCACACTGTGCTCCAAGCCACTGAAACTGATGGGTCAGCTGACCACACTGTGCTCCAAGCTACTGCAACTGTACAGGAAATGATAGAGCAGACGATGTAGCAAACTTTGCAAGTCATTTAGAACAGCTGGATACAGGATGTGCTATGAGGAAACAAAACCCAGATTAAGGCAGCCATTGGAACACTTCCCATTCAGGACACATTTCTGAAGACACCCATTCAGCCTCCTTACACGCCAGAAACAGACCATTGTATTAAGATTGTGAAATGGGACACAACAGACTCCACAGCCTTGTGTACAAGACATCCAAGACTGGAGGCTGACAACTTGACCCTTGTGGACAGGTACCACATCAACATGTGTTTCAGACATGCTTACTACACGCAGTAGAGAGATCCTAGGTTTTGCTGTTGCCATTCCAATGGAAACCAAGCTTTATAGAGCAGAAGAAGTCATGTGTCATACCACAGACTTCCTAGAGGCTTGTGGTCTACAGTGGAAGACATGTGTCATACCACAGACTTCCTAGAATCTTGTGGTTTACAGTGGAAGACATGTGTCACACACCACAGACTTCCTAGAGGCTTGTGGTTTACAGTGGAAGACATGTCACACAACACAGACTTCCTAGAGGCTGTAGCCTACAGTGGAAGACATGTGTCACACACCACAGACTTCCTAGAGGCTTGTGGTCTACAGTGGAAGACATGTGTCACACCACAGACTTCCTAGAGTCTTGTGGTTTACAGTGGAAGACATGTGTCACACCACAGACTTCCTAGAGTCTTGTGGTTTACAGTGGAAGACATGTGTCATACCACAGACTTCCTGGAGTCTTGTGGTTTACAGTGGAAGACATGTGTCATACCACAGACTTCCTAGAGTCTTGTGGTTTACAGTGGAAGACATGTGTCACACCAGACTTCCTAGAACCTGTGGCCTACTCATATGAAACCACTGGTGGGTGCAACAAAAGGAATAATTTTTTTTCGTTCTATCTTGTTTTTTTTTTTTTTAACTTTACTTTCTGCTGCTGTAGGTACACTGTATTATCGAGACTGTTTTCATTTGTCTGTGTGTATGTATGTATGTATTCATGCATGCATATGTGAATATATATAGGTATGTATGTGTGTATGTATGTTTAGGTGTATGTATGTATTATCTTTGTCAACATGTGTATGTATCTCTGTATGTTCTTGTATGTGTCTTCAACTGTTTATTTGTAATTGTGCATGTACATGATAATGTCTGCCTAAGTTTTGGAGAGGGAGGCAAATGCTGTGCTTCATGACAAACTTCACCTGCAGGTGGAGTAAACAGTCTATAGCACCATGATCTCTACAGCACTGTGTACAGACATCCAGGCTGGAGTAAACAGTCTACAGACTATGATCGCTGCAGCACTGTGTACAGACATCCAGGCTGGAATAAACAGTCTACAGCACCGTGATCTCTGCAGCACTGTGTACGGACATCCAGGCTGGAGTAAACACAGTCTACAGACTATGATCTCTGCAGCACTGTGTACGGACATACAGGCTGGAGTAGATACAGTCTACAGCACCATGATCTCTGCAGCACTGTGTACAGACATCCAGGCTGGAATAAACAGTCTACAGCACCGTGATCTCTGCAGCACTGTGTACAGACATCCAGGCTGGAATAAACAGTCTACAGCACCGTGATCTCTGCAGCACTGTGTACGGACATCCAGGCTGGAGTAAACACAGTCTACAACACCGTGATCTCTGCAGCACTGTGTACGGACATACAGGCTGGAGTAAACACAGTCTACAGCACCGTGATCTCTACAGCACTGTGTACGGACATCCAGGCTGAAATAAACACAGTCTACAGACTATGATCTCTGCAGCACTGTGTACAGACATCCAGGCTGGAGTAAACACAGTCTACAGCACCATGATCTCTGCAGCACTGTGTACAGACATCCAGGCTGGAGTAAACACAGTCTACAGCACCGTGATCTCTGCAGCACTGTGTACAGACATCCAGGCTGAAATAAACACAGTCTACAGACTATGATCTCTGCAGCACTGTGTACAGACATCCAGGCTGGAGTAAACACAGTCTACAGCACCGTGATCTCTGCAGCACTGTGTACGGACATCCAGGCTGGAATAAACACAGTCTACAGCACCATGATCTCTGCAGCACTGTGTACAGACATCCAGGCTGAAATAAACACAGTCTACAGCACCGTGATCTCTGCAGCACTGTGTACAGACATCCAGGCTGAAATAAACACCGTCTACAGCACCGTGATCTCTGCAGCACTGTGTACAGACATCCAGGCTGAAATAAACACAGTCTACAGCACCGTGATCTCTGCAGCACTGTGTGCGAACATCCAGGTGGAGGTCACATGCCATATGTGTGTGCATGTATGTATGTTTTTACATGTCTTATTAATCTAGCATGTATTCTGATATAAATAGTGAACTGTTTGTATTCATGTATGTTTGTTTTAATACGGCATAAATACTGATGTAGACATTGAACTGCTCCTGCACACAGGTCAACTGTGAAGGCTCCATTAATTCCACTAGGACATGGACCAATGGCACCAGCCCTCCCTCCTACATACAGCCAGGCACCTCACAGTGCAGCTACCCCACTGTAAGCTGCTTCTGCATGAGTTCAATAAGAGCTGTGCTGTCTTCTCTGTCAGAAGTCATTGTTTCTGTCTCTCCCCCTGTTTGTCTTTCTTCATAGCTGTGTTCCTGTTTCTCTCCCCCTAGCTGTGTCTGTTTCTCTGTCTGTCTCTCTCCCTAGCTGTGTCTGTTCCTCTCCCTCTTTGTATCACCCCCTAACTGTATCTGTTTCTCACTCTCTCTCCGTTTGTCTGTCTCTCTTGCTACCCGTGTGTCTGTTCCTTTCCCTGTCCCTATACATACATGTCTGTACATGTTTATCTGCCTCTGCTTCAGTTGTGTATGTGTGTTGATTTCTGTTTCTTAACCTGTTTTCATGTCTGTCACTCTCTTGACTTGCCTATGTGTCTGTATCTGTCTCCCTGTAGCTGTCTGTCTTTTATCTGCAAATAACCATATGTATGTGTCTGTCTCATCTCAGTGTGTGTCTGAATATGGGTGTCTCTGTTTCTGTGTGTATATGTGTGGGTATGCATGAAGCATCAGGTGTGTAGACATGTATGAAGAACTAACAGTGACTCACACAGGGATGTTCTGCGGTATTCCTCTTGCAGTTTTACCTTCTGTGTGTGGGTATGCATGAAGCATTAGGTGTGTAGACATGTATGAAGAACTAACAGTGACTCACACAGGGATGTTTTGCGGTATTCCTCTTGCAGTTTTACCTTCTGTGTGTGGGTATGCATGAAGCATTAGGTGTGTAGACATGTATGAAGAACTAACAGTGACTCACACAGGGATGTTCTGCGGTATTCCTCTTGCAGTTTTACCTTCTGTGTGTGGGTATGCATGAAGCATTAGGTGTGTAGACATGTATGAAGAACTAACAGTGACTCACACAGGGATGTTTTGCGGTATTCCTCTTGCAGTTTTACCTTCTGTGTGTGGGTGTGCATGAAGCATTAGGTGTGTAGACATGTATGAAGAACTAACAGTGACTCACACAGGGATGTTTTGCGGTATTCCTCTTGCAGTTTTACCTTCTGTGTGTGGGTGTGCATGAAGCATTAGGTGTGTAGACATGTATGAAGAACTAACAGTGACTCACACAGGGATGTTCTGCTGTATTGCTCTTGCAGTTTTACCTTCTGTGTTTCCTGCTGGCGTTCACGGGCTACAGCATTTTCATCCAGATCAGTTTCATCATCAAGTTCATCTTTCTTTCCGTCATGTTCATCATCATCAACCTGGCTGTTCATGTTGGTACCGGCGCTGTGTTTGATGAGTATGATTCTCTCTTGTCGGTCTTCACACGGGGGTAAGCCATGTATCCACTGTTTGTTTGTGTTCACACAGGGGTAAGCCATGTATCCACTGTTTGTTTGTGTTCACACGGGGGTAAGCCATGTATCCACTGTTTGTTTGTGTTCACACGGGGGTAAGCCATGTATCCACTGTTTGTGTTTACACGGGGGTAAGCCATGTATTCCCTGTTTGTTTGTGTTCACACGGGGGTAAGCCATCTATCCACTGTTTGTGTTCACACGGGGGTAAGCCATGTATCCACTGTTTGTTTGTGTTCACACGGGGGTAAGCCATGTATCCACTGTTGGTCTTCACACGGGGGTTAGCCATGTATCCACTGTTTGTTTGTGTTCACATGGGGGTAAGCCATGTATCCACTGTTTGTTTTCACACAGGGGTAAACCATGTATCCACTGTTTGTTTGTATTCACTGAGCTTAGGTAAGAACTTTTACTTCTGAAACAGTTTCTGAACATCTAAAAACATTTGTTAGCCTTCGCCAGGACAGAATAGAGATAGTCAAATAGTGTCACAGAATCACTGTTGTAAAGCTTTGGGAGAGACCTAACCAGATTTTGGGTATGAGGAAGATGTAAGCTCTGGATTGCATACATGTTGAAAACACCATGATAATATAACGAGAACGTTTTTGCACTGGAACCCTCCAAGCAAAAGGAATAAAGGGAGGAACACCCCTCCCTCCCAACCCCAACATATGAAGTTAACACTAAAGGAGCAGCAAATGTCAGACGCTAGGACAGCTTGACATGACTTGGGTGATGGTCTATGTTGCCTTGGGAGATGATAGAGGGCTAAAGAAGATAAACCCAGGGCACTTGTTGTCTGCAGAACATCCAGGGAAGGCATCAGCAGCAGAGCTGAGGATAGCAGTTCATTTGCTCCCTGGAGATGTCTCAGCCCTATCTTGCTCTTGCTACAAGCATATATATATAGAGAGAGAGCAGATGTTGGAGGATGTTGATATTTGGTGTTCTGGCCATGTTTGTTAGTGATGAGTCTATGCAGATAGGAGTGATGCATAGAGATCCTCGCCTGCGGATCAGAAGGTTGATGGTTCGGGCCCTGACAGGAGCCTGACTTTTTTCAAAACTGACCTTGGATCTCAGGTCAAACCAACCTTGAGTAGTACCAGATACAATCCTGGGAAGTAAAGGCAGTTGGCGTCATGTTGACCACATCGCCCACCATGTGCCGTTTGGTCTAAAAAGTATAGGTTTGGCCCTATATGTGTATGTTGTTTGATGTAGCAGCTGTTGTCTGTGTGTTCTCATGTATGTTGTTTGATGTAGCAGCTGTTGTCTGTGTGTTCTCATGTATGTTGTTTGATGTAGCAGCTGTTGCAGGTCTCATGTATGTTGTTTGATGTAGCAGCTGTTGGCTGTTGCAGGTCTCATGTATGTTGTTTGATGTAGCAGCTGTTGGCTGTTGCAGGTCTCATGTATGTTGTTTGATGTAGCAGCTGTTGTCTGTGTGTTCTCATGTATGTTGTTTGATGTAGCAGCTGTTGTCTGTGTGTTCTCATGTATGTTGTTTGATGTAGCAGCTGTTGTCTGTGTGTTCTCATGTATGTTGTTTGATGTAGCAGCTGTTGCAGGTCTCATGTATGTTGTTTGATGTAGCAGCTGTTGGCTGTTGCAGGTCTCATGTATGTTGTTTGATGTAGCGGCTGTTGGCTGTTGCAGGTCTCATGTATGTTGTTTGATGTAGCAGCTGTTGCAGGTCTCATGTATGTTGTTTGATGTAGCAGCTGTTGCAGGTCTCATGTATGTTGTTTGATGTAGCAGCTGTTGCAGGTCTCATGTATGTTGTTTGATGTAGCAGCTGTTGCAGGTCTCATGTATGTTGTTTGATGTAGCAGCTGTTGGCTGTTGCAGGTCTCTGGTGGTGGTGGTCCCTCTGCGAGTCAAGAGCACCATCTACATGGCCCTGGTGCTGGCCACCATGCACTACCTGGACCGAGAGATGGAGTACGCCAACAGGGTTGGCCACCTCTTCAAGCTGCAGTTTCAGCGGGAAACAGAACAGGTAATATAGACAGTTTCTATGTGGTCACCGTCGGTCTCTTATCAGAGACATAACAGCTCAGTGCAGATAGACAATGTGGTCACCCCCATTGTCTTACCAAAGACAGAACAGGTCAGTGCAGACAGACAATGTGGTCACCCCCATTGTCTTACCAAAGACAGAACAGGTCAGTGCAGACAGACAATGTGGTCACCCCCATTGTCTTACCAAAGACAGAACAGATCAGTGCAGACAGACAATGTGGTCATCCCCATTGTCTTACCAAAGACAGAACAGGTCACTGCAGACAGACAATGTGGTCACCCCCATTGTCTTACCAAAGACAGAACAGGTCGTTGCAGACAGACAATGTGGTCACCCCCATTGTCTTACCAAAGACAGAACAGGTCAGTGCAGACAGACAATGTGGTCACCCCCATTGTCTTACCAAAGACAGAACAGGTCGTTGCAGACAGACAATGTGGTCACCCCCATTGTCTTACCAAAGACAGAACAGGTCAGTGCAGACAGACAATGTGGTCACCCCCCATTGTCTTACCAAAGACAGAACAGGTCGTTGCAGACAGACAATGTGGTCACCCCCATTGTCTTACCAAAGACAGAACAGGTCAGTGCAGACAGACAATGTGGTCACCCCCATTGTCTTACCAAAGACAGAACAGGTCGTTGCAGACAGACAATGTGGTCACCCCCATTGTCTTACCAAAGACAGAACAGGTCAGTGCAGACAGACAATGTGGTCACCCCCATTGTCTTACCAAAGACAGAACAGGTCGTTGCAGACAGACAATGTGGTCACCCCCATTGTCTTACCAAAGACAGAACAGGTCAGTGCAGACAGACAATGTGGTCACCCCCATTGTCTTACCAAAGACAGAACAGGTCAAATATACACTGTGGAGCGACATTGTATCTTACCAGAGATAGAAAGTATGGTCACGTCGTATCTTAACAAAAACAGAACAGGTCACATAAACACTGTAGTCACCATCCAAAATGTTTCCTGCTTTATCAGTAAGATAAAAAATAATTGCATCCCGAGAGCTCAAAAATTGGGCCATATCAAACGCCATTGTGGCCTAGAGAGAATGGCGATGGAAAGTGCAGATTCCAGAAAATGAGGTACAAGCTAACATTTGTGAAGATGGATACAAGATATTGAAGATGCATGTGTTATGAAAGCCCACAGGGCTGGACAGTTGGCTAGAGACAGAGAGACTTGGCTAGAGACAGAGAGACTTGGCTAGAGACAGAGAAACTTGGCTAGAGACTTGGCTAAAGATAGAGAGACTTGGCTAGAGACACTTGGCTAGAGACAGAGAGACTTGGCTAGAGACAGAGAGACTTGGCTAGAGACAGAGAGACTTGGCCAGAGACAGAGAGACTTGGCTAGAGACAGAGAGACTTGGCCAAAGACAGAGAGACTTGGCTAGAGACAGAGAGACTTTCATGCCTGCCGTGAAGACAGTGACGGTCTGTACATGACCTGCTGACTGAATCATAGTAGCACTTTAGTCCAGCATGCAAGTCTAGAAGTAGACAACTGCAGAATCCACTCACCAACAAGTTGACTTGTATTCCAGCATGCAAGTCTAGAAGTAGACAACGACAGAATCCACTCACCAACAAGTTGACTTGTAGTCCAGCATGCAAGTCTAGAAGTAGACAACGGCAGAATCCACTCACCAACAAGTTGACTTGTAGTCCAGCATGCAAGTCTAGAAGTAGACAACGGCAGAATCCACTCACCATCAAGTTGACTTCTTCAGGCTCAGCAACTGTAAACTCCGGTGGAAAATTCTGGTTGTTTATCCACTTCTGGACCTAAATCAAGTTCCAGACCCTGAAGTTTTTTTTTTTTGCACATCCGGATTACAAATGTGGCTTATTTGTATGCAGACTGTTGGTTCCTTGCCTCTGAGGCACTTGTACTCTGACTTCACAGAAAACTCCATATTAGCTGACTCTTCTGACATGCCTGTTAGTGAGGCAGTGGGTCTATTCCAGTTCTCCTCATAATCGGCCCCAAAACCCACATGGGGAATAACAACACGTTTACTAAAGGCTAGGTGAGAGGTATTTGAAGGCCTGTGCTCCATTGGGAGCTGTGAGTTTGTTGAGGTGATGTACTCCATTAGAAGATGAGAGGTAGAAGTTTGGTCACAGAAAGGACAGCCATGTAGAAATTTGACAGCACCATACCTGCTCAATGCAATCATTGTAACACCACACAGTGAGTGGGTTATGTGACATTCTACAGAAAATATTTCAGATTATTTCTAATAATACCCGTGTGGGTTCCAGGGCCCTGCTATAGGGAAAACAAGAATAGACCCACTGCCTACTCAAAAGCATGTCGTAAAAGTAGACTAATTGGGAGCTTCCTTCGAAGTCGGAGTGCATCTGCCTGAGAGGCAGCAGTCTGCATACCAATGAGTCAGATCTGTAAAAAGGATGCAAACGTAACACTCAGGTTCTGGACAAGGACTGCAGTCTAGAAGTGGATGAACATCCAGAACTTTCCGCTGGAGTTTACAGCTGGTGAACGCGAAGAAGAAGAAGAAGATTTCTAATAAGAGTGGTTGAACAAGGAATGATAATCTTGTACGTGCTGTGGAGACTGATAACCCAGATTGGTGGACTGAGCAAACCTCTTGTATTTCAGGTGAAGATGATGGCAGCCATCAACAAGATTGTCCTAGAGAACATCATCCCCAGTCATGTGATCGCCTACTTCTTGAGGTCATCTCGCAAGAATGAGGTAAACAGTTTGTGTTGAGAGTATGAGCACCATATTACATGGCCACTGAGACCAGGTCTGGGAAAATTGTTCTCACACCAGCAGACAGACTTGTAGTTCATGTATAAATCCCCAGTGCTGTGCTGGGATTTGAATCTGGTCTTGTGTGAGGTAGACACATATGTATACAAAACCTTCAGCCATTCTATCCTTGCACGTGTAAGAATAAGGGACAGACATACAGAGTCACAACTATAGAAGCTATGTGAATCTTATGTTATACCATTTGTATCTTATGTTTACTGCAAAAGTGATGTGTATCTTATGTTTACTGTAGAAGTCATATGTATCTTATGTTTACTGTAGAAAGCCATGGGAATCTTATGTTTACTGTAGAAGCCATGTGTATCTTATGTTTACTGTAGAAGTCATATGTATCTTATGTTTACTGTAGAAAGCCATGTGAATCTTATGTTTACTGTAGAAGTCATATGTATCTTATGTTTACTGTAGAAAGCCATGTGAATCTTATGTTTACTGTAGAAGTCATATGTATCTTATGTTTACTGTAGAAGTCATATGTATCTTATGTTTACTGTAGAAGCCATGTGTATCTTATGTTTACTGTAGAAGCCATGTGTATCTTATGTTTACTGTAGAAAGCCATATGAATCTTATGTTTACTGTAGAAGCCATGTGTATCTTGTTTACTATAGAAGCCATGTGTATCTTATGTTTACTGTAGAAGCCATATGTATCTTATGTTTACTGTAGAAAGCCATGTGAATCTTATGTTTACTGTAGAAAGCCGTGTGAATCTTATGTTTACTGTAGAAGCCATGTGTATCTTATGTTTACTATAGAAGCCATGTGTATCTTATGTTTACTGTAGAAGCCATGTGTATCTTATGTTTACTGTAGAAGTCATATGTATCTTATGTTTACCGTAGAAAGCCATGTGTATCTTATGTTTACTGTAGAAAGCTGTGTGAATCTTATGTTTACTGTAGAAGCCATGTGTATCTTATGTTTACTGTAGAAAGCCATGTGAATCTTATGTTTACTGTAGAAGCCATGTGAATCTTATGTTTACTGTAGAAAGCCATGTGTATCTTATGTTTACTGTAGAAGCCATGTGTATCTTATGTTTACTGTAGAAGCCATGTGTATTTTATGTTTACTGTAGAAGCCATGTGTATCTTATGTTTACTGTAGAAGCCATGTGTATCTGTGTTTGCCAGGACCTGTACCACGAGAGCTGCAGCCATGCATGTGTGATGTTTGCCTCCATCCCCAACTTCAAGGACTTCTACCAACAAACCAAAGCCAATGGCCAGGGCCTGGAGTGTATCCGTGTGCTCAATGAGATCATCTCGGACTTTGATGTGGTGAGTTCTTGGACACCTTTTGCTTCAGCTGTACTTCCATTCTCTCCCAGCTGGAGCACCTGGTAACTCTACCTGTGTTCTCATCCAACTGTAACACCTGGTAACTCTACCGGTATTCTCACCCAACTGTAACACCTGGTAACTCTACCTGTATACTCACCCAACTGTAACACCTGGTAACTCTACCTGTATTCTCAACCTGGTAACTCTACCTATATTCTCACCCAGCTGTAACACCTGACAGCTGTACCTCCATTCTCTCCCAGCTGGAGCACCCAGTAACTCTACCTGTATTCTCACCCAACTGTAACACCTGGTAACTCTACCTATATTCTCACCTAACTGTAACTCTACCTATATTCTCACCCAGCTGTAACACCTGACAGCTGTATCTCCATTCTCTCCCAGATGTAACACCTGACAGCTCTATCTCCACTCTCCCAGCTGTAACACCTGACAGCTGTATCTCCACTCTCCCAGCTGTAACACCTCCCAGCTCTATCTCCATGCTCCTAGGTTGACCCAGCCTTGAGTGGGCACTGGGTGAGGTCCTGGGAAGTAAAGGCGGCCAGCATGATGCTGACCACATCACCCATCTTGTGCCGATTGGGTTCTCCTTAAAACTACGGCCACTTATCATGGAGTATGCCGGAGTTCAGTCCCCTGGCCGCATTGCAATTACGGAGTGGACAATAAGTGGCCGTAGTTTTAAGGAGAACCCCGATTGGTCTTTAAAAATATAGGTCTAGCCCTATATGCCTAAAGACGTGAAAGAGGGTCCGTTACTTTTCTTTATTTAGAACACTGCAGATATGGATAATCTATTTCAGGCAAACCAAAGAAGAAGCAGCAAAAAGTGTGCTAGTGACATGTACACAAATTGTTTCTTTGTCATGAATGAACTTGTTTTTCTTGTTTCCAGCTTTTGATCAGAATTTATAACGAAGTGGAGAAAATCAAAACTATTGGCAGCACATACATGGCTGCAACTGGATTGTATACAGATCATCGCAAGAACCAGGTACGTGGGTTGTCTGTGTCTTAAGTCAAGTCACCAGGATGTGTTAATTTCTCATGATAGTCTGGAATGTGTCCAGTAGTCCATGCTGACACTGTTATGTAATGTAGTTTGGCAAGCACATTCTGAGTGTAAGTCTAGGGTCGCTGACCATTCCCTGAAAGATACTGTATATCTAGTGCTGCCTTCATATATCGAGACTCATCAGTACTTGACAGTTGATGTGCACAATATCACTCTATCCACACTGTACAACGCTATTAATTATATAAAAGGGACGCGTCTCCTCCTGGATGGCCGAGGCAAAAAATGTAATCCAGCAAGTATGTGCCCTAGACGAGATCAGTCACGGAAAAGAATGGACGGATACACCAGTAGACTTGCATGTCTTGTCTAAGGTTGTCATAACACTGGGGAGGAACTGCAGGAATCAGATACCTGCCACCGTAGACGCCGAGATTAGAGCATTGGTTGATCAGCACTCACGCCCAGAAGACGTCATCATTGACACAGATGGTTCAGTGAAGCACGGGTCAAGATCAGTATGGGCATACACAGCACAAATGATGGGAAAAACAAAAAAAGAGGATATTGGCACTTACCAGACGACTACGTCAAGCATGACCATGGAGATAGCTGTTGCTACTAGAGCAAACGCGGGGTAGCAGAACAAGTGGCCACACATGCGGTAATTGTTTCAGACTCTATGACCATGCTTCAGAAAATTGCTACAGGTAAAATCCCCTCCGAATGGTTAGAAAGCATTTGGAAGTCACAGTTAACCTCCATCATTTGGATCTACCACCTGGGCACGCAGGAGTAAATGATAATGAAAGAGCTGACCAGCTGGTAATTAAGTAATGCACCAATGCAAATTGGAAAAAGCATGGACAGAGCTGATATCATCAGCGCCATACGGATTAGGTTGGGAGATAATGGCGAATCTCTGACGCTAACACGACTTCGTGACCGAGAAGTTGAGCTTGGTGAAGCCAGACTATGCCGTCTTGGAGGTAAAGACAGGAGATACTATAACCAACTCCTCATGGGAACAATAGGTAGAGGTACCTTGAAGTGGCTGCTGCATCGGAGGACTGAGCACACATGGGGATGTCCAATGTGCAAAGACGTCGATTGTGATAACATAACACTGTCCACCTTGATTTCCCAGATACTTGAATAGTGTGAAGATATCCTAGAAGTTTTGAACAGGCACAGGAGTATAGAGCTGCTATATTGCACGGCAGTGAGACAGGTTGCAGCCATGATGATTTAGTGCAGACAGGATATAGATAACATAGAGCAGGGCTTTTCAGATGGTGGCTGGAGTGTATATCATGGTCAGCTGTATTGTATGAATGATCTGTCTATGCTAGGATGTGGCCTGGGGTGTTCAACATTTTACCCCTGGGTAAAGTTAACTGGATAGCCCAAAATACAGTATAGTTGAGACATGATAAATATACGTTATAGTATAACTGAGACATTATAAAGATACCTTACAGTATAACTGAGACATGATAAAGATACCTTACAGTAAAGTTGAGACATGGTCAAGATATATCATAGTATAGTTGAGACATGACATAAATATCTCGTAGTATAGATGTGACATGATAAAGATATGACAGCGTCTGGTGAGGATATCCTATGTACAGTGAGAATATCTTGAAGACAATATTGCAGGATGATGAAGCTGGGGAGAAGAACATCATCGAGATGATTGAGTTCAGCCTGGCCATGATGGCAACTTTGGACAACATCAACCAACATTCCTTCAACAACTTCAGCCTGAGAATAGGTAAGTGTACATAATGATGATGCTTCACAAGAGGCTTTCTAATATTGGGGGGGGGGGGGGGGGGGGGGGGGGGGGGGTGGTGGTGAGGATTTAAAAAAATAGGCCTGTCCCCTTAGCAAGCATGCAGTTAGTCTAATAATTAGGCTTGTTTCCTTTGAAGTTGGAATGTATGCGTCTGAGAGGTAAAAGTAAAGATCTCTTTCCATCCCTCAGGCGCATCGGGCATATGGGAAGAGCGTCCCATATTTTTACAGACCAATCGGCACTAGATGGGTAATGTGGTCAGCATTACGCCAGCCGTCTTTACTTCCCCAGGACAGCCATCCTGGTACCCATTTTAGGCTGGATTGACCTGCGACGCCCCATACCATGATAAAAATCCATGCAGCCAGCAGTGGATTTCGATCGCGGTACATTGGATTGCGAGTCGGACTCGCAACGCCTAAGCCACGGACGCCGCCGTCAGAGAGGTGAGGAATCAAAAGTCTGCATATAAATAAGCCAGATCTGTAAAACAGATGTACACACAGAAGTGAAATCCAGAAAATGTGTGTCAGTTGATGCATATGTTGAGAGTCACAACTCTACATTGTGAAGCCAGGTATGACGGTTAGGAAGTTGTGACACCTGGTTCAGAATTACAAGTTGTAACATGTATTATGTCAGTTTAGCTGTGTCATGCCTGTGTTTGGCTGATACTAGTCTTCTATGAAGAACAGCAGGTTTCAATCGCTTGCACTCTAAAATCAGGTAGGAAAGCTCAGGGTTAAAGATATCTGCAGATATGACCATGGATCCCAGCGTAAACAGTCTAGAAGTGGCAGGTCATCATCATCATGTAGCAGGTCCTCCACAGAACTTCGCTCTCATCACCGTCTGCCTGAAAGAAACTCGGTCTCTCGCCAGTTCTCCTGCCTCATGTACTTTCATACTCAAGGAGTCATTTATATCCTGTGCCCATCTTCGTGTCGATCAACCCCTGCCCCTCCTTCCTGGTAACATGCCTCCTGCTATAATTTTTTCAATCCGTCGTCTGTGATATGACCAAAATATTTCAGCTTCTGAGACAGGATGCTGTTTTTTATCCAATCTTCCTTGATGTTCATATCTTTCAAGATGTCAGTATTTCTCCTCTCCTTTGTCCAAGATATTCTGAGAATCTTTCTACAGCATTTCAGCTCAAAAGCCTCTATTTATTCTCTTTCTTAAGGACTGAGAAATAATCCACGACTCACATCTGTTTGTAGCCACAGGAAAGATGCATGCTCTCAAAATTCTAATTTTGATCTCCTTGCTGGTGCTTAACCATAGACCTTTAAGGCTGTTTAACCTTTGCATTGCTATGGCCATCCTCCTTTTAAAATATATTTAGCTGTTTTTGATGTGTTATATGTCTGTAACACTGTGACCACGTCAGCTCTGTGGCTAAGTCGATGCGAACACTTCGTAATGCCGGGGTACGGGGTTCGATCCCAACTGCGGGACACACGCCATGCGTTGATTTTTACAGTGGTATCAAGAAGCCGACCGTCCAGAAAGCAATGGCAAACTACTGGACGTAAATTTGCCTAGAGAAACCACACAACAGCCAGGGGCTGCTGGTGTTGGTTCTGCAACATCCTGAAAAGGATACCCAGCTAACCTATTAAAACCACTGTGACCAGTTGCCTACAACAGTTGAGATGTGACCTACTTTCAGTGGTCAGGGTGCAAAGATTGCTTCTGTCTTTCAATCATTGAAGTGTGTGTGTATGTGCAACCAGCACATGTGACATGACTGATGTTTTTATGTCCAGGGGTCAACCATGGGCCTGTCATTGCTGGAGTTATCGGAGCTAGAAAACCTCAGTACGACATCTGGGGCGACACGGTTAACGTGGCCAGCAGGATGGACAGCTTTGGCTTGCCAGGAAGAATACAAGTAAGTGTTAGCCAGGTTTGTTCGCAACATGCCAACCAGATCTTTTTGTAACATCACAGTCGATAACTGTTAGGTGTCATGTATGAACCTTGTCCTCTGTTTTGGATTTCCTGGAGTGAACTTCCACTGAAAGAGTATTTTTCTCTGCCGACCTTACAAGTAACAGTGTCACTGCCTACAGCAGTTGTGAATGAGCAGAGACAACAGTCGGGGTCCACTCTGCAAAAGTGGAAACATTTTTCCTGACCAGTTATGACTCAAGGGGCACCCCAGCCTCACGAAAAACAATGAGAACCAGGACTTCAGAATTGTCCCAGAAGGAAGTGACGAGGGAAGGTAACCGGTCGCAGCACATGTTGTGGTCTGGATTGTGAGAAAGCCTAACACCAATGTCTGCAATGGGAGGACCCAAATCTGCGAGCAAAAGTTGTCCTAGCAACCAGAAGCAGTGTTGCATCCTTGTTTGCTGATTTGATATGAGGTCTTGTGTTATCTGTATTCATATGAAGTAACTTAAACAGTGTGTTTGTGTGGGTATGTTTAAACTGGGTGGTTGTGTGGGTATGTTTAAACTGGGTGGTTGTGTGGGTATGTTTAAACTGGGTGGTTGTGTGGGTATGTTTAAACTGGGTGGTTGTGGGTATGTTTAAACTGGGTGGTTGTGTGGGTATGTTTAAACTGGGTGTTTGTGTGGGTATGTTTAAACTGGGTGGTTGTGTGGGTATGTTTAAACTGGGTGGTTGTGTGGGTATGTTTAAACTGGGTGGTTGTGTGAATAAATGGTTTGGTTGTTGATAAACTATATGTGTGAGATACTGTAACACTCAGCATGGTATTAAATATTAAACAATATATCCCTTCGCACAGGTGCCAGAAGACACTGCCACTGTTCTGGCCAAGAATGGCTACTGTCTGGAGTACAGAGGCCTTACAAAGGTCAAAGGCAAACAACCAATGAAAACTTACTTCCTACAAGCCGGGTATGAAGGTACACAGGTCTAGTTGAGATCTGTACAAGAGTCAAGATGAGATCTGTACACAAGATGCGAAGGTACACACGTCTAGCTGAGATCTGTACACAAGATGCGAAGGTACACAGGTCTAGCTGAGATCTGTACACAAGACATGAAGGTACACAGGTCTAGCTGAGATCTGTACACAAGAGGTGAAGGTACACAGGTCTAGCTGAGATCTGTACACAAGAGGTGAAGGTACACAGGTCTAGCTGAGATCTGTAACAAGAGGTGAAGGTACACAGGTCTAGCTGAGATCTGTACACACGACATGAAGGTACACAGGTCTAGCTGAGATCTGTACACAAGAGGTGAAGGTACACAGGTCTAGCTGAGATCTGTACACAAGAGGTGAAGGTACACAGGTCTAGCTGAGATCTGTAACAAGAGGTGAAGGTACACAGGTCTAGCTAGGATTTGTACACAAGACAAAGGTACACAGGTCTAGCTGAGATCTGTACACAAGACGTGAAGGTACACAGGTCTAGCTGAGATCTGTACACAAGAGGTGAAGGTACACAGGTCTAGCTAGGATTTGTACACAAGACAAAGGTACACAGGTCTAGCTGAGATCTGTACACAAGACATGAAGGTACACAGGTCTAGCTGAGATCTGTACACAAGACATGAAGGTACATAGGTCTAGCTAGGATTTGTACACAAGACAAAGGTACACAGGTCTAGCTAGGATTTGTACACAAGACATAAAGGTACACAGGTCTAGCTGAGATCTGTACACAAGACATGAAGGTACACAGGTCTAGCTAGGATTTGTACACAAGACATAAAGGTACACAGGTCTAGCTGAGATCTGTACACAAGACATTAAGGTACACTGGTCTAGCTGAGATCTGTACCCAAGACATGAAGGTACACTGGTCTAGCTGAGATCTGTACACAAGATATAAAGGTACACTGGTCTAGCTGGGTACAAGAGTCAAGCTAGCATCTAACTAGGTCCTGTACACCAGACACACAAATATAACCGGTCTACACATGAAACCAACCCCCTGTTGTTTTATCAAAAAGTGCAACACTGGTGCCATTCATGTCTTTCAAGAATGTTTGATATAAAGAATGTAATTGCTGTATAATTGACCTCTAAGTCGAAGTGTGTCTCAAATATTTGATGTACATATGTGTTTTCTATCTGTATACCATTAAGCAATCAACTATGCTACGCAGTATACACATACAGAGTTCAGTTTGGTAAATACACTACTGCAATATTCACACAAATGGGCATCTTTCATGTGTCAGGATGCGTGTGTGTTGTGACAGTATGCTCAGCACCACTTATACAAAGTTCAGTTTGCTAAATACATTACTGCAGTATTCACACAGATGTTCATTTATCAGATGTGCTTACATATCCTAGTTTGCGTGTGTAGTGACAGTATGTGTCAACACTGAACTGTACATGCTTATACATTATGCAAAGTCTGACAAGAAATCTATATAATGTCTATGCTTATTGCACATACGCTTAAACTGTTGTTCATTGCTATGGATTTCATAGAATCTAAGAATGGCCAGCACGCCACTCTATAATTTGAAAATAAACTATACAATTTGTCCATAAACTCAAAAATTTGCCAGTTATGTTTGGTTTCCAGCAGTGTGTGTGTAGCTGAGCACTTTTACGTACCCCTGGAAATGTTTGTGTGGCTGGTTATCTTCACATGTGTATTCAGTCTAATCGTGTGTCAGACAGTCACACGCTTATCATCATCAGCGAGCACACATCAAGAGCAGCAGGCAGTGTGAAAGACTGCTTGCATACAGGATGAGGTTAGTTCATCATAACGTGGCAGACTCCAGCCAAACTAAAGATCTGACAGTTGATATTTCATTCTTCCTTTTTTTTTCCAGCAGCTGCCAGTTACTGAATTATAAAGCAATGTTTCTCAGCTGTGAATTTGAACTTTGCATTCATCGATTGTAAATTTGAGTCATGAAGATACCCACAAAGAAAAGAAGCAATAGATTTATTGCCTGCAATATTTCACTGTATCTCATTAGGTGGTTGCTTGAGTGTTGCTGAAATAAAGGATTCAATTACTTGTTTTTTTTTTTTTTAAATATGCTTCTTAGGCATGCACCTGGCAAGACACAGCGAAATATACTAGGCAATTGCTTGTGCTTTCTTGGTTCAGTTATTGACTTGTGTCCATCCCAGCAGTGTCGTGAATTATGTATGCCCCAACAACTGTATATCTGTGGTAGGATCACTAATACATGCGTGAATGTGAAGCACACAACCACCACAGAACAGCAGGATACAGCAAACGCAAGATGTTCACTTGGCTTGCTTAGCAAAGTCAGTCACTGCAAGTCTCACTGTATGGGGCAGCAGACAAGAGATATGCAGGTAATAGATAAACATCAGACAGAATTAAAGAGCAGCAACATAAGCTACAGGCGATGTCTGTCCACAACCAACACTGGGTACTTGTAGAGCACCTCATAGAAAATAATGGACAATGGGTGTCCTGAGAGATGGAATACAAGCATACACTTAAGCAATAACATGCATAGGTCAAACAGACATGGTAACTAACAGCAGGAACACGAATAAATATGAAACAAAATGCACATCTTTATTATATTTGGATAGAGGAAGACAACGAGAGAAGATGCTTGACAGTCTTGTTGCATGGCATGGAGGTGTGTCGGCACACGAACTGACACATGCTGCAGGAGATCGCGGATTATGGAGAGGCATGATCGCCCATGGCAGTCGGCAAGGCACCTGATGATGATGATATTATATTTATTTAGGATCTGGGGACACATATGATCAAACATCCTTCCACACCCACGCAAAATGGTCAGTATGAATGGCTTGTGTCCAGCCTTGGAGTGACAATCAGAACATGATCCAAACACAAATCCTTGAGCTGAACAGGGGATGTTATGTTTTCTGCAGATCACATGATGAAGATCTGCAGCTATCTCAAAATGGCACGACACTGGAACATTTAAACACTAAACAATATCAGCAAGCAGCCACTACAAGACACATGGCTGCCTGCCTCACATGACTAGTTTTGGCTGTTGTGTCGGAAGAAGACCAAAGCGTTTCTTGATGATGATTCTGTGCCGACTGAACTTGTCCTCTGGAGAAAACCTAGCAGGATGTGCTGACACGGTCGGTTTGCCTTCTGGGTCACTTTTCTGTGCAAAGAAATAGCCAGAGTCAATTCTAGGACACAAATATAAGCAATGTGTGAGTAGGAAGGAGGCATTTACAGGAAAACAATGGAACATAGAAGAATAAAATATGCATTGTAACTGACAAAATCAAATGATCTGTCTCATATGTGCATTGCCTAAGAAAAGCGCTGTCGACAGATGCCAGTTCATCTCATGTGACAGGCGTGTTGCTCCAGCTACCAAGATGATCTAATCCCATCCGGTCATTCGGCTGCTAAATGGCCTGAGATCACCTGTTCATGTATAGTTAGAATCCACAAAGCAACAAAACGTAGACTGAAAAACTAAAAACAAATGCATAAGGAAAATGCTGAACATAAAATCGAAATGAGTTTAAGAAGGGCGAAGAAAAAAGAGAAATGTCTGGGCAACCATGCCACTAGCAACAAGACAAAGAATATGGCGCTACACAGGATACAACCTGAGAATAATCCCCAACAGGCACTAAAATAGGAAGAAGGCGAAAACGTCCCACAAAACCCTTAAATGAATGTTGATGAAAGAGACCAAAGACATAGAGTTGATTCCACCCATGACAGAACTGATGACACAGCCTAGAATAGAGCAGAGAAATAGGCTGCAACTCTCTGCCACATACAAGGGCACAACAGTACAATGATAATGAATCAATCATATGGGAAGAGGACCACAAGGCTACTGCTAAAGATATTGATTGGAGAACTCTGGTAAGAGCTCAAAGTCTCTACTCCACTAGGTGATGACCAGATATTTTTATAACCAGTGATCTAACTCTATCACTTAGCAATATGCCTGAGAGTCACTCTTGTGTCAGCAGAATTTTCCTCTAAAGGAAAACACTGATCCCTTTCTTCTTGTTTCACACATAATCACAATATTGCAATCTGATATTTCTAATCCCCTTACATGTTCGCTTTCTTTTCCTATTTAATGTGCTAATTCTGGAGATTTGCCTAGATGAATGCAGACTTCTCCGTGTATTTCTTCTCCGAAAGCCCCTTTTAGTCTTGAAAACAGGTTGGCTGCAGTTGAGCAGGGGCAGTCACACAGAGAGCCTACCATGGGACAGTGCAGCCAGGGTCACACATCTTCAGCTGCTTCAGGAAATGCAGTCAGTCAGTATTCATGAGAGCCTGCCATGGGACAGTGCAGCCAGGGTCACACATCTTCAGCTGCTTCGGAAATGGAGTCAGTCAGTATTCATGTCTTCCAGTAACACAAACAGGCAATTCACATTCAGCTCTTTGCAAAAAGTCAAGATTGTAAGTTGTAGAGCTATGAAAACTTTTGCAGAACAGAAGGACTGAATGCAAAGGTATAATCACCCTGCCTCACCCAGTTACCACCAGCAAATCACACTACGATTCTATGTTCTGTCTGAGAATTATTACACACCATCTTACAAACATTATCTGTGAATATGAACCTATGTAAAGAAATGGATCCTTTCCCACACATTCAGGTGTATTGGGCATATAGAGCGAGACCTATGTTTTATATTTATAGACCAATCAAGACTGGGTGAGTACCATGGTCAACATTTTGTCGGTTGCCTTTACTCCCCAGGACTTCACCTAGTAACCATTTACAGCTGGGTCAACTTGGGAGCCGAGGCCATTTTATTTAAAAGGACCTTAACCCACAACCTTCAGAATAAATGCTGCTACACCGCGGTGGCTCCCTATTAACTAAAGAGTTGACGGATATCCTCTAAATAATGCAAAAATATAACATTTAAAAAAACACAGGCTGCAGACTTTTTGACTAAACATCTCTATAAAATCTGGCCTCTGTAATCCATCCAGGGAATTAGTGGTGGAAAAGGAAAAAAAATTCATGCTGCTGTCTGACTCATACCGCCTGTCCGAAAGTAATAATGATTCATCTTAGCTCTCACAGGCATTAGACCAGAAAGTTTTGGTTGGTTATCCCCTTCTTGACTTTGGTCTTGTTCCAGAACTTGGACTTTGCATGCACACGTTTTTTATTAAAATGTATATGCAGACTGTTGGTTCCTTGCCTCACATCAGTGTTTGAAACACTCCAAATTCAAAGGCAGCACCCATAATTAGTAGCCGTTTCAACATGCTTTTCTGGGAAGGGCAGAATGGGGCCCTGGGACCCACAAATTGTTAAATTTATTAACATTTAATGGTAATACTAATAGTTCCTGATTTATTGCTCAGTTCATTACATAAATAATTACCAAATAAAATGATAAAAGCGGCCATATCAGTGTTACCCTCTGCCTCAATGACTATGACATCCCCAACTCCAGGAAACAACTTTTAAAAGTCATAAATAAATACTTGAAATAGTTGTCTTCGACGTGACCAAGCAAGTTTTACCAAAAATTTTAAAACATGACCAATGTACACCAACAAGCACCTGACTGTTACTGTTACTTCCTCTGGTAACACTTAAATATGAAATTACCTTTAGTGTGTAGACTCGATCACCCTCCAGATTCAAGTAGTACATGAGTAGCAAGGACATGTTGGCTGTAAACAGAGAATCCCGGGTAGAGAAAAAAAACGTGCTGGTGTAGAACTGTGGTTCTGAGTTGTGTTTGGCCTGGCCGGAAGTGGGTTATCTGCAATTCTCCGACGGTGCAATTCTGTCTATGGAAGGCCAGTGTTGTATTCTTACTTGGGGCGGATCTGTCTAAAGCTGAGGACCGGGCTTATTGTCCAGTTCACGAACCGGCGCCTGGGTTGTCAGCCATGTTTGTGACGTCAGTGGCTAGCACATGTGCAGTAACAATGGCGGAGCACGGGGAGACGCTGAGCAAGAAGTAAGATCTTTGTCCACACCAATCTTCTTCTACAATACAGCACGTTGTGTGCTGTAAATAGTCGTTTTCCGTGTTTCAGGGCGCTGTGTGTCATAACAGGTTCACACGGAGTTTCTGCTAGCGAGTAAAGTATACATTCGCAGTTTCTACATCGGTTGAAACCTGCTTGAAGCCGGCTAGAGTTTTCATTTAAGAACAACCGGGAAACAGGGCAGTTAGTTCTCTAGTCTGTACTTAACATGCACAACATGAAGGCAAGTGGAGTAGATAAACATAGAACACCGTTTATTCACCTTTTACCACAGATCTACATATTACACACAGAATGGGCCACGCTCTTTCTTTCCAGTGATTACATCATTCTGTGTACTGACAACACTACAAACAATCAGTTCCTGCTTCCGTCAGTCGGCTTGCTTGATTCCTAGCTGGGCTACAGTAGGTAGTGATGCTCCAGTTCGTTTGACTTACATATTTGTTGACTGTTAAGCAGAGCTGTAAATGAGCAAACCACTGAAATGCACACCTTGTGGGCTGAGTTTTATTGATTATTTCATGGCTGCCCCTGAATGGTTGCATCATCAGAGTCTTTCTGAGAGCATCAGTATGATAACGTTCAGTGGCAGAGCTGTGCCACAAGCTTGTACTACTGTCATTGATAATGTTGAAGTCATGCTGTCTTTTCTGTTCTTGTGAAGTATTTCAATATTTGTCAGGTGAATTATGAATTCATAATTGATGGTATTCACTCAAAAGCCCACAGTACTGAGACACTACACCCCTCCCCTTTTCCATCCCCAGCTCTTGTTGCCTCGCATTTTCTGAAGAACAAATAAATTGCTGCTGAAGTCAGCTCAGTGATGTAGCCTGCCCTATGCTGCTATCTGTCCTGTTTGTGTGTGTGAACTATGACCCTCATTTAGGTGTTGTGTGTGTGAACTATGACCCTCATTTAGGTGTTGTGTGTGCACAATTACCCTTGTTAAAGTGGTAGTATCTTTGTGTGCTATTATTACCTCCTTCCAATGTTTGTGTATGCACTATTACTCAGACCTCAAACCCTGGCATGTAGTGGAAACATTACCTTGGCACCTGCCAGTATCAGGTCGTGTAGGGAGGAGTATGATGGAGGGATTTTTTAAAAAAAACAGTCCTAAACAAGACAGATGAAAGAGAAAACTTATTAGACATAGACACTGTCTGGGACAGTCAATATTTGTTTGAACAAATTAGAAGGGATTGACTCTGGAACTTATCTGGTAATCTGGTAATCCTAGTTTCAGCATCATAGCAAAAGGGTCACCCCATTGTTGCTCCGCTCCTGTGCCAACGAAAAACACTCGTAGCTCACAGTGTCACACCATGCACTCAACTCATGGAACTCTGGAACTTGGTCACAGCTGGCAAGAATGATAAACAGAGAGATAAGTAACTGGTGGTTCAAGACAAAAACATGTCACTGATTCTGGTGATTGTTTGAGATGGCAAAATATGACAGCCTAGGCTTACCAGCAAGACATATGAGAAGAGCACATGATAACAAGGGAGGTAACTAGGCTATACTCCTAATAACGGTTCCAAATTATCTAGGCCGAAAATATACCCTAACAGGGCCCCAGTCCCATGTAAATTGCGGACCTCTTTCCGGCAACTATGCAGCTACCGCCGAGAGTATCTCCCGCACCCCTGTGCGAAGAGTGGGGCTAAACTAGATGGCTGGGACTCACGATCAAATAAAATGAAGGAAGCTGCAAGCGATGCGGTAGCTGCTGCTCGTGAGTCCCAGCCATCTAGTTTAGCGGCGTGGGAGATACTCTTGGCGGTGACTTTAACTCGGCGGAAGCTTTTCCACAAAATATTATGTGACTGAGGCCCTGTTAGGGTATATTTTCGGCCTCAATAATTTGGGACCATTATTCGGAGGATAGCCAGGTAACTACATTTGCCACAGATACTAGACATCTAGTTTAGCCCCAATCCACGCTGCGCGGGGTATACTCTCGGCGATGACGGAATTCGCTGGAAGTGCGCAAGTTAAGTTGCCGGAACTGAGGCCCTGTTAGGATATATTTTCTGCCTCGATAATTTGGGACCGTTATTCGGAAGATAGCGGTTAGCCCATATCCAAGTAGATGCTAGAAAAATACTGACTAAATGAGTTGAGTGGGATATTGAGTCTTTCTTTGTTGTCACAGTTGACGCTGTTTCTCCTTGTGTTGTTGAATGTGCTAGCAACTATATGTGAGCATGAATGAATGCTGAGACAGGGGAGATGACTGACTGTCTTCTTCTTTGTCCTGACAGGAGCCGTCAAGGTGACCCTGGCCCACACAGAGAAGAAGACAGGAAGTTCTAAAGCTCGTCGTCTGGCTACATTCATGTTCACCACCTCGAGGCTTTGTTAGAGAGTGCAGCCACTTAACTTTCCTGACTGAACATTCAGTAAATCTTTGTACACTGAACATTCAGTAGATCTTCATACATTGAACACTCAGTAATTGACAATGCAGAACTTTCAATTGCTGCGTACATTTTTGAGCAGAAAAAATGTGGTTCTGTCACAGCTAAAGTGTTTGATTTCCCGTACACACAAATGTGATGCCTTGGCTCAACCTGTTACGTATTTTCACAGCACTCAACTCAAATACAAATCCATGTAATTGATTGTCTTTCTTGCTTTGCCTTGGTGTTATTTATTATTAGTTTATCATGTAGCAGCTGTTTTGTATTAGTTTTATCAGTCTGCAAGTATACTGTTCCAATCAATGGTTTCTGTGTGGTGTGTCTGTGTACAGGTACTGTTTCACTCAGGGGTTTCTGTGTGTATGAGTACTTGAACTGTTCCAGTCAGGGGTTTCTGTGTGGTTGTGTATGTGAACTTGAACTGTTCCACTCAGGGGTTTCTGTGTGGTTGTATATATGAACTTGAACTGTTCCAGTCAGGGGTTTCTGTATGGTTGTGTATGTGAACTTGAACTGTTCCACTCAGGGGTTTCTGTGTGGTTGTATATATGAACTTAAACTGTTCCAGTCAGGGGTTTCTGTGTGGTTGTATATATGAACTTGAACTGTTCCAGTCAGGGGTTTCTGTGTGGTTGTGTATTTGAACTTGAACTGTTCCACTCAGGGGTTTCTGTGTGGTTGTGTATTTGAACTTGAACTGTTCCAGTCAGGGGTTTCTGTATGGTTGTGTATGTGAACTTGAACTGTTCCAGTCAGGGGTTTCTGTATGGTTGTATATATGAACTTGAACTGTTCCAGTCAGGGGTTTCTGTGTGGTTGTGTATTTGAACTTGAACTGTTCCACTCAGGGGTTTCTGTGTGGTTGTGTATTTGAACTTGAACTGTTCCACTCAGGGGTTTCTGTGTGGTTGTATATATGAACTTAAACTGTTCCAGTCAGGGGTTTCTGTGTGGTTGTGTATGTGAACTTGAACTGTTCCACTCAGGGGTTTCTGTGTGGTTGTGTACTTGAACTGTTCCACTCAGGGGTTTCTGTGTGGTTGTATATATGAACTTAAACTGTTCCAGTCAGGGGTTTCTGTGTGGTTGTATATATGAACTTGTACTGTTCCAGCCAGTGGTTTCTGTATGGTTGTGTATTTGAACTTGTACTGTTCCAGTCAGGGGTTTCTGTATGGTTGTGTATTTGAACTTGAACTGTTCCAGTCAGGGGTTTCTGTGTGGTTGTATATATGAACTTGAACTGTTCCAGTCAGGGGTTTCTGTGTGCTTGTGTATTTGAACTTGTACTGTTCCACTCGGTGGTTTCTCTGTGTGGTTGTGTATATGTACTTGTACTGTTCCAGTCAGGGGTTTCTGTATGGTTGTGTATTTGAACTTGTACTGTTCCAGTCAGTGGTTTCTCTGTGGTTGTGTATTTGAACTTGTACTGTTCCCGTCAGTGGTTTCTATGTGGTTGTAAATGTGAACTTGAACTGTTCCAGCCAGTGGTTTCTGTGTGGTTGTAAATGTGAACTTGAACTGTTCCAGCCAGTGGTTTCTGTGTGGTTGTGTATTTGAACTTGTACTGTTCCAGCCAGTGGTTTCTGTGTGGTTGTAAATGTGAACTTGAACTGTTCCAGTCAGGGGTTTCTCATGTGGAACATGTTCTGTCGTCACCAGTGAACTCAAACGGCGGCTGAAGGCTGAGCGTCAGGCACAGAAGAAAGCAGAACAAGTTGCAGCACAAGGGACAGCTGTAGACAGTTCTGCAGCTTTAAAAGAAAAGAGTGAAGATGAAGAAGAGATTGATCCAACGGTAAGACTGAAGTAGTAGTTTGCTTTCTTCTGGATCTTAGCATTTCATCTACACTAGTAAGTGGACATGCTTGTGGATATTCAAAGTCAGGTCTCAGGAAATCTTTATATTGGCTGCCCTCTCTGTTGTTGTTTTGTGTGTTGCATTTTGTTTTATCTGTTTAATTTGTTTCTTCTTCTTCTTCGCGTTTACCAGCTGTAAACTCTGGCGGAAAGTTCTGGTTGTTCATCCACTTCTGGACTGCAGTCCTGTTCCAGAACCTGAGTGTTGCGTGTGCATCCGTTTTACAGATCTGACTGATTTTTATGCAGACTGCCTGTTCCTTGCCTCTCAGGCAGATGCACTCTGACCTTGAAGAAAGCTCCCAATTAGTCGACTCTTACGACATGCTTTTGGGTAGGCAATGGGTCTATAATAGGGCCCCAGAACCCACATGGGGTTGATAATTTATGTTTGAAAGTGATTGTGTTAACAAGTCTCTCACTCTGTTGTATTTCAACAGGAGTACTTCAAGATACGGTCTCGAACCATTGCTGGTCTCAAGGAGAAAGGTGAAAATCCCTACCCACACAAGTACCACGTGGAGATCTCTCTGAGGGAGTTCATCGAGAGGTTTGAGAATGTGGAGGCTGGCAACATCCTGGAGCATGAGGTGACTGTAGCAGGTCAGTTGTTGTGTGCAGCCATTGTTTGGTGTCGGTATATCACCAGAGATGGGCACTCTCTTATATTACTCCATCACATGGTATCCCCCCCTCCCCCCCAGGTGTAGTGGCTAGACGCTCGCATGTGGATCACAAGGTTGTGGTTTGGGTCCTAATGGAGCCAGACTTTAAAACAAAAAAAATGACCTTGGGTACCGGGTGGAATCCTGCTGACCACATCACCCAGAGTCTGATTGGTCTATAATATATAGGCGTAGCCCTATATGCCCAATATACTTGTAGGCGTGGAAAAGGGGGTCCTTTGTTCAGGGTTCGTAGCTGACCTCGAGACCTTGAAAAAGGCGGGAGCTGCAAGATCCCTCTCAAAGCCTTGAAAACACTAGGAATTTTTATGAAGACTGATGAAAAACCTGGAAGTTTACACACCATAACCAGGACTGGGCAACAAAAAGGGAATTGTGTGTGATTTTTAACAGTCAGGCTTGTCTTTTTGCAGTTACAGCTTTTTTGCGGTTATGCATTTTAAATTGATCATCGGTAAACTGCGCGGGCAAAAATGTTGGGATACCGGCAATCTGTGAGTCTTTAAGCAATAGTTCACGGTCTCATTGTTTTGCTTTGCTGGACAGTGCCGAGTGAGCTATCTTTGCCCTTCTCTTCTCTTGACCTTTTCCCCCTCTCACACCCTTCATTTGGCGTAGCAAAGTCAGCTGGTACTCGGTGCAGAACACACACATTCATACACATCAAATATATGTATAATTTTAAAAACACATTACATCATTTCTTTATGCTATCCTCTGGCATTCTTCCCCCCCCCCCCCCCCCCTTTCCCATATTTTTCTTGTTTACTATATTTGCCATAACTGTCTTTTCCTAGTGGTTGTGTCCAGTACACTCTGTCTCCTTCTTTGTCTTTCACACTGTCTCTCCCACTCTACCTCACATTTGTCTTCCTCCGTCTCTGTATGACTCTCGTTCTCTCTCTTTCTCTGCCTTTCAGGCACAACGTCAAGAACAGATAGGACTTCAGTTTGGTCCCTCTGCCAAGTATTTAAAAAAATGTAAAAGCACTATATCTGTGCTGGTATACCCGCATGAGTGAAATACCTTGTGCGCTTGGTACACTCTTGAACAAGGCAAAAATACCTTGTTTCAATATAACTCCGAGACAGCCTTGAAAAAAAAAACTATGGGTACCTTAAAATAGAAATTTGAAGGTCACTGAGGACATTCAGCTATCTTTGTTAGTGTGGCCAGATGTTCATATTTGATTTTATTTATGCAGGCCTTCTATCTTTCTATTTCGCTTCCAAGTTTATGTTTAAATACTTCCTGATATCAGCCTGACTTGTCTCCCCCGTTTTAGATAGCAAACAGACTGCAGTCTCCCCTGTTTTAGATAGCAAACAGACTGCAGTCTCCCCTGTTTTAGATAGCAAACAGACTGCAGTCTCCCATGTTTTAGATAACAGCTCGACTACAGCCTTCCCTATTTTAGACATCAGTGATGGGTTAACGTGAGATCGGGTTTTGATCAGGAATTGTCTGTTTCAGGCCGAATCCATGCCAAGAGGCCTTCAGGGGCTAAACTGATCTTCTACGATCTGAGAGGAGAGTCTGTGAAAATCCAGGTCATGGCCAATGCCAAGTAAGAATCCAGGCTTAGTCTGTCTCATCACACTCTTGTCTGTCTCTATCGCTTGTACACACTCTTGTCTGTCTCATCACACTCTTGTCTGTCTCATCACACTCTTGTCTGTCTCCATCGCTTGTACACACTCTTGCCTGTCTGTCTCCATCGCTTGTACACACTCTTGTCTGTCTGTCTCATCACACTCTTGTCTGTCTCCATCGCTTGTACACACTCTTGCCTGTCTGTCTCCATCAGTTGTACACACTCCTGTCTCTCTGTCTCCATCGCTTGTACACACTCCTGTCTCTCTGTCTCATCACACTCTTGTCTGTCTCCATCAGTTGTACACACAGTTGTCTCTCTGTCCACTTTATCACTTGTTTATCTACTGTATCACTTGTACATACGTTCTTCTCTCTCGTTGCCTAAAGAATAAGGGCTGCTATCTTTCTGTGTGTGTCTAGTCATGTTTTGCTCACCCTATCTCTTTTACACATTCTGACTTGTCTCATCTCTCTTCCCCTCATTATATAAAAATAGTTGCTGAGATGTGTGTCTCTAATCTATCTGTTCACTTGTTCATCACTTCTTTCTCTCTGAAAAAACTTCATGATGAATGTTTGCCTAAGTGAATGTTTTTCTGTCACTATAGTAGACTAGCAACAGATAAGGGCATTGATTCAGCACACCAAGTTATAAAATAGTAGACTAGCAACAGATGAGGGCATGTATTCAGTGCACCAAGTTATAAAATAGTAGACTAGCAACAGATAAGGACATGTATTCAGCGCACTAAGTTATAAAATACATGTCTGGTAGACATTATCGTAAGGGGAATGGTCATGAATGAGTTTGTGTGAAGTCTTCAAACATATTACCTACTGGTGGAGGACCGTTAGACTTGCTACTGTAGGTGGCTGGATATGTTGTTCTCCACACACATGATGAGTGATTTGTTTCTCCCAGATACTACGAGAGTCCAGCAGCCTTTGATGAAATTGTTGACAGACTGAGGAGAGGGGACATCATCGGTGTTCGGGGCAAACCTGGTAGGTGCTGCTGAGTGCCTTGTTCTCATCACTTGAAGCATGTGTTACCCTTCATCATTTCATCCTTCAAACATCTGTTACCCTTTATCATTGTAATGCTCACACAAGATGTCTTCATCCTTCAAACATCTGTTACCCTCCATCATTGTAATGCTCACACAAGATGTCTTCATCCTTCAAGCATCTGTTACCCTCCATCATTGTAATGCTCACATAGAGGTGTCTTCATCCTTTAAGCATCTGTTACCCTCCATCATTGTAATGCTCACACAGAGATGTTTTCAGTAGTGTCTGTAATATCTTTTTGTAGCATCTGCTGATGTAGGTCTGTTGGGCCTCCATAGTTGCAGTACTGCCAGAGATTTTTGCAGGACTTGTCTACAGCCAACTATTGAGTGATGATATAGCAACTAACACAGCTGTCTTATGATGAAATGTTGGCCATTAGCCCACTTCATGAAATATTGCAGCAAAAGGGCTGCTGTTTTGCTAATTTTACTTGCTGCTTCTCTGTATACATTTTCTTTGAATTTTACAGTGCATTGGGGGGAAATAGTGCTACCAGTGCCAGTTGTTTAAACTGTAGAAAGTTTGCTGGCTGGTGTTCATCATCTCTGCCTGTCCCTATTCACATAACCACGCACAGACATTCAGCAGTCTCCAGATCGGTTTTGTACAGGAAATAGTTCCCTTTGACATAACCACACACAGACATTCAGAAGTCTCCAGATAGGTTTTGTACAGGGAATAGTTCTCGTTGACATAGCTACGCACAGACATTCAGCAGTCTCCAGATACAGGGAATAGTTCACCTCATTCATTGGTTGCAGGAACCTTACATGGGAAGATGGTGCATTTAATGAAGAATTGCCCACAGTTGGCTCGTATTATCATTATCTTGTCCCTGTCGTCTGTTAGCTACCATTGATGTGGCTGTTCTAGTTAACCTATCTGTTAATTACCGTTGATGATGTTTTTCTAGGTAAGACGAAAAAGGGTGAGCTGAGCATAGTGCCAACCAGCATCACGTTATTGTCTCCCTGCTTGCGGCAGCTACCACACTTGTACTATGGTGTCAAAGACAAGGTGACAGTCATACTTTTGTCTTTCTGTGTCAGTTTTTCCATTTTTTCTGTCTTTTTTTTTTTTAATGTTCTCTCTTCAATCTGTATTTTGTATGTTGTTGTCGTATCTTATACGGGGTTTGTAGCCAACCAGGAAACTTGAAATTAGCCGTGAAATTGTGGCCTCTGCCAGTAGCCTAAATTTTTACCTAAAAAAGGACATACTGACCTTGAATAGCCTTGAATTTTGACCGCCACAGTAAAATCATTGGAAGTCCTGCGATTTTCTGCAGTTATGCTCTTGGGGGGGGGGGGGGGTTGCTAGTTTTGGCTACTTTCTTTTAAGGTCGTTTCAGGTGTGAGGGCAATTGATTAGCGGCTATTTTCAGCCGAAATGGCTTGTTAAAGGCTATGGGAGGGTAGGCTGTGCTGCAGCTCATGGATACGTGCAGACAGCAGCGGCGTGGCATGGGGTGGAAAGGAGCAGCCGCCGTTGTGTGTGCTTTTATTTTTAGCTAGTCCGACATAGAACAAAGGCAAAAATCTTGTTTCAGTATTACGACGAGACAACCTTGAAAAAACTAAGGAGACCTTGAAAAACCTGGAAATTGATTGGTAAATTTGGTTATGGACCCTGCTCATATTGTTGGTTATGTGGTGAATAAATCACCAGCCTGTTGTGATAACAGTCCCTACCCGTGCTGTCATAGTCCTGAACTGCAAGTATTGAGGAAATTCTCCTTATCTTATAATTTGGCACCAAGGATTTCTGTAGTCACCCCACAGCTAGATCTAATCTCTAGTGCAGGCTGTTCCCTAAACTGGACATAGTGACCCTAGGTTTTGTCGACTCAAACTCCCATCTGTTTTTCTTCCAGAGCGTTGGTGCACTGTCTATGCGAATATTTATATTTTTTTTTTTTATTCATTAACATAGAATTTGAGTTCATAATATCTGTATGTGTGATATATGCGGGCCTGCTGTAGAAGTGTACAGATAGTACAATGGTTTAACCGCCCCTGAGTTTAAATCCTGCCAGTGTGAAATTGTGCCATATGTTTTCCTAACATTGTTTTCTTGGCCTGACACAGGAAACCAGATTCCGCCAGCGCTACCTGGATCTGATGATCAATGAACCAGTTCGAGACATTTTCATCACCAGAGCAAAAATCATGAATTACCTGCGCAGGTTTTTTGATGATCTGGGTTTTCTGGAGGTGAGTATGGGTACAGGTTGTAGGTCTGAATGGTGCTTTTCCACACCAGATCATTGAGGGGGTCTATCATTGTTCTTACTGCTGCTCCAGCACACGAGATCATTGTTCTCAATGTTGCTCTAACAAACCAGATAATTGTTCTTATTGTTGCTCTAACAAACCAGATCATTGTTCTTACTGCTGCTCCAGCACACCAGATCAGTATTCTTACTGCTGCTCCAGCACACCAGATCGTTGTTCTCACTGTTGCTCCAGCACACCAGATCATTGTTCTCACTGTTGCTCCAGCACACCAGATCGTTGTTCTCACTGTTGCTCCAGCACACCGGATCAGTGTTCTTACTGTTGCTCCAGCACACCAGGTCAGTGTTCTTACTGTTGCTCCAGCACACCAGATCAGTGTTCTCACTGTTGCTCCAGCACACCAGATCAGTGTTCTCACTGTTGCTCCAGCACACCAGATCAGTGTTCTTACTGTTGCTCCAGCACACCAGATCAGTGTTCTTACTGTTGCTCCAGCACACCAGATCAGTGTTCTCACTGTTGCTCCAGCACACCAGATCATTGTTCTTACTGTTGCTCCAGCACACCAGATCATTGTTCTTACTGTTGCTCCAGCACACCAGATCAGTGTTCTTACTGTTGCTCCAGCACACCAGATCAGTGTTCTTACTGTTGCTCCAGCACACCAGATCATAAAGGAGGTTCATCAGTGTTCTCACTGTTGCTCCAGCACACCAGATCAGTGTTCTCACTGTTGCTCCAGCACACCAGATCATAAAGGAGGTTCATCAGTGTTCTCACTTGCTCCAGCACACCAGATCAGTGTTCTCACTGTTGCTCCAGCACACCAGATCATAAAGGAGGTTCATCAGTGTTCTCACTTGCTCCAGCACACCAGATCATTGTTCTTACTGTTGCTCCAGCACACCAGATCAGTGTTCTCACTGTTGCTTTACCACACCAGATCATAAAGGAGGTTCATCATTGTTCTCACTGTTGCTCCAGCGCACCAGATCATAAAGGAGGTACATCATTGTTCTCACTGTTGCTCCAGCACACCAGATCAGTGTTCTCACTGTTTGCTCCAGCACCCCAGATCATAAAGGAGGTTCATCAGTGTTCTCACTGTTGCTCCAGCACACCAGATCATTGTTCTTACTGTTGCTCCAGCACACCAGATCAGTGTTCTCACTGTTGCTTTACCACACCAGATCATAAAGGAGGTTCATCAGTGTTCTCACTGTTGCTCCAGCACACCAGATCATTGTTCTTACTGTTGCTCCAGCACACCAGATCATTGTTCTTACTGTTGCTCCAGCACACCAGATCAGTGTTCTCACTGTTGCTCCAGCACACCAGATCATTGTTCTTACTGTTGCTCCAGCACACCAGATCAGTGTTCTCACTGTTGCTCCAGCACACCAGATCATAAAGGAGGTTCATCATTGTTCTCACTGTTGCTCCAGCACACCAGATCGTAAAGGAGGTCCATCATTGGTCTTACTGTTGCTCCAGCACACCAGATCATAAAGGAGGTTCATCATTGTTCTCACTGTTGCTCCAGCACACCAGATCGTAAAGGAGGTCCATCATTGGTCTCACTGTTGCTCCAGCACACCAGATCATAAAGGAGGTCCATCATTGTTCTCACTGTTGCTCCAGCACACCAGATCGTAAAGGAGGTCTATCATTGGTCTCACTGTTGCTCCAGCACACCAGATCGTAAAGGAGGTCTATCATTGGTCTTACTGTTGCTCCAGCACACCAGATCATCAAGGAGGTCCATCATTGTTCTCACTGTTGCTCCAGCACACCAGATCATCAAGGAGGTCCATCATTGGTCTCACTGTTGCTCCAGCACACCAGATCATAAAGGAGGTCCATCATTGGTCTCATTGTTGCTCCAGCACACCAGATCATAAAGGAGGTCCATCATTGGTCTCACTGTTGCTCCAGCACACCAGATCATAAAGGAGGTCCATCATTGGTCTCACTGTTGCTCCAGCACACCAGATCATAAAGGAGGTCCATCATTGTTCTCACTGTTGCTCTAGCACACCAGATCATAAAGGCGGTCCATCATTGTTCTCACTGTTGCTCCAGCACACCAGATCATTGTTCTTACTGTTGCTCCAGCACACCAGATCATAAAGGAGGTTCATCAGTGTTCTCACAGTCATGTCCAGCACAGTTCTTACTGTTGCTCCAGCACACCAGAGATCAGTGTTCTCACTGTTGCTTTACCACACCAGATCATAAAGGAGGTTCATCATTGTTCTCACTGTTGCTCCAGCGCACCAGATCATAAAGGAGGTTCATCATTGTTCTCACTGTTGCTCCAGCACACCAGATCAGTGTTCTCACTGTTTGCTCCAGCACACCAGATCATAAAGGAGGTTCATCAGTGTTCTCACTGTTGCTCCAGCACACCAGATCATTGTTCTTACTGTTGCTCCAGCACACCAGATCAGTGTTCTCACTGTTGCTTTACCACACCAGATCATAAAGGAGGTTCATCAGTGTTCTCACTGTTGCTCCAGCACACCAGATCATTGTTCTTACTGTTGCTCCAGCACACCAGATCAGTGTTCTCACTGTTGCTTTACCACACCAGATCATAAAGGAGGTTCATCAGTGTTCTTACTGTTGCTCCAGCACACCAGATCATTGTTCTTACTGTTGCTCCAGCACACCAGATCAGTGTTCTCACTGTTGCTCCAGCACACCAGATCATTGTTCTTACTGTTGCTCCAGCACACCAGATCATTGTTCTCACTGTTGCTCCAGCACACCAGATCATAAAGGAGGTCCATCATTGTTCTCACTGTTGCTCCAGCACACCAGATCATTGTTCTCACTGTTGCTCCAGCACACCAGATCAGTGTTCTCACTGTTGCTCCAGCACACCAGATCAGTGTTCTCACTGTTGCTCCAGCACACCAGATCATTGTTCTCACTGTTGCTCCAGCACACCAGATCATAAAGGAGGTTCATCATTGTTCTCACTGTTGCTCCAGCACACCAGATCATTGTTCTCACTGTTGCTCCAGCACACCAGATCGTCAAGGAGGTCTATTGTTCTGGCAGGTGAATGAGGGATCAACAGCATCACAATGAGTTTGTAATCCTTGTTTCAGTGACCTGTTGTGAAACTCTTGCATTTCTGAATTAAATGCATATAACGTGGCCAGAGTAACTAACAACGATTACTTGAAAGTAGATCTGTATATACAACAATAAGAAAGAGACTGACACTGTTCTTTGGCCACATAATGAGAAGAGAGACATTGGAGAACATTGTGACAACTGGAAAGATGATGGAAAAGAGGGTAGAAGCAGACTAAGAGAGATGATGCTGGATGGGCTGAAACAAAAGCATGGTGGGATATCATCAAGAGAGTTGTTCCAGGCAACCAGTGATTGTGATCTCCAGAGACACATGAGCACCTACGCCAGTTGGCAGGGCACATGATGATGCATATAACCCCTGTATGTTCTATGTTAAAGCACCCGTAAAGGTTCTAGGTTGAGGCACCCATGTATATTCCAGGTTGAGACACTCATGTGTGTTCTAGGTTGAGTCACCTGTTTATGTTTAAGATTGAGAACCCTTTTATGTGGTAGGTTGAAATACCTGTATATGTTCTTTGTTGAGACATCTGTATACGTTCTAGGTTTAAACACTCAGGTATGTTCTATGTTAAGACACCCATTTATATTGCAGGTTGAGACACCCATGATGAGCTTGATCCCAGGTGGGGCTGTGGCCAAGCCTTTTATCACTCACCACAACGAACTCAACCAAGATCTCTACATGAGGATTGCTCCAGAACTCTATCTCAAGGTGGGTGTCATTGTTCTGGTTGTTGACACCTTGTCAGTTCTTTAAGGTAGTTTCATTGTTCTAGTTAACACTGTCTGTTGGTATTCCGGATGTGTTCAGTTGACACCTTGTCATTTCTTTAAGGTAGTTTCATTGTTCTAGTTAACACTGTCTGTTGTTATTCCAGATGTGTTCAGTTGACACCTTGTCATTTCTTTAAGGTAGTTTCATTGTTCTAGTTAACACTGTCTGTTGTTATTCCAGATGTGTTCAGTTAACACCTTGTCAGTTCTTTAAGGTAGTTTCATTGTTCTAGTTAACACTGTCTGTTGTTATTCCAGACATGTTCAGTTAACACCTTGTCAGTTCTTTAAGGTAGTTTCATTGTTCTAGTTGACACTGTCTGTTGTTATTCCAGACTTGTTCAGTTAACACCTTGTCTAGTGTTTTGGATGGTTCCATTGTTCTGGTTGTTGACACCTTGTCAGTTCTTTGAGGTAGTTTCATTGTTCTTGTTAACACTGTCTGTTGTTATTCCAGACGTGTTCAGTTAACACCTTGTCTAGTGTTCTGGATGGTTCCATTGTTCTAGTTGGTACCTTCTCTATGGTTCCACTTGTTTAAACCTTACATTTTGTGTGCCTGTAGATGCTGGTGGTTGGAGGTATTGACCGGGTCTATGAGATTGGGAAGCAGTTTCGAAATGAGGGCATAGATCTGACCCACAACCCAGAGTTTACCACGCTGGAGTTCTATATGGCCTACGCTGATTACAACGACATCATGGTCATGTCCGAGAGTCTGTTGTCAGGTAGGAACTGTCTGTCCATATCCTACAATGCCACTTTAGTCATGTGTCTACGCCGAGACTGGCTGTGTCACTGCGGTTTGGCATTTTGATCATAATTAATTGTAGAATACTTGCCAAAAGTGTTAAGACCTGGAACTGAAAGTTTACACTTAATTTTAAAAAATTTAAAAGAAAAAGATCATTGAAGCGTTGAACGTAGGTTTTTCAATTATAAGTCGGATGTGATACTTGTTACATTAGAATTTGATATGATAATGGTAGCTAAAAGTAAGACCAGTATTGTATGGTGTAGTAGACAAGACACATGCATTCTGTTATATAGTATAGAGGACAATTGTAAGCATCATGTCAGTACATGACCAAAACCTCTTGTTGATCATCGGGGTGAATCCAGTTGATGTGATGGCTGGTCCAGAAGTGTGCATTCAGCCGGCCAGCCGTGGAGGTAACCCAACTCAAACATTTCAAAGTGATCCTGACTATCATTCATGGAAAGAAACTCCATTAATTCCTCATCTGCTTTCATTAACTAGTTTTCTTGCCATTTTGCATTTTAAAACAGTGTAGACCGCCGCACAACCAGAAATAGGTTTCAGGGCAAGAAGTACACAGTTCACCGACCACGCTTCTGTGGTAAACAAAGCAACAGGATCATGCAGAATACATCTGAATACATCTAAACGCACATGATAGAGTTTTTAATCATATGTCAATGGGTCTGTTTTTGGTAATGTGTATTGGCATATTACCCCCACGAGAATTACCGTCCTTAGCAGTCTTTAGGGAAAGTCTAAATCATGTTGTTACAACCTTTGCAGTCTATGGGGCAAACGTATAATTACATCTATAAGGGAGAAATTGTGGTCTTTAAAATGGTCCTAGAATACCATGGACCAAGAAGGAAAGAAATTCTGACACAGATTCTCTGTAGTATGATGTATTTAGTGTTTATGTCCCCTCTGTGTGAAGTTGTTTGTTCCCTGTATGTGAAGTTGTATGTCCCCTGAATGTGAACTTGTTTGTCCCCTGAATGTGAACTTGTTTGTGCCCTGTCTGAATGTTTTCGATTTCTGTGTGTAGTTTGGTGTTGTATTAAATGTTTGTTATTTGTGCTCTCTGACAGGTTTGGTTTTGTATTGTGTGTGTGTTATTCATGCTCTCTGACAGGTTTGGTGAAACAGCTGACGGGAGGCTACAAGATTACCTACCACCCTGAGGGTCCTGAGGGACAAGCTTACGAGGTCGATTTTACTCCACCCTTCAAAAGGGTGTCCATGATCCCCACGCTGGAGAAGGAGACAGGGGTCAAGTTTCCTCCAGCCACAGAACTCCACACAGAAGGTATTGCTGCTTGTTGATTTGTTCCTGGTGTGGCTCAGTGACTAACTCTACATGTTTATTGTCTAAGGCAGCACTGCCTGGGTCTCAGGGTCAGGCCAGCAACTTGAGCCAGTGCATCCTATCCCCAGGGTAGGGCCATTGTGTGGCCCACATTTCCTGAACTTCCCTGCTTCTTCTCACTAGTGTAGTTTCTGTACAAGTCAGGAAAACCCCACAAGTTCTGAGCTTGGGTGGAGGAAGGAATGCCCGCTCTGGTTCCAGTCTGTCCTGATCAGTCTAGAAACTTGTTAGCATTCGTCATTGTCTGAACTTGTAGAACATTCGTCATTGTCTGAACTTGTAGAACTGTTGTCTTTCTGGTGACTGCAGCTTTACTTCTGCTGATGTGCTCTCTAGAAATCTTTACATTCTGGTTCCAATGAAATTTTGTATGTGTGTGTCTCCTAGTTTAGAGAATATATTTTGTTAATTATTTGTTGTAATCTAAACATTGTGATTTATAAGATTCAGTCATTTCAGAAATTCGTCATTGAATTGTGCAAGCGCTTGTCACTGTTGACTTTTACCACAAATTGTGATTACAATGTTGACCCTCCCCACACTGTTGACATGATTACAAACTGTTGTGTTGATACAAGTTTCTGATGACCCTTGCAGCTGCTCGCAAGTTCCTGGATGACCTGGCGGTGAAACATGGAGTCGAGTGTCCACCTCCCAGGACATCGTCCAGGCTGCTAGACAAGGTCAGTACATTGTTTGGAGGAGGAGGGGGGTGCACGTAAACGATTGAAACGTGGTGACTGCACTTGGGTTTCTTTAGAACATAGGCAAATAGTCTGAGCCAAGATAGTGTTTGAATATCTACAGCGATTGTTAGAATCTTTGATTCACTGTGAGAGATTGTTAGGATCTTTTGATTCACTGAGAGAGATTGTTAGGATCTTTGATTGCCTGTGGGAGATTGTTTTTTAATTGAGCTGCAGAATACAAATGAAAATCTGTATACAGGTTTGTGAGCTCATGGGCCATGTCAAGCTTGCCAGACCTTGAAAGAAGAAAAAAAAATTTCTCAAGCTTGTATGTGATGTTGGGAGTGAGGTTGCTGAAAATTATTTTTCTTTTTTTGGTCTGTTGTAGATGGTTGGTGATTTCATCGAGGACAAGATTGTCAATCCCACGTTCATCATAGAGCATCCAGAAATCATGAGTCCCTTGTCCAAATGGTGAGTGATCTTGTGAACCATTGTAACTCATCTCCTGTAACTCATCTGTTGTTTTATTTGTGGGGTTTCCCCCCGAGAGGTGGGGTCCTGTTGTAAATGACATCTCCACTCTTATTAGCATCGTGTCTGTGAGTTGAATGCTTAATTGTTTGGTGGAATCTTGCAGGCACCGATCATCGCCGGGTCTGACAGAGAGGCTGGAGTTGTTCATCATGCACAAGGAGGTGATCAACGCTTACACAGAGTTGAATGATCCTGTGATACAGCGAGAGAGGTTCCAGCAACAAGCCAAGGTGAGTCTGGTGAACCTGCTGGTCTGTCATGTCACAGTTCTGCACTTGTTCATGTCCAACTACTGAGTAATTGTTCAACCTACACACTTGTTCCCCTGAGTGTTTTCTCTGATCTAGATGAGGGAATATTCAGCCAAGTTTATTCAAATAAAATGTTGGGATAGAGGATTATCACCAGCCTTGAGCCCCATCATAGAAAGGTACAATACAGTTGGCCACCAGTTGAATTGCCTTGTTCTAGACCATCCTGTCCTGCTTTAGTTACAATCATGGGTGCTGTCCGGTCTGACCATTTTATTATACCTGGCAGGGTATTGTTTCCCACACAGACACAGTACTGATCTGGGTGGATGTTAATCCACACAAACATGGTTCCAAATGATAAAGGTTATATATTATTTTTATATTATACTAGCTGTACCCGGCCATGCGTTGCTGTGGCATAGTTTGGCTAAACTGAAAAGAAAAAAAATAGAAATCTTGCCAATGATGTAGGATGTCTTCACTCCTGTAGATTTGTATCTTTCCTAAAACATGACAGCCCTACGGTGCAACCGCCCAACCACAACTACTACTGCTGCTGCTACTTTGTGGGTAAGGCAGTTACTGTGACTTAGTAAACAGTTTATGTTACCTACCTTCCCCAATTTACCGACTACTCTTTCCCTCACCGAAGTAGTTAGGAAAATTACCCAAGTGAAAAGCAATGAAAACAGGAAAAATAAATCATAATTACGAAATCAACGCTATGGTAAACTGTACCCAGCGCGCGTTGGAAAGGAAAGTCGATCTAACAATATGTAGTATTTATATTGGATCATTGTGCTGGTTACATATCCTTAGGAAAACAACAGGCAATTTCAAATGTCATTGTAATTGTTTACTGAAGGGCTTTCGGGCATACAATGTTCTTAGTTTGTCTGTCTGGTGCGTATACGAATAAATTAGAAGGTTTTCCGACACGTGAACAGGCCACATATAGCTGTCTATGTGAAAAGCATGGATGTTATGGATGTTCCAATTGTAGTCTACACGCTAGCTCTAATTGTCCCTGTGATTTGTTGATGGTCATTGCAAAGGCCAGTGGCACCAGAAGTTGCAAGCGTTTGAATTCGAATGGCATGCCTGTTTGAATTGTGTTGCAATAGTATATCCTGGCCCTTAAATGTTCATGTAAAATTGTACTTACAATGAGATTTGGCACCATCTTTTTCACTGAAAGCCTGGTACCAGTGCAAAGATGTGGCGGATTGATGTTTCTGAGAAGAATGACAGGCACGCCAACTTTCAAGGTTAAAACACGGGATGGCATGCCTGGCAAATCAAGCGAATTCAAGAACTCAGTTGGGTAATTGACAACCTCGTCTTGAATCATTGCAGTATCGATAGACTTATACGTTGTCACTCCGCCTAGTAATTTGTCCTGACTGTTCGGATTCATGGCATACACATCCTTGATGTTAGCTGCTAATATAGCATGTTCACTGAGCCACTGATGATTTTTGTAAGTCTGTGTGATATTAGGGAAAACTGTGTGAATCAGTTCGTCTGTGGTAGCTGTAAGTTTACAGAAGTCTGTTGGCAATGTGATACATCGGTTGGCATTGTCCCATTCCCAATATCCAAGAACTGTTTTGCAAAACGTTCAGCGGTTGCATCATGTTGTAGTTGTATACACATATTGGTCTTCAAAGTCAATAAATGTGTGTGTCGCCATACAATTTCTGCAATGAAGAATTATATCACGCGAGTTAAAGTCTTCGCCATCCATAACAATTGCCACTTCATCAATTGTTGGTGCATTGTACTGTTTGTCGTGTTGGCCGACAGATGTTTTGTCAGCTCTAAGTACAACTCTGTAGCTATCAGCTGGTATTTGTGTAAGAGCAGTTCTGAACAATCTAATTAATTTGTTGTGTTGATCAAATAAAGTTTGTAAAGCAGCGACTATTTCTCGTTGTGTTCCCCTTATTGAATCGACAAAGTTGATCAATGTTTCCCATGAAATAAATCTTGAGAAATTTGTAATCTGCGCCGGGCAGTGGTAGTAGTGAGCCAGCACGATGATAAATCTGGCCTTGCACTTTGAATGTTGGTATGTGATTCTCGCGCACAATATTTGTTGCACCGAATGGTGTCATCTGGAAACATGAATTGTATTTATTTGCGAATGTTGGCCAAGAAATGTTACGACTGGCCTGTGTCACCTGCTACCAATGATGATAACAGTTCGGGTGGTGAATTTAATACTGGCAAATTAATTTGTCCACCCGCTCTTTTCCAAAGCGTTTCATTCTTAAATTTGAAGGCACTGCAATGTACGCACAATTTATCGACTTTTCTAATAAGCACCTGTGGATGAAGACTGTAATCATAATTGCTGTTGAAATGGAATGCACCAAGATTCAAATCAACATGCGGTGTTCGCCTGGATAAAGTATTGCGCATTCGAACGGTTTCCAGTCTTGCTTCTCGTTGCTCGTCTGACTGAGACAATCTGGCTTCAGCAGTGCGCACTCTAACGTTTTCTAGTCTTGCTTTTCCGTTGCTGGTCTGATTGAGACGAACGGGCTTCAGCAGTGCGCACTCGAATGGTTTCCAGTCTTACCTCATGTTGCTCGTCTGTTTCTGAAGCCCTTCTCTTGCGTGTTTTATGCGTAGGTGGGCCAATTGCTTGTCATTTGGGAGGCTTGACGAAATAGTGAACAGCATGTGAATTTAGTGAGCGTTTATCGTCAATAGCTTGTTCGTCTTCACGCACCAAACGAAATGTGACTTGAAGTATCGCTGAAAAAATGAAAATATGAGCATAAGATAACAATCTATTTCAACTCAAGAGGGCAGTAAATATTAGGAAAAGTTGGTAAACAATATGAATAGGTGTCCAGTGTAGCAGTAAGATTTGTGGTATATATGTCTTGTGACACTGAAATAATCAACTTCACTACAGACTACCTGCAGTTGACCTGCGACAGAATTTCATGTAAATGTATATAATTCTTTTGAATAACAGAAGAAAGCCAACTGAAATTGTGTAAACATGGAGACATGTAAACATGTAACAATTATAATAGTACGCTAGACAGTATGAGAAAGCCAACAGATAATGTGTATACATTTATCATTGAGTGATTTAAGGAGTGGTCCATGCATGTTTGAAGTTGACACACAACAAATGTATATACTGACTAAATGTAGTGAAGTAAATGTGCGCTTACCTTTTGACGACGAGCGTCACTGCTGCGCATGCACGGTAAAAGTCCATTGCGCGTGCGCATTTACTAACGTGGCTATAATTAAATGTCACTAAAAATGAAAATATTAGTTTCGAAGATTTTCCCAAAATATGTCGTGCACTGTCTCTAACAATGACAGGTAGAATTTCAAACCATGGCGGGTGAAATTCCGGTATCAAAACAAACATATCCTGAAAATCGGTTCAGTAGTTTCCTAGTCTATAGGTTATAAACAAACACACAAACATTGATTTTTATAGATTTATTACATCCTACTGGTGTGCGGGATGTCAGCTCTTACTGGTGTGTGGAATGTCAGCTCTTACTGGTGTGTGGGATTTCAGCTCTTACTGATGTGTGGGATGTCAGCTCTTACTGATGTGTGGGATGTCAGCTCTTACTGATGTGTGGGATGTCGGCTCTTACTGGTGTGTGCACGGTCAGCCATTACTGATGTGTTTGTATGTGTTGCTGTCACCAGGACAAAGCTGCAGGAGATGATGAGGCCATGTTTGTGGATGAGAACTTCTGTGTGTCGCTGGAGTACGGCCTGCCCCCTACAGGAGGCTTTGGTTTAGGCATTGACAGACTGACCATGTTCCTTACTGATCAGAACAACATCAAGGTAAGACTGCTGTCTCCTTGTACACATGTGCCTCGTGCTGTCTCGTTGTACACATGTGCCTCGTGCTGTCTCGTTGTACACATGTGCCTCGTGCTGTCTCGTTGTACACATGTGCCTCGTGCTGTCTCGTACACATGTGCCTCGTGCTGTCTCCTTGTACACATGTGCCTCGTGCTGTCTCGTTGTACACTGGTGTCTCGTGCTGTCTCCTTGTACACATGTGCCTCGTGCTGTCTCCTTGTACACATGTGCCTCGTGCTGTCTCGTTGTACACATGTGCCTCGTGCTGTCTGGTTGTACACTGGTGTCTCGTGCTGTCTCGTTGTACACATGTGCCTCGTGCTGTCTCCTTGTACACATGTGCCTCGTGCTGTCTGGTTGTACACTGGTGTCTCGTGCTGTCTCCTTGTACACATGTGCCTCGTGCTGTCTGGTTGTACACATGTGCCTCGTGCTGTCTCCTTGTACACATGTGTCTCGTGCTGTCTTGTTGTACACTGGTGTCTCGTGCTGTCTCCTTGTACACATGTGCCTCGTGCTGTCACGTTGTACACATGTGCCTTGTGCTGTCTCGTTGTACACATGAGCCTCGTGCTGTCTCCTTGTACACATGTGCCTCGTGCTGTCTGGTTGTACACGTGTGCCTCGTGCTGTCTGGTTGTACACGTGTGCCTCGTGCTGTCTGGTTGTACACGTGTGCCTCCTGCTGTCTGGTTGTACTCATGTGCCTCCTGCTGTCTGGTTGTACACATGTGCCTCCTGCTGTCTTGTTGTACACATGTGCTGTCTCGTACACATGTCTTGTGCTGTCTCGTACACATGTGCCTCGTGCTGTCTCGTTGTACACATGTGCCTCGTGTTATCACCTGGTCCCTGTCTGGTTGTACACATGTGCCTCGTGTTGTCTCGTTGTACACATGTGCCTCGTGCTGTCTCGTTGTACACATGTGCCTCGTGTTATCACTTTGTCCGTTACAGGTGATATTCCTAAGTAAATCTTCATCAGATAAGGCCCATGTGTTCAGGGCTTTTGGACTTTTAAACTGCTCTAGCGGCACAAGGTTCAGGAGATGTGTTGTAGAGATATACATGGCATCCCTTGGAGGAAACTGAGTATGGACAAGATCCAGTTGTTTCTCCTTTAGCACAGTTAGCCTAGCTGTAACTCTACTCTAGTAACTGGATACATACATACTTGTTGCTGGCTGACTTAAGAGCTGCATGGTGTCGCCTTTAGATGTGGATCCGAAGGTTGTGGATTACAATCTGCGTGGAGCCAGATTTTGTCAAACATAACCTTGGTTCCCAGGTCGACCCAGCCTTAAATGGGTATTGGTAAAGTCCTGGGAAGTAAAAGTTGTTGGCAAGATGCTGACCACTCTCCCCATCGAGGACCGGTTGGTCTCTACAAAACATTAGTCTAGCTTGATACGCTACTGGCGTGCAAATGGACCTTTACATTTACTGGCTCTCTCTCTCTCCTCTTGCTCTCTCTCTCTGTGTGTGAATGTGTGTAAGCTACTCTCCCCATCCTCTCGTCCTCTTGTTGTATATCTATAGCTAATGCCATGGTTTTCTTTTGTTACAACAGGAAGTGCTGTTTTTCCCTGCCATGCGGCCAGAAGAGAACACACAAGCTCCACCAGCCACAGATTCAGGAGTCGCTGCTAAGAAGTCCTAACAGACCTGACCAGCCACAGTTGTATAGAGCCAAGGCTGGAGACGTTAGACAGCAAGTCTATTGGAGGGGGGTGGTGTGGGTGTCTGCATTCATGCTCTTTTTGTGCTACATAACCTGTAGAGCAGTCAATCTTATCTTGCTAACATCTATTGCATACAGGCTAGAGAACAGAAGAGGGGAAATGTGTAGTCTCTGGGAAATCATCAACTATGAAATATGAGGTACGACACAACACCATGTGGGGCTAGCTTGTCTCAACAGCTGGGAAAGCTGTCTCAACCTGCTAGATGAGAAATCCTGTGAATGTAGACACTAAACACTGTAGACTTGTGCCAGCCACTAGCAACCACTCTTAGTGTTTAAGTTATTTGTGTTTTCTGTTCCGATCAACTTGACCGTTCAATGATATTACATCAGATGTACAGTACAACGCTCGTCTCATGCTTTGTCATTTAGGTGAGAAATACTTTCAGCAGTTTTGAGTAGACTGCTACATGTAGAGATGGCATCTCCTCAACCACTTTGTCTTGTGTTTCCATCTGTAGACTGACGCTGGTGGCCAGAACCAAACTGCATGTGCTCCAGAGAAGCTATTTTTCTGTTGGAAAAGTTCCGGTATAAATATGGTTGCGATGCTAGTGTTTGTTTGGTTTTTGTGGAAATGTATTGTTGAACTGTGAAAGTCAGAATGGAGAAATGTTTCATGTATTAAACACCAAGCTTCTCTTTGCCTGTTTGTGGGTTGTGTTGTGTATGTCATTGTATGCAATTCTAGAGAATCCAAGTCTTGTCTGTTCATTGTTGAATTGATAGAGAAACTGACTTTTTTCTGTCCTGGTTCAGAACTACGTAACATTGTGACACGTAGACTTGTGAGATGCTCACATAATACGACAAACACAAATGAGGCAGTCTTTCAGTAAATGGAGGATAATCATTAACTGATCTGGGACATTGGTGGTGCATAGATTCATTCGTCTGCGGAATTAAACTAGCATTTTTTGTGTGACATCAAGCAAACTTGTTGAGAAGAGGTAGCAGGAGGGATGCATACCTGGATGGCTTGTTGAGAAAACTTCATTATGGTGAGGGCACAGACCTAGTGGAAGCTTGGTGAAATTATCACAGCCAAAGTGCATTGGCCTGGCATTATGTAATAGAACATTTGAACTTGTGACATGTGAGAATGCTCACTAAGAGATTAGCAAAGTCTTCTTCTTCATGTTCTCTGGCAGAAAGTTCTGGGTGTTCATCTACCTCTGGACTGTTAAAACAATGTGCATTCTAGCTCTGGAACAAGCCTCACGTTTAGAAGTGGATGAACAACCAGGATTTTCACCATAGTTTAACAGCCAGTGGAGGAGAAATGGTTTGGTAATACACTTGAAATCCTCCTTTCACCTCCTAGTGGAGCATAAGCTCCCGACTCTCATCAGACCCTGCGTGGGTTGTGTTCATGATTGCTTCGATGTGAAGTTGTCTCACTCCAGCCACTCTTTGTTGTTTCTGACAACAGGTAGGGTAGTTGACAGTGTGAGGGTGGGTTGATCCTAACCTTATCAGATAAGTACCGGGGTATTTGACGGGATCTGATGTGATACCACACACAGCATCCAGGTCATCTGGCTAAGATAACAATGCACAGAAACGGGATCCTTGATCTTCTGTAGTAGGCTTTGCTCTAGAATTACAAAGGGTTGAGTATACCAGGTCGTCAAATACTGGGGAATTATCTACCTCACCAGGTATTTTTGTTTGATTCAAGAACCGACATCACAGCACTCGGGGCATTCCCATAAGCACTCGGTCCCCATCTTCAGCAGCCAGCGAAGAGTTCTGATACTAATAGTGCCAGTATCATTCTGACTGATTAAACCTCCGTCTTGCCTTTCCTTCGAGCATTTGCCAGAACCTTTCGCGCGCCTTCCCCCCCCCCCCCCCCCCCCGCATCAAACTCACTAGACTGGTGATCCATCTGCTCCTCCAAACTATACGCTCTCCCACAAGGCATTAACCACGAATGCCTTATCATGCACCAGTATTCTACCAAGTTGTGCACAGCCAGTCTGCCTGCCTCTTTATTTCCTAACAAATCGGCATGACCCAGTGAAAAAATCCAGACAATACTCCTCACCCGTATCCTCCGCAGCGAGGCAATCCACTCGACACGAAGCAGGCCTATCCTGATCTTCCTCAGCATGCTTTCTGAGTCAGTTACAATCACAGTGTGTGTCGTGTTATCTAACCAGCGGAAAGCTGCAGTGACCGCCTCCACGTCCATTCTTAAGCTGGATGTTGTGGTATCATATGCTAGGCTCTCCTGCACCAAACGTCAACCGTTAACTTCTGCTAAGAAACCCTGAGCACTTCTTTTGCCTCTTGACACTGAACCGTTTGTGTAAAGTATCACATTTTTTTTGAGCTAGCATTATCTTGAATTGCTGAATTTCCAGCTCCGTGGCACCTGCTGGCTAGTCTCTGCATTCCCGATTCATTGTGATTATGACCCTACACGAGTCTGACTGTTCAGGTGGCACTTTGACCCACTTCTCTCCTCGCCTAATGTTCTCAAGAATGCAAACCTGTCTGATTGTGACTTCTGCCTGAGCCATAATGCTCAGACAAGGCATCCATGACTTCCCTCTTATCAGCCGCTGACCCTTAACTGCACCCAGAGCTTCGTGAAAAGGGTGGTCTGTGTCTGCAGCTCCGGTCAGGTATATTGAGCGGTTATCTACCTCACTACATATAATTAGGGGTTGTCTACCTCACCATGTATATTGATGATCGTCTACCTCACCAGATATTTAGGGAGATTATCTAACTCACTAGGTATATTGGGGTATTGTCTAAGTCACCAGAATATGGAGGGATTGTCTACCGCACCAGATATTTAGGGAGATTATTTAACTCACCAGGTATATTGGGGTATTGTCTAAGTCACCAGAATATGGAGGGATTGTCTAGCTCACCAGGTATACTGAGAGATTATCTCAGCCCATGTCCCGCGACTGCAAGCAGAGACCTAGGCTGTATTGGGGGGGGGGGGGAGAGAGAGAGGGTGTTATGGTATGTTTTTGGACCGTTTAAAGCGCTCACATCTTGGAATATAGAAAGGGCTAAATCCCCGGCCGGTGACAATGAGTACAATACTACATGTTAGTGGCAGGTAACTAAGCGAGAGACCAATGCAGCATAGGGCAGGCCCTGTGACACGGCGAGCCATGATTGGAAATCACTGTCTTGTGGGCTGGAAAACGTTACTATAACATTTAAATCAATTTTACAAATAACACCAGAGTAATAGAGCAACACAGAAGTGTAGGAACATTATCATTACGTGCAGTTGGACTACAGGCAAGATTTGCTGGACCTGACAGGTCATCTAACTAGTTCTTCTTCTTCTTCTTCGATCCTTCTGTCAGAAAACTTATATCTGGAGGCCGGTAGCCTTTATGAAAGCTATTGTGCAATCCATATACTCTCGTGTACCATACAGTTTTGTCTTCAGTGTGGTTGGAACAGGCCAAATAGCGTCTCTGTTATCGGCATACAGTTGACAGTGTCGGAGCACATGCTCAGCATTTTCGGGTGCCACGCTGCAGGGACACGTCTCCGTATTTCCTACACCGAAAATTTTGAACATATGTTGACGAAATCTGTTTTGCCCAGTCCTTAGTCTGAATATAGTGCACTGTCCCTCTCAAGAGAGGCGATGAAGTGAGTCTTGGGGAGAAAATCTGGTGTGGGTATCCAGCCACCTTTCTTGGATACTAGATTGTTTTAATGTTTTCATCTCTTGGTGGGTTAAGTCGCTATTTGGTTGTACCATGTCACTGCCGCTATTTCATTGCCTTCCAAACCACAGTGACCTGGAATCCACTGCAGTATAAAGTTGCTGATTAAAAGCGCACAACTAACCGAAAAATTACCGGTTAGAACAGCGCAACAAAAAGTAAAGTTGCCAAAAAAAAGCGCATAATTAACAGAAAAATTACAACTAGTGAAAAGGAAATATTTACAGACAGCAGTGGACAGTTTATTTATAGTTCATTGCCTATGTTTTTGTGTTTTTCTAGAAATATTTGGGCCGGGTGGGGAGTGTCTTAGATGAGCATGTGGACGATAAGTATAGCCTATAACATAGACCAGTCATTCTTATGAGTATATGGACCGCCAAGATATAGCCAACATAACCAGTCATTCTTACATCTCCGCCAATAATTCCACATTTCCTGGTCTATTGTGGCCGGGGAAAGGGGGGGGGGGGAGAGAGGAGGAACGAGCTCTCTAGTGTAGAAAGTTTAGGCCAGCTCTATGAGTGAATACACAGACGTGACCGCAAAGGTCATGGCCGCTATCCACAGACGAGAGATACTAACTAATACCGACTTGTGTTGATAGCAGAGATTGATTGACTCCCACAGAGAGGGAACTGCATACAGGACCATATCTAGATGTTCCGGAACCCAGTAGACTAGCAGAGATCAGAACCACACCATCGTCTTGCCGTCACCAGTTGGTGGTCGCAGCGACTGACCATGGGCGGCACAGAAAGTAAAACAACCGACTCCAAGTACCAGCTTGCCTTCGACGAGGAAGAGAAGGGGATCGTTAGTGGCGTCTTCTGTAGTCTCTCCCACGGCAAGAAGTCATTCAACAAGGAAAATCTCCAGGTAATGCCATGTCGTTACGATCATTCTCAGTCTTGTACAACAAATAAACTCTGGAACTTTGTGGTCTTTAAATTGACGTCGTCTGACTTCAACAGTGGGTGACAACAACTGACCTCCTAAAGCATTTTCTTAAAATACAAATTGACGCCGAATTGTTTGTTACATATAGTCGGAACATATTGCTAGCAACGGTTTGCATTTGGGACAGATCATTGTTCTCACTGTTGCTCTAACAAACCATTTGTTAGTTTAGTCCAGTTGTTCCCAAACTCCACCGCGGAACCGCGACCTCTTCACAAGAGCGCCTCGAAATATTGGGTTGTCCTCCGAACTTCGTCCCCATATTAGGGCAGCCAAACAAGTACCCTAACAGGGCCTCAGCGATATGTTAAATGCGGACCTGTTTCTGCGACTTTGCCGCACCACAGATAGTTTCCTCCACGCAGCGCGGATGGGGAACTAAACTAGATGGCAGGCTCACAAGCTAATAAATTGGAGAAAGTTGCAAGAGATGCTGTAGCTGCTGCTCATGAGTCCCAGCCATTTAGTTTATTCCCCTATCCGCACCGCTACACGCGGCGTGGGGGATACGCTCGACGGTGAGTTTAATTGGAAGACCACTATCGCTAACCTGCATTAGAACGTGTGGTCTCCCCGCCATGTCGCTATTATCGTGTGTATTGTTGCTTTTATGAAATTGTCAACGGACAGTAATCCTAGTTTTGTTACAATGTGTTCATCAAAGGGAATTCGCATTTTAAACAAGACTGAGGCCCTGTTAGGGTATTTGTCTGGACGCCATAATATGGGGGACGCCATAATATGGGGATGAAGTTAGGAGGAGAGCCAAATATTGTAGAAGCTTTTTAAGTAATTTCACCAAGACACGAATAGTCATACTTTTACTTAGGTTAGGGCAAAAAAAAGAACAATTTGGGAAACACTGGTTTAGTCTAGTTTCAAACTTCACAACAGACGGGTCACTCCATAACTGTTCCATTCCATTGCCGGTGGATATCACATAAGTTGTTCTTCACTGTCCTTTTTTAAAACTGGTGAAGAACCAGCAACGTCTTGAAGCTCACACACACACTACGCAGTTGCACCAGGGAACCATCAGACGTGTCGCTGAAAACATGTTTTAGGGAGTAGAGGCAGATAGTGTGATATTGCCCAGGTCACCCATCAAATGTTTGTTTATCTCTAAAGCATGGGGCTGTATACACTCAAGGCCTACAGAACACCCACCCAGTACTGTATACACTCAAGGCCTACAGTATACCCACCCAGTACTGTATACACTAAAGGCCTACAGAACACCCACCCAGTACTGTATACACTAAAGACCTACAGAACACCCAGCCAGTACTGTATACACTAAAGGCCTACAGAACACCCACCCAGTACTGTATACACTAAAGGCCTACAGAACACCCACCCAGTATTGTATACACTAAAGGCCTACAGAACACCCACCCAGTACACTTGGCGGCATTTGTGTCTCATTTATGTTTTCACTGATTCTTGTGTGTTTTATACACACACATATAAATAATAAGCTTTCACATGCGATGCCTAAGAAAAATACTTGGCATTAAGTGGCAGGACAAAATCACAAACACTGAGGTACTGGAAAGAGCAGGTACTACAACAGTCTTTTCCATGTTCAGTCTACGAAGGCTCAGGTGGCTGGGTCACACATGGAGGATGGCAGAGTCCCTATGGACATCCTTTATGGTGAATTAAAGACAGGAAGAAGATGTCGAGGCCGACCTCTAATACGATATAAAGATGTGTGCAAGTGGGACATGAGTGATACAAGTATTGAGGTGGACTCATGGGAACAAAATGCCATGGACCGTGTTGTGTGGAAAGGGCATATCAGGAAGGGAATGAGACTGAAGGAAGAAATAACTGCAGAAAGAATGAGAGCTGAGCATCTGAAAAGACACGGATTAAACACAGATGTTGACAACAGTGGTCCTGAAATCCCATGCTATCATTGTGGAAGACTTTTCTTGACCCGGGCGGGTTTTGCTAGTCACACTCCTCATCGCCATGGGCGGTGAGTCTCATGCCCCCTCATAGTACAGTATAACACTACTCCCCATTACCATGGGTTGTGAGTCTCATGCCTCCTCATAGTACAGTATAACACTACTCCCCATCGCCATGGGCTGTGAGTCTCATGCTCCCTCATAGTACAGTATAACACTACTCCCCATCGCCATGGGCGGTGAGTCTCATGCTCCCTCATAGTACAGTATAACACTACTCCCCATCGCCATGGGCTGTGAGTCTCATGTCTCCTCATAGTACAGGATAACACTACTCCCCATCGCCATGGGCTGTGAGTCTCATGTCTCCTCATAGTACAGTATAACACTACTCCCCATTGCCATGGGCTGTGAGTCTCACGCCTCCTCATAGTACAGTATAACACTATTCCCCATCCCCATGGGCTGTGAGTCTCATGTATCCTCATAGTACAGTATAACACTACTCCCCATCACCATGGGCTGAGTCTCATGTATCCTCATAGTACAGTATAACACTACTCCCCATCGCCATGGGCTGAGTCTCATGTATCCTCATAGTACAGTATAACACTACTCCCCATCACCATGGGCTGTGAGTCTCATGTATCCTCATAGTACAGTATAACACTACTCCCCATCACCATGGGCTGAGTCTCATGTATCCTCATAGTACAGTATAACACTACTCCCCATCACCATGGGCTGTGAGCCTCATGTCTCCTCATAGTACAGTATAACACTACTCCCCATCGCCATGGGCTGTGAGTCTCATGTCTCCTCATAGTACAGTATAACACTACTCCCCATCACCATGGGCTGTGAGCCTCATGTCTCCCCATAGTACAGTATAACACTACTCCCCATCACCATGGGCTGTGAGTCTTATGCCTCCTCATAGTACAGTATAACACTACTCCCCATTGCCATGGGCTGTGAGTCTTATGCCTCCTCATAGTACAGTATAACACTACTCCCCATTGCCATGGGCTGTGAGTCTTATGCCTCCTCATAGTACAGTATAACACTACTCCCCATTGCCATGGGCTGTGAGTCTCATGTCTCCTCATAGTACAGTATAACACTACTCCCCATCACCATGGGCTGTGAGTCTCACGCCTCCTCATAGTACAATATAACACTATCTTGAAAGATGGAAAGGTGGCAGTCAGTCATATTTATATAAATACATACACACACACACACATATATATATATATATATATATATATATATATATATATATATATATATATATATATTATATATATATATATATATATATATATATATATATATATATATAACACACTATGTGCCAGCTTTTCTACATTACATGCCACTTGTGGCCCATTGTTTAAGACGAGTGTCCGAAAGGGCCAAATCTAGGACCAACCTTTTTGCCTGATTTGTGACCCTTACAAGATGAAATTTTGTTCATACATTCATTTATTCATTTATTACACATCACCTGTGGCACATCAGCGTGAAGTATTTAATGTTATAATGGAACCATCAAAGACTGAATGTGGTCTTACCATGAGAACCATAGTTTGTTAACACCATGACAGCCAGTAGAGTGTTAACATGACAGCCAGTAGTGTATTAGCACCATGACAACCACAGTAGAGTGCTAACACCATCCACCCACAGTAGAGTGTTAACACCATGACAACCAGTAGATTGTTAACATGACAGCCAGTAGTGTATTAGCACCATGACAACCACAGTAGAGTGCTAACACCATCCACCCACAGTAGAGTGTTAACACCATGACAACCAGTAGATTGTTAACATGACAGCCAGTAGTGTATTAGCACCATGACAACCACAGTAGAGTGCTAACACCATCCACCCACAGTAGAGTGTTAACACTATGACAGCCAGTAGAGTGTTAACAAAACTGTAGTCATGCTTTGCTTGGTTCATGGTTTAGTGCAACTGTAGTAAATATGCACATTATTGTGGTCTGCATGAATTCATATTTTTAAAACAGAAAACAAAAAATAACATATGTAAATGACACGAGTTTGTTAAAATTTGTGTTTAATCGTAGCACTTTACAAGCCCAATTCTGGACCCCGTGACCAGTGGCCGCTTGTTTGACCTGCTGGAGAGACCCCTGCCTCAGAAGAACCTACAGCAGAAGGGACACAGTAGCCGCCCTCAGAATCATGAGATCAACTTGCAGCACTTCAGCTCTCACCTGGCCAGCCTCTTGAAAGGTGGCATCCCAGATCTGGCACACAGCTGCATGCTCCTTGCTTCCAGCTCCCCAGGTTCTGTTTCTGCTCAAGATCTGATCACAGTAAGTTTCTCAGCTGGGTTTTGGACCTCAGACAACCACAGAATAGACATTTGATCCTTTGCTTGAGATGTTGATCTCTCATCTGCAGATATGGGTTTCAAATGCCACAGTGATTTGAATGTTTCTGCTTGTATGTTCATCTGTTTGTTTCAGTCAATCGGTTCCAGCTTCCTGGCACACAGCTGACCCTAGAGCTTCTCTGTTCCTATGCTTTTGAAAAACTACATACTCACATTAAATGTATAAATGTATTAAGGCAGCCATCAGAAGTGCCGACACAAGCATTCCACCATTAGAATTACAGACCATCATTGATATATACAGCGGTTATAACAGATGTTGCACATGCAATTAATTCCATAAGGCACCACCAGTTTTAACCAACAGTCCATTTGCCATTTTCTGAATCTGCAGTTCACAACATTAGGCACAGCTGGAATGCATTCCAAATGTGATCTACAGTTGACAGTATCAAGACATGCTGGGTGTTGAAATTATATTCTTTGACTCTTTGTATGGAGAAAATGCTGTAGCTCACCATGGCTTGACTAAAAGCAAATGACTTACCAAAACTAAAATGGTCAGCCTGCTCATCTGCCATATTGGACTGGAAGAAAGCAGTATTTTTGTTTCTAGCCAAGTATTATGTTGTAGAGATGTTTATTTTTGTTTCTAGCCAAGTATTAGGTTGAAGAGATTTTTGTTTCTAGCCAAGTATTAGGTTGTAGAGATGTTTATTTTTGTTTCTAGCCAAGTATTATGTTGTAGAGCTGTTTATTTTTGTTTCTAGTCAAGTATTATGTTGTCAATAGGCTTATTTTTGTTTCTAGCCAAGCATTATGTTGTAGAGATGTTTATTTTTGTTTCAAGCCAAGTATTATGTTGTAGAGATGTTTATTTTTGTTTCTAGCCAAGCATTATGTTGTAGAGATGTTTATTTTTATTTATAGCCAAGCATTACGTTGTAGAGATGTTTTCTTTTGTTTCTAGCCAAGCATTATGTTGTAGAGATGTTTCTTTTTGTTTGTTCTTGTGACTGACAGTAGTTGCATCAAGCCATCATATCCTTTGCTGTAGCATGCAGGATATTTTAGTTTTATGTGTGTGTATTATCTGACTGATTGCCCTGTGTGATGTTGATTAGTGTGGTTACATTTGTATGTTGCTGCTGCTGTTTCTGGTTTTGCCTGTTTGTTACAAGTTTTCTTATGTTTATCTTCTTCTTAGTGTCTTTGTGAGACCTACATTTGTCACCAAGTATAGAAGTATTGATGTCATTTTTATGTTTGATATTTAGTTTATTTTTCAATCCATCGAGTCCCATCTGCACAGCACAGGTTGGCTGTAATTGATCTCCTTCTTATGGTCTCTTTGACAGATTGTTGTTCATCATTGACTTGTTGTTATCTGTAAATTTGAAGTCGAAAGGATCGACCTCATTGCACCAGGTTTTATCCCATAAAGCTTGGTCTCTCTCTGCATTATAGCTAGCCGCCTGCCGCGAGCGCCGTGCAGATCATCAACTCCTAGCTCCGGTGATGATCAGCAGGGATTTCTGTAAACATTGCTTCACTTGTGAACTGAAGGGCGCAGCCGTGAAGCGAACCCATGACCTTCAGAGCGCAAGGCAAACGGCTTAACCATGATCTTTCCATGTCTTCTTCTTCTCTTCTTTGCATTCACCAGCTGTAAACTCTGGTGGAAAGTTCTGGTTGTTCATCCATTTCTGGACTGCAGTCCTGTTCCAGAACCTGAATGCTGCGTGTGCATCCATTTGACAGGTCTGAGAAATTTGTGTGCAGAATGTTGGTTCCTTGCCTCTCAGGCAGATGCACTCCGACTTTGAAGGAAGCTCCCAATTAGTTGACTCTAATGACATGCTTTTGACTAGGCAGTGGGTTTATTCTGGTTTTCCCCATATAGGGCCCCGGAACCCACACAGTGGGCCTACATGGACAGGGGCACAGATTGTTGTGTTTTTGGGTGAGAGTGGGTGCTGATTGTCCCTATGGCTGATGTGTTTGGGTGAGTCCAGCGTGTGGGTGCTGATTGTCCCTATGGCTGATGTGTTTGGGTGAGTCCAGCGTGTGGGTGCTGATTGTCCCTAAGGCTGATGTGTTTGGGTGAGTCCAGCATGTGTGTGCTGATTGTCCCTATGGCTGATGTGTTTGGGTGAGCAGAGTGTGGGTGCTGATTGTCCCTATGGCTGATGTGTTTGGATGAGTCCAGCATGTGTGTGCTGATTGTCCCTATGGCTGATGTGTTTGGGTGAGTCCAGCGTGTGGGTGCTGATTGTCCCTATGGCTGATGTGTTTGGGTGAGTCCAGCGTGTGGGTGCTGATTGTCCCTATGGCTGATGTGTTTGGGTGAGCAGAGTGTGGGTGCTGATTGTCCCTATGGCTGATGTGTTTGGGTGAGTCCAGCGTGTGGGCGCTGATTGTCCCTATGGCTGATGTGTTTGGGGTAGTCCAGCGTGTGGGTGCTGATTGTCCCTATGGCTGATGTGTTTGGGGGAGCAGAGTGTAGGTGCTGATTGTCTCTATGGCTGATGTGTTTGGGTGAGCAGAGTGTGGGTGCTGATTGTCCCTATGGCTGATGTGTTTGGGTGAGTCCAGCGTGTGGGTGCTGATTGTCTTTATGGCTGATGTGTTTGAGGGAGCAAAGTGTGGGTGCTGATTGTCTCTATGGCTGATGTGTTTGGGTGAGCAGAGTGTGGGTGCTGATTGTCCCTATGGCTGATGTGTTTGGGTGAGTCCAGTGTGGATGCTGATTGTCCAAATGGCTGATGTGTTTGGGTGAGTCCAGTGTGTGTGCTGATTGTCCCTATGGCTGATGTGTTTGGGTGAGTCCAGTGTGGATGCTGATTGTCCCCGTGGCTGATTTGTTTGGTGGCTGACTCTTATCTGTTGGTGTTTGATTTCAGTTTGTCAACAGCATTCTCCACAGTTACGAGAGACTGCTGACAGCCCATTGTTCAGCCTACCAGAGCTGGATTTTTGCACCTGCCTCAGACTCTCACCTGAGACTGGCACAGTCTTTGTTGAGTCCACTGCTACAGCCAGGTACTGTCACCTTGTGTCCTGTGTTGTTCATGTGTCGCATCAGTGTCTCTTGGCTGGAATATTTGTTTGTTCATGTTCATTGGTTTTTGTACATTATATTCTGTCAAGGCTGTTACATAATATGACTACAACATTCTTCCATGGTTGTTACTTAAGTATTTGACTGCTACATTAACTCTGCCATGCTTGTTACTTAAGTATTTGACTGCTACATTAATTCTGCCATGGCTGTTACTTAAGTATTTTACTGCTACATTAAATCTGCCATGGCTGTTACTTAAGTATATGGCGGCTACATTATTTCTGTTATGGCTGTTTCATATGTTCTTATTGTACACATCTGTTTCTTTATGACATTATTCCATGTCTGTCACCTCAACTCTTGCATTCTGGAGGCCAGGTAGAGGACTTTCCTGCTTCATCTTCAGCCTGTGATTCCACAATGGAGAAGACGTCAAGGACACAGTGGAGCAGAGGCTAAGGACCCACAGTGGAGCAGACAGCAAGGACACACAGTGGAGCAGACAGCAAGGACACACTGTGGAGCAGAGGCCAAGGACACACAGTGGAGCAGAGGCCAAGGACACAGTGAAGCAGAGGCCAAGGACACACAGTGGAGCAGAGGCCAAGGACACACAGTGGAGCAAAGGCCAAGGTGAAGCAGAGGCCAAGGCCACACAGTGGAGCAGACAGCAAGGACACACTGTGGAGCAGAGGCCAAGGACACACAGTGGAGCAGAGGCCAAGGACACAGTGGAGTAGACGGCAAGGACACACAGTGGAGCAGAGGCCAAGGACACACAGTGAAGCAGATGTCAAGGACACTCAATGGAGCAGAGGCCAAGGACACACAGTGGAGCAGAGGCCAAGGACACACAGTGGAGCAAAGGGCAAGGACACATAGTGGAGCAAAGGTCATAGACACACAGTTCCTGAATGTTTGTCATTAATACATATTTTAATAATTCTTCTATCTTTACGGTCCATACAGCATTTGATGATTTGAAATAATCTTTTTTCTGTTGTTATTGTCTACCTTTGTACCTAGACCAGCGTATGATTCCATTTCTTAGTGAGGTTTAACCAGCAAAGAAAATAGTTTTGCTTCATTTGTTCGCGTTATCGTTGCCTTTCACTATGTGTTTTTATATCTCCTTTTTTGTGTGTGATCTAGTGGGGATGAGGAGGGCAGGGAAGTTGCTGCTATCACAAATGACATGTCAGTTATAACTGACCACATGACTCTGTTGTACATGCAAGTATAACTATTGTCAGTGTGTGTATTGTACATGAAAGTATAACTATTGTCAGTGTGTGTATTGTACATGAAAGTATAACTATTGTCAGTGTGTGTATTGTACATGAAAGTATACTGTTGTCAGTCTATTGTACATGAAAGTATAACTATTGTCAGTGTGTGTATTGTACATGAAAGTATAACTTTTGTCAGTGTGTGTATTGTACATGAAAGTATAACTATTGTCAGTGTGTTGTACATGAAAGTATAATTATTGTCAGTGTGTGTGTTGTACATGAAAGTATAACTATTGTCAGTGTGTTGTACATGAAAGTATAACTATTGTCAGTGTGTGTGTTGTACATGAAAGTATAACTATTGTCAGTGTGTGTGTTGTACATGAAATGATTGCTATATCGTCACTGTCTATGTTGTACATGAAATGATTACTGTATTGTCACTGTCTATGTTGTCCAAGCAGACAAGTCTCCAGTGGAAACCTCCAGCAAGCTGACTTTCACAGAGGATGAAGTCACTGACTGGTTGTCTCAGTGTTCCATTTTCCTGCAAATTCTCACTCAAGTTTTCCATGGAGCATTCCAGTTCTATGTAAGTGCTAACGTCCATGTCATTCTGTGTGCATTTGCGGCAATGTGTACAACCAATGGTCAGCAGCATCAAGTGCTAGTTCACATTCACTATCTAGTGCCTGCACAGAGCGGATGTTTTAAAAAAAAAAGAATTTGACCTGTTAGAGAACGTAGAAGTGGGCATGGTGGTACAATAAGCTAGATCTGACCTGTCAGAGAATGTAGAAGTGTGCTTGGTCAGCTAGTTCTGACCTGTCAGGGAATGTAGAAGTGTGCTTGGTCAGCTAGTTCTGACCTGTCAGAGAATGTAGAAGTGTGCTTGGTCAGCTAGTTCTGACCTGTCAGAGAATGTAGAAGTGTGCTTGGTCAGCTAGTTCTGACCTGTCAGAGAACGTAGAAGTGTGCTTGGTCAGCTAGATCTGACCTGTCAGGGAATGTAGAAGTGTGCTTGGTCAGCTAGTTCTGACCTGTCAGGGAATGTAGAAGTGTGCTTGGTCAGCTAGTTCTGACCTGTCAGGGAATGTAGAAGTGTGCTTGGTCAGCTAGTTCTGACTGACCTGTCAGGGAATGTCTGGAGTGAGCGTGTTGTGTCAGTGTGTCAGCATAACGGTCTGATGTGTTTGTGTTGCTAGGTGAATTATCTCATCAACTGGGCAAGCTTACACCAGCAAAGACATGGATATTCTCCTGTCCTGAAGTGTGATTGTGGTGTAGACAAATGCAAATTCTGGTGGTGATTTTTCAGGGTTTTAGCTCAGTATTAATGTGTGTTTGTGTAGTGATAAAAACATTGATTAAAAATGTTTGTTTATAACACTGTATCTGTGGATTGTTGCTCAAGGAGTGTCTATAACACTGTATCTGTGGATTGTTGCTCAAGGAGTGTCTATTACACTGTATCTGTGGATTGTTGCTCAAGGAGTGTCTATTACACTGTATCTGTGGATTGTTGTTCAAGCAGTGTCTTTAACACTTTGTCTGTGGATTGTTGCTCATGCAGTGTCTATAACACTTTGTCTGTGGATTGTTGCTCATGCAGTGTCTATAACACTTTGTCTGTGGATTGTTGCTCAAGCAGTGTCTATAACACTTTGTCTGTGGATTGTTGCTCATGCAGTGTCTATAACACTGTATCTGTGGATTGTTGCTCAAGCAGTGTCTATAACACTGTATCTGTGGATTGTTGCTCATGCAGTATCTATAACACTGTATCTGTGGATTGTTGCTCATGCAGTGTCTATAACACTGTATCTGTGGATTGTTGCTCATGCAGTGTCTATAACACTGTATCTGTGGATTGTTGCTCAAGCAGTGTCTATAACACTTTGTCTGTGGATTGTTGTTCAAGCAGTGTCTCTAACACTGTATCTGTGGATTGTTGCTCAAGCAGTGTCTATAACACTGTATCTGTGGATTGTTGCTCAAGGAGTGTCTATTACACTGTATCTGTGGATTGTTGCTCAAGCAGTATTTTTACGGAATACTTTAAAGGCACAGTTGTAAATCTTCATTAAAACACAGAGGATCTGTATACCATCTTCTCTTGTCTGCCAGCAAACAGAACCCCAACAGATGACCTTTCACCCTCGGCTGCCACATGTCAGGGACACCAACTGGTCCAAGTTCAAGACCATGCTGGACTTCCCCACGGTGCTGTACTTGAACTTTGCCCTGCTGAGTGAACTGCAGACTGAGTGGAAGCTGCTGTTCAGCAGTAGCCTGCATGGCTGCAGCTTCTCCCAGTTGTTACAGTTGATCAAACACAAGGGACCCACCTACATCATCATCAGAGATAAAGATGGCTATGTCTTTGGGGGGTTTGCTGCTGTCTCCTGGGACCTAAATCCTAAATTTGTAGGTAGGTACCCTTCATGGTTTTTTTTTTGCTCCTGTTTCTCTGTTTTTCTTGTCAGACTTTGCCCTTTGCCTAGCTGATGAATGATCTGTCAGCTAGCAAACAACCATTCATTGAAACCTTGCAGGTTGGATTTAACAGTCGTGCCTTTTGTAATTATCATCATGTATGTCTGTTAATTTGTGTCTCTTTGTTTATGTGACTACCCAAAATATGTGCATGATTGCACCTCTTGAAACCACATTTTACAAAGGGAGATCAATGTCTTGTTTGTATGCACCTTAATCACTATATGGCACAGCTATACTGGATGTCAGTACAGTGTAGAATTGATTCTTCTTCTTTTCATCTGTGTAATAAATACATTATACACACTATATCATGTCGTGCATTACATACACTGTGTCCGCTCAGCCCTCCCATACACTGTCGGCTCAGCCCTCCCATACACTGTGTCGGCTCAGCCCTCCCATACACTGTGTCGGCTCAGCCCTCCCATACACTGTGTCCGCTCAGCCCTCCCATACACTGTCGGCTCAGCCCTCCCATACACTGTGTCCGCTCAGCCCTCCCATACACTGTCGGCTCAGCCCTCCCATACACTGTGTCCGCTCAGCCCTCCCATACACTGTCGGCTCAGCCCTCCCATACACTGTGTCGGCTCAGCCCTCCCATACACTGTGTCGGCTCAGCCCTCCCATACACTGTCGGCTCAGCCCTCCCATACACTGTGTCCGCTCAGCCCTCCCATACACTGTCAGCTCAGCCCTCCCATACACTGTGTCGGCTCAGCCCTCCCATACACTGTGTCGGCTCAGCCCTCCCATACACTGTGTCCGCTCAGCCCTCCCATACACTGTCGGCTCAGCCCTCCCATACACTGTCGGCTCAGCCCTCCCATACACTGTGTCGGCTCAGCCCTCCCATACACTGTGTCGGCTCAGCCCTCCCATACACTGTGTCGGCTCAGCCCTCCCATACACTGTGTCGGCTCAGCCCTCCCATACACTGTGTCGGCTCAGCCCTCCCATACACTGTGTCCGCTCAGCCCTCCCATACACTGTCGGCTCAGCCCTCCCATACACTGTGTCGGCTCAGCCCTCCCATACACTGTGTCGGCTCAGCCCTCCCATACACTGTGTCGGCTCAGCCCTCCCATACACTGTGTCGGCTCAGCCCTCCCATACACTGTCGGCTCAGCCCTCCCATACACTGTGTCGGCTCAGCCCTCCCATACACTGTGTCGGCTCAGCCCTCCCATACACTGTGTCCGCTCAGCCCTCCCATACACTGTGTCGGCTCAGCCCTCCCATACACTGTGTCCGCTCAGCCCTCCCATACACTGTGTCGGCTCAGCCCTCCCATACACTGTGTCGGCTCAGCCCTCCCATACACTGTGTCCGCTCAGCCCTCCCATACACTGTCGGCTCAGCCCTCCAATTTATATGAACAACTCTCCCCCGTGTGGGTTCCAGGGCCCTGTTATAGGGAAAATAAGAATAGACCCACTGCTTTCCCAAAAGCTTGACTGCAGTCACCCCCATATTTTCACCATTTTTGCTTTCCCAAAAGCATTTTGTAAGAGTTGACTAACTGGGAGCTTCCTTCGAAGTCGGAGTGCATCTGCCTGAGAGGCAAGGAACCAGCAGTCTGCATACAGAATGAGTCAGATCTGTCAAACGGAGAGCACATGCAACACTCAGGTTCTGGAACAGGACTGCAGTCCAGAAGTGGACGAACAACCAGAACTTTCCGCCAGAGTTTACAGCTGGTGAACGCGAAGAAGAAAATGAACAACTCCATTATAGCTGTGTTCTTCTACTGCTGGCTACAGAATGCTAAAAGCCCTGTATGTGTGGCAAATATCAGTCCTCATCAACAATGCTTGCTGTTATATTGTTGCAGGGAACTCCTCCTGCTTCCTGTTCTCTGTGAGACCCAACTATTGCAGCTACAAGCCGACTGGCTACAACCCCAACTTCATGTATCTCAACCACCAGGTGCAGACCCTACCCAACGGTTTGGTGAGTTTGCTGGAATACACCAGATTCATGCAGGAGTTTGCTGGAATACACCAGATTCATGCAGGAGGCTCTGGTTTTCTCTCTCTGTGTCTTTTTCATCTTTGGTTATTTGTTCATCTCTTTATCTCTCGGGTTATATGTTCGTCTCTTTATCTCTCGGGTTATATGTTCATCTCTTTATCTCTCGGGTTATATGTTCGTCTCTTTATCTCTCGGGTTATATGTTCGTCTCTTTATCTCTCGGGTTATATGTTCGTCACTTTTTCTCTTTCAGTAATTATTTCTCTGTTTCTGTCTCCCTCTCTTTGGTTATTTGTTCATCTCTTTATCTCTCTCTCTCTCTCTCACTAGAATTATCTGTCTGTCTAATTATATGTCCATCTCATGTTCTCTTTTTCTCTCTCTCTCTCTCTCTCTCTCTCTCTCTCTCTCTCTCAGTTGCTCTCTCTCTCGCTCCCTCTCTCTCGCTCCCTCTCTCTCTCTCGCTCTCTCTCTCTCTCTCTCAGTTGCTCTTTTTTCTCATTCTCCCTCTCTATGATCACATATACCCATCTCTCTTTACCTGTCTGATTAACTCCTTTCCCCTCTCTGGTTGTAGGTCCATTTCTTTCTACCTCTCTCTCACTCATTCTGTATCATTATACATCATTCTTAATTCTCTAATTATTTATTTCTTTCTCTCATTCTCACTATAATAAAAGTACAGTTTGGTAGCTTATTCTCACAGTAAGATATCAGTACCAACTATTTCTCACAGTAAGATATCAGTACCAGCTTATTCTCACAGTAAGATATCAGTACCAGCTTATTCTCACAGTAAGATATCAGTACCAGCTTTTTCTCACAGTAAGATATCAGTACCAGCTTTTTCTCACAGTAAGATATCAGTACCAGCTATTTCTCACAGTAAGATATCAGTACCAGCTTTTTCTCACAGTAAGATATCAGTACCAGCTTTTTCTCACAGTCTTCTTCACATTCACGGGCTGTAACATTGGCAGAAAGTTCTGGTTGTTCATCCATCTTTGGACTTGAGTCTTATTCCAGAGCCTGAGTATTGCGTGCACATCCGTTTTATAGATCCCCCTAGAATGGGGCCCCGGGACACACATGAGAAATTCTCTTAATCAGACATGAGTACAAGCTATTCTCACAATCAAACATGAGTACCTGTTATTCTCACAATCAGACATGAGTACCAGTTATTCTCACAATCGGACATGAGTACCAGTTATTCTCACAATTGGACATGATTACCAGTTATTCTCACAATCGGACATGAGTACCAGTTATTCTCACAATCGGACATGAGTACCAGTTATTCTCACAATCGGACATGAGTACCAGTTATTCTCACAATCGGACATGAGTACCAGTTATTCTCACAATCAGACATGAGTACCAGTTATTCTCACAATCGGTCATGAGTACCAGTTATTCTCACAATCAGACGTGAGTACCAGTTATTCTCACAATCGGACATGAGTACCAGTTATTCTCACAATCGGACATGAGTACCAGTTATTCTCACAATCAGACATGAGTACCAGTTATTCTCACAATCAGACATGAGTATCAGTTATTCTCACAATCAGACATGAGTACCAGTTATTCTCACAATCGGACATGAGTACCAGTTATTCTCACAATCAGACATGAGTACCAGTTATTCTCGCAATCAGACATGAGTACCAGTTATTCTCACAATCAGACATGAGTACCAGTTATTCTCACAATCAGACATGAGTACCAGTTATTCTCGCAATCAGACATGAGTACCAGTTATTCTCACAATCAGACATGAGTACCAGTTATTCTCACAATCAGACATGAGTACCAGTTATTCTCACAATCAAACACCAGTAGAAGCTATTCTCATAATCACACCAAAGTACCAGCTGTTCTGACAATCATCTCACTGCTCTGATGTAAACAGTTTGGAAAAACACAAAGTATACATCATCCTGGCAGAAAACAAAACAATAAATGCCAGCTGTAGCGTCATCCTGAAAATGTTGATGTCTGTCCATCCAGGGCATGGGAGGTCAGTTTGAATTCTTTGGCCTGTGGATTGACCAGTCGTTTGACCAGGGTCACAGTAAAGCCAGTGCCAGAGGTTGTACCACCTACGGCAGCCCTCGTCTCTCAGCCAGGGAGGAGTTTGAGGTAGACTGCCTGGAGGTCTGGGCCGTAGGGAGGAAGAAAAAGGCAGAAGGAGAGGAAGATGATGAGGAGGACGATGAGGCCGTGGATGGTAGCAAGGTAAGTCAACTGAATACCTGGTTCTGTGATGTTCATGTTAACCTCGGAAGTGATGTCAGTAAAACAGATTGCTGTACGATGGTCATGTTTCTCTTCTAATTATCCCATGTATAGCCAACATTTGCCGTGTCACATACAACAAGTGAAGCCAACATTTGCCATGTCATATACAAGCAAAGCCAACATTTGTCATATCACATACAACAAGTGAAACCAACATTTGCCATGTCATATACATTAAGTAAATCCAACATTTGCCATGTCACATACAACAAGTAAAACCAACATTTGCCATGTCACATGCAAGTGAAGCCAACATTTGCCATGTCATATGCAAGTGAAGCCAACATTTGCCATGTCACATACAACAAGTAAAGCCAACATTTGCCATGTCACATACAAACTGAGCAACCACTCTCCAGTGTTGCTACCACTGTTAGTGTTATAGACAAATATGAACACTGTCAGAATTACAGTTTGTGTAGGAATCTCTTTAACAATCATATGCTTGCAAGAGGCACTTTTGGCTCTTCTGTGTGTTTTTTTTTTTTTTAATTTATAATTCACATTGAGGTTTTTCATGTGAACATCACTTAAGACTATGGCTGCAATGGACATAGAGCAGAGAATGCTTTTCACACTCTATCAGCACCTGATCCTGTCAGTGGTGGATTATGGCCTGGGACTGCTTACCGTCTCAAAGAGTCAGATGGACAAACTAGAGCGCATACAGAACGTGGCTGTTCAGGTCATTCTGGGTTGCACCAGAGACACCCCAGTGGTGTGTATGCGATACATCCTTGGTTTGCCGACGGTTGCAGGTAGGCACAAGGTGCTGCAGGCAAAGTAATATCTCAGGGTAGCTGCAGACACAGACCATCCTTTGCATGAAGCTCTGGGTGCAGTTAAGGGTCAGCGGCTGATAAGAGAGGTCATGGATGGCTCAGGCAGAAGACACAGTCAGACAGGTTTGCATCTTTGAGAACATTAGGCGAGGAGAGGAGTGGGTAAAAGTGCCACCTGAACAGTCAGACTTGTGCAGAGTCATAATCACGCTTAGCTGGGATTGCAGAGACTGGCCAGCAGGTGCCACAGAGGTGGAAATTTAGCAATTAATTCAAGATAATGCTCGCTCAGAGGATTTGATCATTTACACAGACGGTTCAGTGTCAAGAGGCAAAAGAAGTGCTTGGGGCTTCTTAGCAAAAGTTAATGGTCAACGTTTGGTGCAGGAGAGCCTAGCATATGATACCACAACATCCAGCTTAAGAATGGAGGTGGAGGCGGTCACTGCAGCTTTCTGCTGGCTAGAGAACACGACACACACACACACACACATGGTGATTGTAACTGACTCAGAAAGCATGCTGAGGAAGATCAGAACAGGTGTGCTTTGTGCAGAGTGGCATGCTTCGCTGCTGAGGACACGGGTGAGGAGTATTGTCTGGATTTTTTCACCAGGGAACGCCGGTGTGTTGAGAAATGAACAGGCGGACAGACTGGCTGGCTCTGCACAACTTGGTGGAATACTGATACATGATAAGGCAGATGTGGTTAGGGCTTTGTGGGAGAGCATGTAAAGTTCAAAGGAGCCGATGGATCACCACAGTCTGGTGAGATTGATGCAGCGGGGAGTGACGAGAGGTTCTGGCAGATGCTCGAGGCTCAGAGGAAAGGCAAGACGGATGTTTAATCAGAATGCTACTGGCACCATTAGTATTGGAACTCTTCGCTGGCTGCTGAAGATGGGGACGGAGCGCTTATGGGAAAGCCCCAAGTGCTGTGATGTCAGTTCTTGAATCAAATCAAATCAATCATGTGAACACGGGAGAAGTTACTAGGAGACTTTTCTCATGTGAACATGGGAGAAGAAGTTACTAGGAGACTTTCTCATGTGAACATAGGAGAAGAAGTTACTAGGAGACTTTATCATGTGAACATGGAAGAAGAAGTTACTAGGAGACTTTCTCATGTGAACATAGGAGAAGAAGTTACTAGGAGACTTTCTCATGTGAACATGGGAGAAGAAGTTACTAGGAGACTTTCTCATGTGAACATAGGAGAAGAAGTTACTAGGAGACTTTCTCATGTGAACATGGGAGAAGAAGTTACTAGGAGACTTTTCTCATGTGAACATGGAAGAAGAAGATACTAGGAGACTTTCTCATGTAAACATGGAAGAAGAAGTTACCAGGAGACTTTCTCATGTGAACATGGGAGAAGAAGATACTAGGAGACTTTCTCATGTGAACACAGGAGAAGTTACTAGGAGACTTTTCTCATGTGAACATGGGAGAAGAAGTTACTAGAAGACTTTCTCATGTGAACATGGGAGAAGAAGTTACTAGGAGACTTTCTCATGTGAACATGGGAGAAGAAGTTACTAGGAGACTTTCTCATGTGAAAATGGGAGAAGAAGATACTAGGAGACTTTCTCATGTGAACACGGGAGAAGAAGATACTAGGAGACTTTCTCATGTGAACACGGGAGAAGTTACTAGGAGACTTTTCTCATGTGAACACGGGAGAAGTTACTAGGAGACTTTCTCATGTGAACACGGGAGAAGTTACTAGGAGACTTTCTCATGTGAACACGGGAGAAGTTACTAGGAGACTTTCTCATGTGAACACGGGAGAAGTTACTAGGAGACTTTTCTCATGTCAACATGGGAGAAGAAGTTACTAGGAGACTTTTCTCATGTGAACATGGGAGAAGAAGTTACTAGGAGACTTTTCTCATGTGAACATGGGAGAAGATACTAGGAGACTTTCTCATGTGAACATGGAAGAAGTAACTAGGAACATGCCATATGTGGGGGTGGGGGCTTTGCCCTCAGACAGTCGGTGCTTGGAGTCACTATGACCCGTAGAACTCTCGATGCCGCACTTCCCTGACAAGGCAGACCTGATCATAGAAATCGAACCTTCAATTCAACTCTCATGTACAAGCACTTTTGAAACAACTAAAACATAGATCAACTCTCATGTACAAGCACTTTTGAAACAACTAAAACATAGATCAACTCTCATGTACAAGCACTTTTGAAACAACTAAAACATAGATCAACTCTCATGTACAAGCACTTTTGAAACAACTAAAACATAGATCAACTCTCACGTACAAGCACTTTTGAAACAACTAAAACATAGATCAACTCTCATGTACAAGCACTTCTGAAACAACTCAAACATATATCAACTCTTATGTACAAGCACTTCTGAAACAACTCAAACATATATCAACTCTCATGTACAAGCACTTCTGAAACAACTCAAACACATATCAACTCTCATGTACAAGCACTTCTGAAACAACTCAAACATATATCAACTCTTATGTACAAGCACTTCTGAAACAACTCAAACACATATCAACTCTCATGTACAAGCACTTTTGAAACAACTAAAACATGTCTCAACTTATGAAGATTAAAAACCTTCTGGATGAAAATACACAAGAAAGATATTCTGTCCAACTGACATCCAAACTATTGCTGTATAGTGTAAGATGTTTATTCAAAATCAGTTATCAAACAGCTTACATCCCTTCAGAAGTGTGCCATTTGCTTAATAAGTAATAATCCTGGGACAGTCAGTTCCAAACAGATAAAGGTTTTATGCTACTACCGCTAGGAATGTAAACTTTTCCACAAAAAAGTATTCCAGAAAGCTCCAGATTAACTGTGCCCATTATTTAAATATAATAAAAGGCATAGAAAATGCCTTAAAATATTACATATCCCCAAACCTAGGATAGACCTATACAAAACAAATCTGATTAACTCCGCAGCAAAACTCATCATCATCATAAACCACTTCTGCCATTAAATAAATGTCGGGAGGAATCATTTGCGATCCAGTGCTCTTGTAGCTGGTCTTCTGAGATATAGTGCTTGTGATGGTATTTGATCTTGCTGCATTCTAACGAGATGGCCAAACCACTTGATCTGCTGTTTCTAGATGAATCTAGTACAAGGTGTCGTTCCCACAATTTGCCTGATAGCTTCATTATTCACTCGATCTCGGATGATTAGGTTGGCTGCTTTTCTCAGGCATCTCATCTCGCAGGTGGTGATTTTGCGTATATGAGATAGTATATGTCGAGTTCTTCATGAGGGAAAGCTAACAGATGCATTTGAAATAAAAACAGGTGTGCGACAGGGATGTCTTTTGTCGCCTCTCTTATTTTTACTGGCTATAGACTGGACTATGAAAACAGTAACTGCTAACACCAAGAAATTCAGTGGACCCCTACAAAACAGCTTGATGATCTGGACTTCAGTGATGATATTGCTCTTCTGTCCCATTCACGGAATCAGATGCAAGATAAATTAAATATACTTAATGCGAGATCACAGCAGCTTGGTCTGAAAATCCACAAAGGAAAGACAAAGATAATGAGAATAAATCAGGCAAATAGTAATGTGGTTTCTCTTAATGGCACCCCACTCCAAGACGTGGAGTCGTACACCTATTTAGGCAGTAATGTAGATAAAGATGGAGGAACTGATAGAGATATTAAAATAAAAATACAAAAGGCAAGAGGGGCTTTCATAGCACTAGGGAATTTGTGGAGGTCAAAAGAAATTAAAAGAAATACTATACTAAAATTTTTTAATTCTATTGTCAAATCAGTACTATTGTATGGGGCGGAAACATGGAGAACAACCAAGGCAATTACTAATAAATTACAGACATTCATTAACTGGTTCCTGCGCAGAATAGAGGGAATAAAATGGTATGATAGAATAACTAATGTAGAACTTTGGGAGAGAACTAAACAGGCTCTAGTGGATCAGGAAGTGAGGAAAAGACGCTGGCGTTGGATAGGGCACACACTGAGAAAACAGGAGAACAGCATAACTAGAATGTCTTTGCATTGGAACCCACAGGGGCATAGGAATAAAGGAAGGCCAAAAAACACATGGAGAAGAGAGCTGGAGAACAAGGTTAGAAAGATTGGGAGGACATGGGGAGAGCTCCATGAAATGGTTAAGGAT